GCTTCTGATTGATAGCATCTACGGTAAAAAGTCTTTTCTATAATTCTTTTCAATGTTTAGAAAATGGATATTTACTGAATAGTATTGCACTAAAAGATGCTCTGAAGTTAGCTCAATTGCCACACATGCAACATTGATATCCATTGAATCACTCGTCTACATATCTACAGTAGAAATATCAGCCAAATCGGTGAGATCGATTGAACAACGTTCTGCTGGAGATGAGCGTGGCCTAAACAAAATAATTCCTCTGATGTGATCATGGAAGAAATATAATACAGAGTGACGAGCAGTGGATACGAGAGGAAAGGGTTGACCGATGACTACTATGTCAACAGAAATGTCTATAACTGTTCGCGACAGTGAGAGAAAAATAACAGAAAGAAGAAAATAGTGATACAGAGAGTGACCGCTGAGAGCGGTGAATGTATAAACAGTGAATGACTCTCATATATTATAATGCAGGAACGAAGAGTAAAAATAACTCCACTTTGATCGAAACTGTGCAATAGACTGCTGTGCCATTCTCATTGTTAAAGTATCATGTAATCAACATTATGAATTTTACGTAAGCGTATACTCTATATACGAGACATACAATGAGAAGGAATCCCTGTAAAAAATTTTGATATCTAGACGAGTTTTTTCTACTTTCGAAAGGTTGTAGTACCGGATTAAAAATAAAATATTCGATGAAGTCAGATGCCATCCGATTGTTTCCGTCGACGTTTTCGAAAAACGCATAAAGACGCATTTTTATAGGTTTCATCGTATCAAACTCACGTTCAAACTGTTTGCGAGTTAGATATTGTTCAATGAATTTGAGTTTTAGCATTTCTGTGTTCAGTAAAATCGAACCTAATTTTATTAATGGAAAATTCAATAGTGAATTATGACTACTATTTTTGAAACTTCATTTTATATTTTATCAAAATAAAGATTGGAAAGTAAACTTTTATCATCATCATATTGAAATTCCTTTTAATTTGGTAAAATTCAACGTGCTGATCACGCCAAGCAGTGATGGGCACGGTTCTGATTTTTCAACATTTCAACCGGACCGAACCGAACCGAAAAATAAAATTCTGAAATTCCACTACAAATAGCTAAAACTATGTAATCTTTATGTAAACTCGTTCATCCTATTCTGAATGATTGTTATCTATTATATTTATATTTGTATAAATCTAATTACATTGTTTTAGTTATTATTTTTTTAACCCTATGTCTTCAACAATACTTAATGGACACATATTTGAACATATTCATTCACCTAACAAATTTGTCAGGTTTTATTTGTGTGATGCAATATTTTTGTTACTTGAAGAAGATGAAATTGACCTATTAATTAATTGTAATAGATTGATTCCTGTTGATGTTATAAAATGAGCTTGATTAGGATTAAGTCCATCACATATTTGCATATGTTTATTCATATTGATGGCACTAGATGAATAGGTATATCTCGCATAACAATACTTGCATGATACACATTTGCCATAAATTTCAGTCTTTTCATCAAGTTTTCGAGCAAAAATGCCAAAATGTTGCCAACACTCAGACTTTTTATCTTTCATATTAACAACAGTTCAATATTTCTTATTGAATATCTAGTTCGAAGTAATATTTTCTGTAAATAAATCTTGAAAAGAAGGAGACACATTTGATGAATAAGTTGTTGAAGAAGATAAAGTAGAAGGTGAACTAGGTGATGAACCAGTTCGCTGAACATCTGTAGGATTTAATGAAGAATGGAGATCAATAACATCGTGTATGTTTAGTAAGAGAGAGATATTCATATTTTCTTAGACGAAGAAAGGCAAGAAAATATATGAATATACTTTCATTGCTAATTACGCCATCTGTTGACTGATCACTCTACTTTTTCCCATGTCAATACACCAAGTTAAATTGTATCATTTTAGCTAAGAATCGAACTGAAACCGAGATCTTTACGAAAAACTACGAACCGAACCGTACCCATCTCTGGCACCAACATAGCTTTTTTCGAAAATATTCAAAAAAAAAGAGAATCCGACGCCCGATTGGGAGGCTTTCACAATGTTTTGCCGTCAAATTTAATCGAAGTTTATTTAATGATTTTTCAGTTTTACGAATTTATTAATTGTGTGGATGTTTGATTGAGACACTTTTCCCAGAATCTGCCATTACTCAGAACGAACATTACGATGACCAGATACGATCGTAAACGGTCGCATACTACCGCTCTATAACGTTTCCGGCCGTAATTTTGCATGCATAGTACTACGGCCCTATTTTCCCGTGTCGTAACCGATTACTAACTGGTCGTAATGTGGTCGAATATTTCAGTATTCGACCGTATACCGTCGTTTTTAGCACGATGCAAAACGATCGTAATACGATGCATACCAAACGGTCGTGTCCGACCCAAGTTGACCGACCTGGGTGCGCTGATATTGATGGCACGCTTGGATGACTCTCCTTCCTCCTCTTTCTATTCTCTTTCCATTGTTTTAATATATATCTCGCCTGTCTCTCTCCTATATATACGTGTGTTATGTATGAAGTTGTTACACTCTGGATATGTGAAGAAACGAATAAACATCATTGCTGAGAGTGGCGGTAAACTACTCCATCTCTATCCAGTTTGCCATTACCATATCTACCCAAATACGGTCCCATATTTATCGTTATACTCGGTAAATGTGCTCATTCTGATGCAACTATTTTTACCTAAAACTGACTGCTTGACAAAATTAATTCTCTCTAATCATTATTCAAGTCCATGTAAAAAGATTTAGAGGAGTAATCAGATTAAAACCCATTACAAAATGATTAAAATCATACACCTTCAATCGGTTATAATAAAAAATGATCCGAAAAACCAAATTTTCATCGATTATTCCTATAGTTTTCGATTCAAATATACGAAAATTGGTTAAAAATTGCAGCTTACTTTGACCAAAAATCGATTAAAATCGATGTTTTTTACAAAATATGTAACAAATTATACTAAAACACAATAGGAAAAATCGATGAAAATTAGGTTTTTCAGATTATTTTTGATTCTAATCTGTTTACTCCCATAAATGTTTTTACGAAATGTTGAGGGTGTGGGTGTGAATGTATATGTACGTATGGCATTTCCTTGATGTAAACCCACAGCCGCGCACCCACACCCACACCTCACTACCATAATATGATAGTAAGACATTTAATATTTCCTAATAAATGACCGTGTCATTCTATTAAGATGATATTTTTTTATAAAACAAATAGACTTTTAAAATTGTGTCCATCTAAATTGCATTTCATTAGCCAATAGCCAGACTTCAAGATTTGATATATAAATGAAGCAACAATTAAAAGAAAATCTAACACTATTATGCCATAATTTCTAATACAATGGAAATATTTTATTGGATAAATTTCCATTGCTTAGAGAATATTTCAGAATTGGAGAAAAATAGCCAATATTAAAAAAACGATCATTTCTAATTACTCATGAAAATGCAATCAATTTAGAATAATGGTCAGGTTTCAAAAGTCGTGGCAGTTCTAGTACTTACAACGATTGAATTCTATTAGTTTAACGAATGTTAAATATTGTTCTATAGAAGTCGGTTATCTGTAAAATGTCTAAATTTAAAAATAGATTATAATTTCTTCTAGTTAAAAACAATCCAGCAATATTCACAAAAGAAACTTAGAGGTCAAGCTCAGGGATATGATTGTTTCGTTTTGTGAGTAACATGAACATGAGATAATTATGAACTTTTTTTTTCTACGAAGAATGAATATGAAAAAATTAACAAAACGAAAAACAAAATCTATTCAAAACCATCCGTTTTCATTAGCTAATCAAAGCTATTTAGCTATTCAAGTCATGTCGGGAATTTAGTTTTACTTTGACCATAAATTCATATTTTATCAAGTACATGAAAAAAATCGTGTTTTTTATGAATATGTTTATGAATTTAGCCATATTGGTTGTTACGCTTTTCATCCTCCATTTCAAGCCTCTCCAATGATTAACAAATATCAACCAATCATCATTCTTTCCATGTATTCCCATGAAATTTTCATTGATTATATTGTTTCGTTGACTGCTCATGTGTCTACGTAGCTTCGTCAAACTAATTTGAATTTTGTTTTAGATAAATTTCTTTCAATCTCTAGGAAAACAAAGAACCTCATCATGAAAGCTAAAGGCAATCTTCGCGAATATCGTATAATCGGTCGTAAACTTCCATCATCGACTTTAAAAACGCCACCACTCTATGAAATGCATATCTATGCACCCGATGAAGTTCAAGCTAAGTCTCGTTTTTGGTTTTTTCTACGTCAACTTAAACGTGTTAAAAAAAGTGCTGGTGAAATAGTTGAATGTAAGGTTGTTAATGAACGTAAACCATTAACAGTTAAAAATTTTGGTATTTGGCTTCGTTATGATTCACGTTCAGGTACACATAATATGTATCGTGAATATCGAGATTTAACACGAGCTTTAGCTGTTACACAATGTTATCGTGATATGGGTGCTAAACATCGTGCACGACCATCAACAATTCAAATCATGAAAATAAAACGTTTACCAGCTAAAGAATGTCGTCGACCACATGTGACACAATTTCATGATTCAAAAATCAAGTAAGAATATAATTAAATCTTATTGGCCAAGAGAGAAAAACGAGATATTCATCCTTTATTTTAGATTTCCAATGGTTAATAAGGCAACAAAACGTTTACATCATCCACGTTTTACAACAAGTCGCCCACATACTTATTTTTAAAACAAGCAATACAATATCAATCGATAATATTTAGATGATTTCAATGTATTGCGTCAGTTTTGAAAATGAAAAAGAATAAAAAAATATATAAGAACAAGAGCTGTTTTCTATTATTATTTTTTTTTCTTCAAGTAAGAACAACAAGAAAAAAAACGTTCTTCTTCTAGATAAGTAACATGAATTGAATACCGAGGTGGCTATTGACCATCAGCTGAAACTGTGTCAATGTCAGCCGGACGTTCGAGTACAAATATTCGAGCATCATCAATGACACGTCCAATGCCACAACTTAACAACACTTCGAATGTTTCATCGGTAACAAGATCAATTCAAACCGGTAGCATGAACGTAACACCCAGTAGCGTTCGTTCACGACCATTAACTGTAGTTAGACAAGGCTCAACAGAAAGAGCAAATATTTCAACACAAAACATTCCATCAACAGTATCTATAAGTCAACGAAGAATATCTAACGATACGACAAGACTTACAATAACTAGTCAAGATCGCTCTGTAAGTTGAAATGAATTTATAGAATATTTCAATCAATCTCTAAAATCTTTTTCTTTAAATTTCTGTTTTCTATAGACTCTTACCATAAATCAACAGTATGCGAATGGAGCAGTTAATGAATCATCAAATGATGATCCAGAGCAATGTGAACCAAACGGCTATAATTTGGCAGCAACTATGAAAACAAATGAAGACTCAACGAGTGCAAAAGCTTCTTCCATCGATCGACAAAATACTCAATCATATTTGCTACTTGAATCACAATTAAAATCCGGTGGTTTAACTGGCTTACATAATCTTGGCAATACTGTAAGTTTCGTTTTTTTTGTTTTGAAATATTTTCTTTCTATAGTTTTAATTTAATCTTATCGTTTTTTTTAGTGTTTTATGAATTCAGTACTTCAGTGTTTATCGAATACAAAACCACTTTTATTATTTTGTTACAAAGAAGATCTTGATACACATTTTAATAGATCATCAACAAGTGTCATGAAAGGTTCTTTAATGAAAGGTAAATAGAGAAGATCTTTTCTCTCGTTTCGTTTTGTTATATAAACGTTTTGACTATAGAATATGGAAATTTAATACGGACAATGTGGTCTTCATCCAGTAGTCATTCTGTCGTAAGTCCATCAGCATTCAAAAGTATAGTAGGACGATTTGCATCACGTTTTGTTGGCTACGCGTATGTTGATATTGTCAGAAGCTAATGAAAAAACAAAAATTTCAATGTTTTGTTTTTCTATTTAGACAACAAGATTCTCAAGAATTTTTGAGATATCTTCTCCAAGGCCTTCATGAAGATGTTAATCGTGTACAACAAAAACCATCACCAAGTAAAATTGATGAGAAAGCAGAAGAAAAAAAGAAGTAAGAAAAATAATTCACTCTATTTACTGATTCATGATCACAGATCAGTAGAACTATTTGAGCAAAGAAAATAATAATTATTATTGATTTCATAGAGACATAGCAAGATTGAGAACTAAATATATTCCACTAAGAAACAAAAAGCAAAAATGACTAGTAATAAATGTTTCTTTTAATAGAATTGGAAAGCCGGAGGACTCAAGAATAGACTCTAATATTTGCTATCGCTTGAGAGTGGGACAATAAAACATCAAGACGAAATTGTTCTGCTATCAACCATCTTCGAAAGAGAAAAATTCAAACGAGCACCTCGAAGATCTTTCCTGTCGTATAATTAGTTTCATACTTCATAGAATTCAAGTAATGTGAGCAAGAACACACTATAAGAAACTTTTATAGTGAAAATGTATCGAAACTGACATGAAGTTTCTCGCAAAAATTTGATGTATTTTTCTATATAGAGAATCTAACTTCTTTTTGCACAACATCAAGTGAAATAGCCCTAAGAAAAGAAGACTGTCCACATGTTTATTTTGTTTTTCCAGAACTGCTCTTTTTATGATTCATCATTTGAGAGGTCGGAACAAATTTCCAAATAGACAATGATTCAAGTTTTTAGCTGCTGAAGTTCGTTTGCTCTTTGATATATTAGTTTTTCTTCTTCTTCTTCTAGAGAAACAGAACGTGCAAGAACAAGTTGGGAACGTTGTTTACTCTATGATAATAGTGCGATTGCTGGTTAGTATTTAAAAATCGTGTTCGAAATAATCTGTATGAAATAATATCTTGTTAGATATATTTGCTGGACAATTGAAAAGTACTCTTGAATGTACTCATTGTCAATATCAATCCACAACATTTGATATGTTTTGGGATTTATCAATTCCACTACCAAGAGTAAAAATTAACAAGATTAAAATTTAATTTTTTAATATTCATATTCTAGAATAAATCATCGAGCAGTGTACAAGAATGTATTCAATTATTTATGAGTAAAGAAGAATTAGATGGAAATGAAAAGCCAGTAATAGGAATGCCATAGTTACACTGTTTCCTTTAGTAATTATAATTATTTAGATGTGTGCCAAATGTAAACAAAAACGACGATGTACAAAAAAATTTTCCATACAAAAATGTCCCGATATTCTTGTACTTCATTTAAAACGTTTCTCACAGGCTCGTGGTCGAACAAAGCTAAATACTCATGTAGATTTTCCTATAATTAATCTTAAACTTGACGATCTAGCCGATGTTATGTCTACAAGCTATGAAGGTATGCTTGTAAGAAAAGAAAACATTTTTTTATCTTTGAAATTTTCTTTAGGACCAGTACCAACTTATAATTTATTTGGTATATCAAATCATAGTGGTACAGCATATTCTGGTCATTATACTGCACAATGTAAACATCCATTTACTAATCAGTGGCATGAATTTAACGATTCATCTGTTTATTCATTGAGTGAGAAATCTCGATTTATATCATCAAATGCTTATGTGCTATTCTATGAACGAAACAAATGACAGAAATTTTTATTTTCGCTTGTATTCTCTGTTTTGTTTTTGAAAATCTTAGATCTTCCGAATGAGAAGTTTTTTAATTAATTGTCGTTCGAAATTTTCTTCACTAATTTTATTTCTTCTACTTCTGTCAATTTTTCGAATGAATTAAATGTGTGTGTTTGCATTGATTATTGCAAAAAATAATTGAAAATCTATATTTCCTTTCCTTGCTTGCAGTGAGATATGTTCGGATGATTTGCTTTTAGAAATTTTGCAGTAATAGAAGAAAATGGCACGTGAGAAATTTAAAAAAGATGCAAGTAATTAGTGTGGGTTTACATCAAGGAAAGATCCACACCCTCCAGTTAGAATATCTCGTACGATTGATAAGTTTTATTTTAAAAATCATTTCATTTAAGACACGAGATTTTCTCACAGAGGTTACTCAATTGATTCTTTTAAATTTTCATTTCATTTCCTTATCATAATAGTATACTAACTAGTGAGTGTTTTTGCGACCGGGGATACATCGATAGTTGAAATCGTTATTCATTTATTTATGATTATTATGAGATCCTTTTCCTAGAACTGATGATGTTGAACTGACTAGCGTCGATTAAGACGAGCAGCTCTCTAGGTAGTACACACCGTTTCAAACCTTATATTTGTCGTGTTATAGTGGTCAATGACTACATCATCTAGTATAACGTCTTCGTCGTCAAGGCTATACATTGAGAGAATTCGGAGGAACCATATTTTCTGGAAAAATACTATCAGCCTTTTAACACAGCTAACGTTTCAAAAGACGAGTTTTGAAAACAAAATTCGCCAGCTATTATATTATGCATCTGAACAATAGTCCTACAGGTTAAGACTTTTTTGTACCCCAACCCTACCATATCGTAAAACTGCGTACCCTTGTCCTGCCCGGCCCTAGGGGCTTTGTACCCTTACCCTACCCTGTCACAGAGATTTTTCATTTTACACCCTATCATATTCTTAGAGCTTCAGGTCCAAGTAAAAGTCAGCATGAAGTTTTTCTTCACTTTGTTTCAATATATTTTATTAATTTTCAACGAGAATCAAATACAAAATTAATAAATATTTTGAAAGTTTCTTAAAAATAAAATATCATTTACAACATCACCACTTATATTTTACCTTCTCTCTTCCAAAACTCGCCCGTTTGCACTAACAATACGTTCATGTCGAGATGATTTCGAAGACATTTTTTATTACATTTACATGCACATCTACTAGACAAATAATCAAAAGCGACTGAACTCGTCAGTTTATATAAAAATAGTACTAAAGAATAGGCCATTGCTTTCCGTTCGTTGTTATTCTGCCCATTCGATTTAGATTATAATATCACTCTTTACACTATTTGTGATCAAAAAGATGTCAGAAATATATATTAAGTTCTACTTTATAAAATTTTTATTTGTATGAGCTACACCCTACTTATACCCTAAATATTTTTTTGTAACCTTACCCTGCCCTGCCCTGCAGGGTAGGGCAGGGTTGATCTGCAGGACTCTAACAAACATCATCATGTATAGTATTTCAGTCACTTGATTGCAGAGATGTAACTCATCTCTGAAGATGGGAGTGTTGGGAAATCGTTGCATAAGCCAATTTCAAAAGCAGGAACGGAGGCGCAACAATAGCTAATTTAGAGAGCATGACACTGTTACACCCCATGCCTCCCCTATTTTTGACCCTGCTTGATTATTGTAATAAATCACTATTTTTTTACTGCTAAACTATTTTTCAATGTGATAATAGGAATATTATTATTATTCATTTAATCTTAACTTATTTTTCTACACGTGTCAATATACTATCAAAGCAGCAAGATGTTCATGCAAAAGGATTATATGAGTCTTGAAAAGTTAACAGGAAAGGAAAGATATGCAATAAATATTTTAAAAGTCATATTGAAAAAATTTTAGGCTTTCTAGCCAAAATAGTTTAGAATATTCCAAAGCATATTAATTAACTTCTCTGATAATTTAGCGAACTTTAAAGTGCATATTTAGTACATACTTTTTCACTTACATTTCTTGATTAGTTGTAATCTTTCACTTCAGGCGATACCTTTTTACGTAAAGATCTATTATCAAGTTTTTTTTGTATTTAATCAGGTTTTAGAAATGCATTTGAAATATAGAATGACTATAATAATTAGAGGAAGCAACTTTTCGTTATATTGTCAAATAGACATAATTCTTTTCTAATAATGTCGCATATCTAAGAGATCAAGAATGCAAATAATTCGGTTGGAGCTACAAACATTTAAATCTTCTAGACGATTGACATATAATGTTTATATGTCAATTCTATTATCTAAACAAAACCTTCACGTTCATCTACTTATTGAGAAGATGCATGCATTATCCAAATCTTCAAATGCCATCTTCTAAAATGTCTTCTGAAGTTTTTAAGAAAGATATGTACTTTAAAAATCCACAATATTTTGTTTCCAACAGTGCTTGTCAGAATTCTTATCAATTATGCATTTATTTATAAATATTTTAAAGCTACATGTAAACATTGTTTTTACTTTCATTCTAGTGCCCATTGTTGCAAGAATAAATACCAAATAATTAAAAGTTGTATTGTTACCATAATTTTCTTTTAATGGGTGAAGCAAAAGTTCCTGGGAAAATGTTTCCAAAAGGACGATAACTTCTAACCTTTTTGCCATATATCCTAGTTCAGCATCCACATACTTAGAGAATAGTCTGCTCTAAAAACTTACGAAGTCAAAATCATTCTAGTAAACCTTATAGCAAGTTTACATTTTCCGGAAAGTACCATCTTTCTTTTTATACACTATCTTTTTTTTTGCCCTTGAAAGATGTACTTGGTACTTGAACGTAAAAAACTTATAAAAAAATTGAGCATACTATTAGGAAGCTCGGCAAATTTAGATTCTCAATAGTTATTTTAAAATTTTTCAAAACATATTTTAGCAGACTTAAAATGAAGTAACATTTGTACAAAAACTTTTGCATCACTCAAATTTTCCCGACTGAATATTTGTGTTAGTCAATGGTGCGCTCACTGCTTGAAGGGCAGCGGTGGTAAACATATTTTGAATCTACAGTGGAAAAAATCTTCCAATATGGATTTTGAATAGCATCGTTTTATCTTTCTATAACGTGTTTCAGAACAAGAAAAATGGACAGACATTTTTCTAGGAACTTTTGCGTCACTTGTTACTGTTGCTTTGAAAGAGGGAGTCTTTCAAAAACATAAATCAAACTATGGATTCATCGTTTTCTATTAATTTCTTTTCGAACTATGTATAGTTAATAGGGGTTTCACTATGTCTTTCAAATAGGGCCGTTTTTGCTGCCATATCCACCCCCGGCCTTTAGTGCAGTTCAAAATATGTCAAGTCTCCTATTTAATTATATTCTATAGAATCACTATCAAATTCGAACAGAGTAAAGCAGCTGATTTCTGATGCATTCTATATGTAATACCTGGAAGAATCTACTATTAGGAGATAAATCAAAGCCTGTATGTCAGATAGAATAATCGCTTGAAAAATTACTCATATTGAACATGCTCACTGGTTGCATTTTCAATTTCCTTCCTGAACTAATCATGTTGAACTTCTTTCTATCAAACATAGTCCCATCAGCGTTGGAACTCATACTCTTGTTCTTCTTCATATTTACCACGAATTTCATGAAGCCTCTGTTTAGTCAATGATTTATACGCCTGTCAGATAAAAGGATCATAAATTGATATTTTCAATCAACTGTTTTATTTAAAATATAAACAATAACCATTTCGTACTTAGCAAAAATATGTATTTTGCCAAACAAGTAAATACACTGTAATCAATATCTTTTTTCAAAACAACTTCCACACCGAAAGTGAATTTGTCGCATGTTCAACTGGTTGCCAATGGTCAATTACATATACCCGCATTACAATACAGCGGTGAAAGGCATGTATAATTTGCTGATGATATACAGGAACCATTATATGCAGCTCGATTAACTATTTAAAATAATGAAGTCAGTTATAGTAAAAACACATGTTATGGTTTAAAATTATTTTCATACCACATTGTTGTAGAGTTGAATCATAATAAGTTGTGTTCGCACAATTGCAGACATAACCTGCTAAATATAGAGGGCAATTACAATAACCTGGAATTGTAGGACATATCAATGTTGGTTGACAATCACTATCGTATGAACAAGCTTCAGAATAATTAAGGCGACGTACTAAATGTGAAAAACATCATTTTGGAAAAACAAAATAAATTAAATAAATTATCTTACAGCATGTTTGAGAACTTATATTCCAATATTTGGCTGAATCACATGCACATCGACTATTGTTATAACATGAAAGACCTCTTGTTGAATCACATTGGTTAGAGCCGATGGTACATGTTTGATTATTCGTGTATGCTGTTTCTATAATAACGGAAATCATAAGAAAAATTTTAATGATAGCAAAAGTCTTACGACAAAGATTCGATGAATTTAAAAATGTTGCAGCTGGACAAACGCACGTAGATATATTCCATACTTTAGAGTTCTTACATGTACAATTACCCGTGCAAGTCAGTTCAACAGATGAATTACATTGGCTTGATCCAACCGCACATGTGTCACCATAGTTTAAAGTATTATTTACAATAGTTACACCTAGTGTTTTTTTAGTATGATTCATTTTGCTAATTTTTTCTATTAAATTCAAACTTACATGTATTATTTAATGATACCCATGAATGGTAACTGTCGCATTGACAAATTTGATTTGTACATCTGAGCCCTAATGATGAATTGCATTGACTTGATGTTGAACATACTTGATTATACGTCAATAATGTGCCTGAATGAGTATGAAAATTTTCTTTAGAATTGATAGTTTTTTTTGTTTCGAACGAACACTTACAAGTTTTAAGTACCGTATTCCATGAATAAGGTGAGATACACGAACAAAATCCATTTGGACAATAAAGGTTTTGTGAAGATTTACATTGATTCGAGCCTGACGTGCATACTGCATTGTATGTGAGTGATTGAGCAGCTGTAGTTGTTGCTACAATTTAGAAGTTATATAGAATAGTTGTTCTTAAAAAACAATTACAGGAAAGTTACATGTCTGACTAAGTATCACTCCTAATGAAACACCGACAATGATAACAACAACAATTAGGCCGCAGACAACACATCCAATAACACAATTCCGTTGACGTTTTGCTGGTATACGAAAAACATCTTTCTAATAAAAGCCAAATGATTATAGTTCATGAAATAAAATTATCTTACATTATTTAAATTTGGATCCCATGATGCGCGTCGATTTGATTTTTCTTGCGCTTCCTTCTCCTCCTCATTATTTGGAATTTCTCTCACTTGAATTTGATCGGTGAATCGAATAGTTTTTGGTGCAACTCTAATCGACTCTTGCATTACTAATGCTTAATCTAATCGTCACGGATAAACAAAGGATTTGTTTTACTGTTTCTTTTTATCTACACAACTGAAGAATTTAAGAGAGTAAACAGTTTCAATATCATCGAAAAGAAATGCATAAAAGATTTCAAATGAAATTACAAAGTGAAATGCAGTTATATTTGTTTCGTGTCGTCAAAAACAAAAGTTGAAGAACAGAGAAGAATTTAAAATGATTTCAACACGGATAAAAAAAATAACGGGCAATAAAAATAAACCGATTTATAACGTTTCTTATTTACTTTACGTGGAACATGTAGTTCCATTTGATCGCCCGATTTGCACATGAATCTTTTTTATACTTTGAAAAAACGAATTTTTTGTTTGTCTCATGATAAATACTTTCTGTTGATTCTACACTTCAAATTAATGTAAAATAAACATGCTTCAGCTAATTCTTCAACGAGTTGATTGATGCCAATAGGGATAAATAGTTTTGGATACTATCGAGAAATGAACTTTTACAAAGAATTTTTACTAGACGTCTGTGCGACCCTGCAGCATTATGACTGAATTGGATATTACTTAAGTATTGTATTGCTTCTGGTGACTAAGCTAATCGCTTACTTCCTGGACGTCAACTCAGCTAATATGCCTTCATGTTTGATTGTGATCAAATAAATGAATGATGGACTTTAAAGACTTGTCGCGGTATTGAATTATTGATGTTAAATAAATTATCAGTAAACTAATCAATGTCTTTTTAGTTGAGACGCTTTCATAATTTTGTTCAATATGAAAATATTTCGAAATATAAGCAATTATTCTTTTTTTTTTATAAGCATGAAATTTATACAATCAGATTGATAAAATTGAAAGTCTCGTGAAACTTGTCAAACGAAAATCTACAGCAGCTCAACGACAAATATGTTATTATGAATCACTGTTTGTACAGCTGGAAACGACGTATGTTATTCATATCAATAATAAGTTCTTGTATTTTCATGCATTTAGCATCTACACTTTTATCTCTTGATTCACTTATTTCGAACACAATATTTTTAACCTCGTTGAATCAGCTGGTTTTATTTATTAGAATTGAACACGTTGAATAATGAACAATCATTATAATACGATGAAGCACTTATTCGAATGATCGCGTTTCTTTAAAATGTTTCATATTGAATCGTATAATCTGAAGTATCAAATATGCAGTTCAACACAAGAATATCTATTTACTCCTGACGTACTACTATTTTTCATAGAATTGTGCTGATAAATGTACTGAATTTACACTTGAAAATGTTAGTGCGTGTGTACGCAGATCTGCCAAAGGAATCATAATTTTCACAACGAAGATAGCAGACAAGTTTAGTTTTCTTTTGTTTCTGATCTTAATATACGTAGATCAGAAAAGCTTTCAATATATATATATATACATAGCTAGTGTTTTTGGCTAGTGTAAATAAATAAGGATTATTTCTTCTTCGAATTGTTAACTCTTTGTAAAAATCTACAACTTTATCTGTAAAACAATGATTCATCAGTGTCTAATTAGTTTTTAGAATTCTTTTACTTTCCTTCAACAACAAACAAGTCCACACAAACTATTGTACTATATGATGAAATGAATAAATATCAAGTCAATACTATCGCCTGCGAGTAATTTTCGCTAACAAACCATATTTTGGTCTCATCGTTAGTCGAATTTCAGGTACTATCTTTTGTCCTGGTTCCAATTGAAAATGACATTGTTGTACAAGCATCGCTAAAATAACTTTAGCTTCGAGTGATGCAAAATTTTGGCCAATACAGTTTCGCGGCCCAGCAGCAAATGGTAAATAACAGAATGGATGAGCTAGTTTTGGTTTCAAATTAGTTACCGGATCACGTAACCAACGGGTATAATCGAATTCATTTGGTTTTGGCCAATATTCAGATCGACGGTGAACTGCATATACATTGGTAAGAATTATAGCTCCTTCTGGAATACGAAACGGATGATCAGTTGTAGATCCAATGGTTTGTTCTTTGATGCATTGTCGAATAAAAAATGGTGCCGGAGGATATAAACGAAGTGTTTCTTGAAGAACAGCTTCAATTGTATGTAACTCATTCAAATGTTCATAAGTTGGAATCATTCCATCGGGTAATATTCGATCAACTTCATCTTGACAAGCTCGATAAACAGATGGATTTGTCATTAATTCATAGATAACCCATACCATTAAATTACTTGTTGTTTCATGGCCAGCAAATACAAATGTTAATGCTTGATCTTTTATTTCTTGATCAGTAAATGGTTGCCCTTGAGTATCGACAGCAGAAAGAAGTAAATCAAGAAGATCTGTACCTGCACATAAACTTTCCGATTGACCTTGTCTTCGATCAGTTATAATTTGATCAACAAAATTATTCACGTCTCGAGTACCTTTATCAACAATATTCTTTTTCCAAAATGGTAATTGTGATACAATAGGAAAAAATGTAATCATTCGTGAAGCACGATAAGAAATAGCTGATAGGACTTCAGTAAATCCACGAACAACAATTTCCCGTGCATTTGTCATTGTTTCAAAACTTTTACCGAAAGCACTCGAAGCAATGATAGATAATGTCAAATTACTAAATTCTATGGCCAAATTAATTGCTGACGATGATTCAAGAAGTGTATCTATTGACTTTTGTGTTTGATATGTCATAATAGAAACCATAGATCGAAGATTAGTAAAGTGAAATGCTGGATTGAGCATTTTTCGAGCTCGTTCATGTTCAGTTCCATTACTAACAAAAAGATTATGAATACCAATAATTGGTTTTAAGCGAAGACCAAGATCAACCGGTTTCATATAATTCTGAGCGCTTGTTCTACCGACAACATCAGCAATCAAATCAGGTTCTTGTATAACAAGACGAGAATATGGACCCAGCCAAAACAGATAGATTAATCCATGTTTTTTAGTTAATTCTTGATGATATTCTAATAATTGACCTTGTTCACGGCGACGACGTAATTCAGACAGTTGCCCGACAATGGGTACAAATGGTTCACTAGGTATACCTTGACTCTGAAGTGTATCGTAGATACGTTTTGATGAACGAATAAATTTCCAGTACACGCTTAGAAAAAATAAGAAAATAAAACTAAAAGATGTATACAGAAGTAATTGCAATACCATCGTATTTCAGTAGAGTAGTATGTCAACTGTTTACAGTAGCTCTTCTACTATATTATGTTTCTTTGCCTGATAAGTCGTCATCAAATCAAAACATGAGTTGTTATTTTTTTTTATTTATTATTGAAAAATTTCACACTAGCGCCTCTATATTGTTGGAGTCTAGTTGTCTACTTCACTGTGCTTATACTTAATTGCTCAATCATTGCACTGCAAAGTCGATTGAAAAGATATTTGATAAATAATTTATTTTAAATTCTCCTTCATTCAAGAAAGCGAATTAACGACTACTTTTATCTTCGAATTTTTCTATGCAATAATGAAAATATTTGTCAGTTCTGATAGAGTCACCGGGATACAGCAAACTGTTACAGGAAGTATTTATCTCTCATCTGTGGCTAAAATATGAAACTTATATTTTGAAAAATCCAAATAGGAATAATTCGTGTAAAGACATAATTCAACCTACTATTAAACTACTCAATTCCAATTCGAATTGATTTCAAGTGCTGGAAAAATGTCACGACAATTGCTTAGATTTCTATTTATGATACTAATAGAATGTCAACATTGAATGAAATACAAGATGATATTGCATCACATTTTATATATCAATCAGTGCGAGACTTCCGTCAATCGGCAGCAGTACTTTTTTTTCAGAGGGCCAACATTGATTTGAAGTATCCTATTGAGTTGTGAACAACTGTTGCCATTAAAAATTGATATCGTTCAGATTTTGTCTGACGTTTCCTCTCAGTTTCTCTCTCTCTTTCTCTCTCTCTCTCTCTCTGTGTTTTAAGATCATCAAGAAGTCATTGACGGAAACTATGGAATAGTGAGAAAGAAAGAGAATAATCATAGGTGACCTGCTCCAATTCATTTCGTCGGCTATATATTGACCTCATACATTCTATCAACGTTGCTAGCATTATAGAAAAGAAAGAAAACACATCGATTTTTATTGTGTAGCTGTTGCTTTCTGTTGAAAAATATCTGAATGATTCGATTAATTCTAATTTGTACTGTCTTGATTATTTTAACACAGAAATTGCAAATTCATGCAGGTAAATAATTTAATTTATCAAGAATTCCAATCTCAGGAACATGATGTTTTTTTTCCAGCTCGTGAACTCTATAGTCAATCGTCCGGTCGTAGTCGACCTACAAACCTGAATATTAATCCAAAAAATGCACAATCTAATTTAGAAAAAAAATATTCTCAACATCAATATAAATTTTCGCATTCGCATGAAAAATCTCCAACATTTGTTCAATCTCGTCGTTTTCACCTAGATCAATTTTCACGTGATATTCGTGATCTTGAGCATCCATCATCATTCACAGCTCCAATTTCTTCGTCGTATTATTCTTATGGTGGTCCTAACACACATCTGATTATCTCAAGTCAAGAAGCTTGTCGATTAACAACCAATGTATGTGCAGCTGATTCTCAATGTTGCTCAGGGAAGTGTCGTTGCATAAAATGGTCAGTTATGGGTAAAATGTCATGTTGGAAAAAATGTTTCTAATTATTTAATTATATTTGTAAAAATAAAAACGAAATGTTTGTATTTTTAATTTTTCATTGCTGTTGCTAAATACTTTGGTAAACCGAATTCATCAGTCGGAACACCCTTCTGATATAAAATGAATATATGGAAATCAGAATACGATAGAAAGCACTTACTTCTGTTCGTTATACCTATTATTTTTCGAACGTCAATAGATTCAACATGAGCATTTGGTATATTTATGTTACTATACGATGAGATGGATTGAACATCATATGAGTCTATACCAGCATTAACTAATTCTTTATATAGATTTGAATTTTATGAGTAACAATGAATTTAATACCATTTTAAAGATCACAATCAGTCAAATCCATATTTTGGTCAACGGATCGACTAAACAAGTCATTCATTTCGCCTTGATCAAGAAGTTCGTCATCAAGATCATCCATAACAGCCTTATTATAATAGAAAGAGTTTTGAACATTCTCACCTTCAAAACATTGATATGTTCGAGTAACAAGGATATTATTCTTCATATTGTATTGTGACTTTCAAAACAATACTAAAGACAGGTTTTCCATAAATTTGATCTTCAATAAGTATAATCTCATCGAAGATTTTATTTTCTCTGCTAAATCTGTTAGAATAGTGATAGTCTCTGACTAATATCGCTCATGCTTAGCAGAGCTTAAGAGAGTGTAAGAGAAAAAATCTTAGAACCTCATGATGGAAAACTCATTCGTATTATTCAATGTATAAGCACATGATAGTTAATGGAAAATCGATTGACATTTGTAAGTAAGCTCGTAGACCTTTTAACATACTTAACTATAATATAAAAAAAAGAAGTCGATCGACGCAATGATAATGAATTTTATTTCAGCACTAAAATTTCTGTAAAAACTAGAGTCAAGCAGGCTTTCAGTTCAGTAGATAGATGGTTCGTGCAATCATGATTGCTTATGTATGAATAACGTCTTGTTATAATTTAACTAAATATCGAATCCTAGTAAACATCGTCTTAAAAAAACTTCATTATTTCGATTATAATATTCTTAACGGCTGTTGAAAAATTTTCCTAGCAATTCTCAAAAGCACTATGATAGAAAAGAAAATATGAGTGAATCGAAAGTTTTACCAGTTAAATTTAGTTACGAGTCACTTCACAGGAGTTGTCAGTATGCAGAGTGACGCTATAAATTATAAAAGTATATCATTTTTTATCGCAATCGTGAATCGTTTCTCATAAATGCAAAGCTAAATGTACCCAAATTGGTTAGAAATAGCTAGACTATATGTGGATCATTAAAATAGGATGAACTATCAATTTCCAAGTAAAAAACATTGATTCTTCGATCCGAGACGTTTGAAATAATATAATAATTTGATATATTATACATTCTTTGGTTATTCAGCACACACATTTACAACGTGAATCTTTTAACTGCAATTATTTGCGAAGCTCATTAGAAATTCAATCACAGATTCCATTTGAGCGAGAAACATTTAAAATAATTAAATTTAGTCTATCCTATCTGTTATCAATAGTATTTCGTCAAACTTTCGAAAGTATTGATTTCGATTTTCAAATTCTTATAAAAATCACATAGGTGTATTAATTAGATTAAAAGACTTAGTTGAACTTTTGAAATGTTTAAATCTTTAGAACCTTTAGCCAATTGATTTTTCGCATCTTGTAATCCATTATGCATAGGTCCACGAGAAATTCATGTTAGCCCGTTTTACTTTTCTATGTGTAAGTTACAAACGCATAACTTTCCTTCTCTCCTTTTACTACCAACAGTAACTTTAGTCTTCACTAAAACTTCTCTACCAAGACAATTCACACATGTGAAGCTGTAGGAACAACAATGAGTTAAGCGAAAACGTGATGCAGCTAAATATATTCACGATGTTAAATCTTATTGTATTTTAATTTCAATAGTTTTAATGATATTTCAACAATTGATACACCGCATGCCATCTTCAGATTATTATTGATTTAAAAAAAAAATTATTTTTGAATGTTTTTTGTTGTAAATAATGTTGATATTCTTGATTTGTCATTCATTCGTCTATTTCCTAATGCAGCATTATCACAACCTGATGTTTCATTAACCTAACACCAGTTATCGATTTTTAACTACAACATTGATGAATATATTTAGCCGCGTCAAACTTTCGATGAACTCATTGTTGTTGCCACAGCTGCACTCGTGTGAATTAAACTAAATGCTACATTTTTCACTATTTGAATGTATTTAGAATTTTTTTATCAGATAATTATTTTATTGAATAGAGTATCCACCGATAGTCTCTACTATCTATTGGCTCTCTTTAAAAACAGATGAAAACCATCAATTGTTGTTCATACTTTCATGTCGAATAAAAACACGTTTTAAAATCAGCTAAACTTACTTGGTAGTTTAAATAAGGTGTACTTAGTTTTTTATGTAGATAAAGTTCCATCGTATGCCATTGATTAGCTCAGATTCTGTTCACTAATTGAAAGATATTTCAATTCAAAGTATTGTCAAGAAAAACTTGACTGAATTTTGTAAAAGAACAATTGATTTCTATTAATTTTGGAGAGAGAAAAAATGAATTACGGTCAGTTTCTGTATCGGTGGTATTCAAGTAATTGATAATTATATGTTGCAAATTATGGATCAATCTATTTTTATTTATTTCATTTTTCCTATTTCAAATAAATCTAAGAAACTGAATTCTTTTTTTTTTGCTTATCGTTATATAGTTTTGGTTAACGAAATAATGATGATGTAATTCTTTTACGATGTTTCTTTTTTCGATAAATTATTTTGTGGTATTAATAATCTTGACATTGTATTTGTGATTCATTTTTAATATCATACTTGCTTTTGAGTTGATTTGAAACAATCTAGATACTTTTTCGTGAGACCATAAAAATGACATGAATATACTCAAGTCGTCGTAAAGGTGAAAGAGCTGAAAGTATTGTTTTTTTCTGTCAACTTGACATTGAACAACATCATTTTAATCAAAAATTTATAACAGATTGGCAACATCGATTTCCTATTATGAATATGAGGGATTGGTGAAAGTTAAGCACAGGAAAAGTCAGCACGGATAGATCAGCACGGAATAATCAGCACGTAATAATTCAGCACAAGGATTGATAAGCACAAGATCAATTCAGCACAGGAAGAATAAACACATTTATTCATCAGCACCAAAATTAAATACTAATAAATTTTAATCATAGGATTTTTTCAAATAATAAGAAAAATAAGAATAATTCGAAATTTAAAACGAAAAATTATTTCGACTTCAATTTGTAGTTGATGAACTCAACAACACATTCAACAAGATGAAATCAACTATTTTTATATTGAAAATGACTCCACTGTATTGAGTCGAAAGCTCTAGTAGAAATTCATTATTTATTTTATTATAAAAGAACTAGATAAACAACTACAAATTGAAGTAGAAATAATTTTTCGTTTTAAATTTCGAATTATTCTTATTTTTCTTATTATTTGAAAAAATCCTATGATTAAGATTTATTAGTATTTAATTTTGGTGCTGATGAATAAATGTGCTTATTCTTCCTGTGCTGAATTGATCTTGTGTTTATCAATCCTTGTGCTGAACTTTTACGTGCTGATTATTCCGTGCTGATCTATCCGTGCTGATCTTTCCCGTGCTTAAATTGCCGGTTCCCGAATATGAGAGTGTATTTTTGAATGAATAGACGTCTAAATTTAAAATAAACTAAAAATGGTCGACTCGTTCGTTTCTATCTAACAAGGCTCATTTTCCATTCGCTATTTTACTTACTTTGAGAAAATTCTATTCTAGTTGATAATGAATACTCATCTGTAAATACTTATTTAGCCTTTGAATGCAGCGTATATTTATAATTTTCTCTTTCAACTAAACCAATTGGATTAATTTTTTTGAAAAACTATTTTAATTAATACATTTTGTTTCTTTTTTCTCTTTTTGTTTGATGTGGCAAATATAGTTTTTTTTTGTCTGATGTTGTACGAAAGCAACACTAGTAGAACATGCAATCAGTTCATTAAATAATAGAATAGCGATAGACTTTTGTTTACTAATCTATTTAATTAAAAAGGAATGAAAAAAGAAATATCGAGCATACGCTTTCTCCATGCATTAGAAAATCAAGCCTTATTAAAAAGTATTGACAGAAATGAAATTCAAACTGTTTTATTCTATACTATTTGGATCATATTTGTAGTTAAGTATCATCAAACTACGTATTGTACTTGCTTGACAGTCGAAGTTATACTGCTTTATTTTCGAAAAAACTAAGAAGAATCTTTTCTTAGACATAACTTATGAATCCTAGAATTTTTATTAGTGACTGCGTTATTCATATTCCGCAGATTATAAAGAGCCAATGATCATTTCCAAGGATTTAAGTCTCTTTTCTACTTGAAATTTCACAAAAATGAGAAGAATCGATATACCTTAGTGCCCGATGAGCATTTTCAAATGACAAAATTCTTGTTCGTAGTTTAAAAATTACGAAAATGTTTTCTGAAATGATCGACTATCAAAATTACAGTGCGACTTTTTTCTTCTGCCATGAATATAAATGTTGCTCTTTCAAACTTTATCCAGTGGAGCTTTATTTTATTTTATTTAAGTAACAATGAACTATATAAATAATACGCACCTTTGCATTGCTAGTAACTACAAGTAAGCATCTCGATGTGATTGAATATTCATAAGCCTGAAAAAAAATCGAAAAAATAATCATTTCTGGTATGGTTTCAGATGGCAAAAAAGTGTAAAGGGTCACACAAGCTATATTCGTTTCATTAACAAAACAAATTCCCCACCATCGTCACCTAATTTGACAAACTAGGAAAAAAACAATAGACGCACTGTTTCGTCAGTACTTCAGATAACAATTATTTCAACGAGTAATATGACTTTTTACGAGTAATAGATACTTATGCGATAGCTTCTTTTCTGTTTATGGATATTGAGAATCGATAAGACAGAGCAACTTGTAGTAGACGTCTAATTTGAATTCGAAAAAAATCCCCATCCATGTCCTTTTGAATGAGAAAGGAAACAAAAAAAATTTCCTAGCTATAAATTTATAATTCCAATTCGAATTGATATCTATCCACTTTAATCACAGTAGAGATACCTGAAAATTGTAGCAACTATGCCATACTACAGTCACCACCAGAGATGTTTTGTGCCTCCATGCTCCAACACTAAAATAACCAGTCAGTTACGTTACAAAAACTTTTGCTAAGTTAACAGGGGTGTCAATTCGAGTTCTAAATTTACAACTAGAAAAACATTTTCGTTTCCTTTCTCATTCAAATTGATATGAATATCTTATAAGAAAATACTATCAGTTTCGCATCTAACATTATCAGATAACTAAATTAGCTTTGATTTGTGTAGAAAATATTATGTTGACAAAAATAATCTCTTCATTAGAAAATCTATTAGCTCAGGAGAGTATTTTTTATTGATGTGTAACAGCTCTATTTTTTAAATATGATGTTGTAGATTCTGATTGATTAACGTACATCGTAAAGAATGATGCGGTTGGGTCTATTGATAATGTTTTCTTCTTTCATTTTTACTGATGCAACTCACTTCAATGGAGGAACAATCCGATGGAGTCCCATTGATCCTTATGATAATGATACTTCAAATGATATTGATATTATTCAGTTATATTCATGGACATATCCAAATATACGGTGCGCCAACGATGTACCTATCACAACCAGCGGTAGAAGTAGTGCCAACACTAATTTGACTTGTGTTGTCGACTGCTCTACTGATGGTGGTTATTCTAATGCTCCAATCAGCATTCTCACTGACTGCATATCGTTTAATTCAACTTTGAAAACGATGATAAGTGAACGATCACGCAATGTTACGCTTTCTGCTGATGCACATTTCTATCTAGCTTATAGAGGGTCTTCTTGGGTAGCATTAAATGATCCGTTGCAAAGCGGTCTTCAATGGTCGATTGTAGCATATATTGATCTTCGAAAACGACCAGATGGTTTCATTAATACTCCACCTGTTGCCAATTTTGTTTCGCCTCAATATACTATGGTAAATCAGACAATACAAATTAACATTTCTGTGTCGGATGTGAACGTAGGGGATGATGTACGATGTCGATGGTCAACATATACAGCCGGATATCGAAGACGAAAACGATCAGAAGAAGAACATATCGAGCATCAATCTGTGACTCATGTTTACAACAAATTAACTACCGACGAAGAATCGATTCATTTTAGGGAGAAGAGATCTGGATCTGCGTGTAGCGGTAATTGTAGCTCATTATGCTCATATGGTTGTAGCTGCAACTGTTCTAGCTGTGTTTCTACAACTTGTACTGGTGCAACATGTACTGACAGTGGAGATTGTCTAATGGCAACGGATACGAGTACAATCATTGGAACAGGCACAGCCGATGAAATCTTCACATATGATGATTCAATCACCACTGTTACAACTACAATCGACGGTCAAAAGCCATTAAAATCAACTTCATCGTTTCCTCATCGCCAGGCGGTTGACGAATGTGGTGGCATTTGTTATCCTGATAGTATGCCTAATGGTACAAATCTAACCGACTGCACTGTCACATTCACGGGCCTCAAGGGTGGTGTCTGGTACGGTGTTGCTATTCAGGTAAATATATTAATGCTATTAGTGTATGATTGTTTGTATTTGATGAGTTATTGTGACTAATAGTAGTAGAATGTTCAATTGTTTTGCCATTACGAACAGTGATTCATTCTGACTGAGTAAATCAACATAGTAAATAGGTACAAGGACGAATATTTATTTTCTATCTTATATATGAAATAAAAAATTCCAAAAAACTACATTCTTCCTATTTTAATAAAAAGCAAGATATGAAATGATTTATAACATAAGTATATCTTATATTTATATTTAGTATACAGTAGACAGATATATTTTTTAAATATAGGTTGAAGACTTCATCAATACAACAAGTATGGTACCTATGAGTTCTGTTCCTGTTCAATTGTTGATTTATGTACAACCTGAACCAACTTGCTCAAAGAATCCTACAATTTTCCCTCTACAACAGTGCTTAGAAGTGCAAGCCAACGTCTCAATTACCTTTAATATATCTGCAAAGAATCAATGCATTCCAAGTATAGACACACTTGCAGATATTCTTGTTTCCATGAATATTACTGGTATGAGTCGTAGTAATCTGACAAGTGTATCAGCAAACTCCTCGGTCTCTTATGTCGAGTTCAATTGGACACCGCAGATGAATCAAATTGGATATCGGCAGCTCTGTGTCATTGCAATTACAAAGTATATGGTTTTCTTTTTAAGCATGTCATCATTTTAATATCTTTCAATTTTTATTCATTAGAAAAAAATTGCAATCTAACCAGTATTGTATAATTTTCACTGTGAAAAACTCGTCTGAACTTTGCATAACAACAACAACTACAACCGCAACAACATCGACGACGACTACCTCAACTAGTGCTACAACATCAACAACCACATCGACAACATCAACTACAACAACGACAACAACAGCCACCACGACATCAACAACAACTACAACAACTGCAACCACAACAACTACAACTACAACGGCCACAACAACTACTACGACCAGTACGTCGACAACATCTTCTACATCGACAACGTCAACAAGTTCAACAACGTTGACCACTTCGACGCTCTCAGAAAATCTCAATACTCAAGCGTTCAATTATTTGCCTCTTGTGATTGGACTCGCTCTTGGTGTTCCACTATTGCTTGCTGTCGGCATATTAACTGCCTGTCTTTGTTGTCGATGCTGTCGAGGCGTCTTCTGGTACGTAGAAATATTTTAATATTATGTTTTCAGAATTGATGTCATTCTATTTTCTAAGGAGACGATTGCGCCGATGGTTTTGGAGAGACAAACGTGTCTACTGCGAATCATGCAAAGGACACTGTACTGGTCACTTACCTGACAATAACAAGAAAATAGACAGCGAAGATATGCGAGACTATCGACAACAATATGTCAATAGTAAACCACGACAGGCAACAGCAGATTTATTTAGTGAAGATTCGTTTCTATCTGGGTCACTTTCACTGTTTGATGCTCCAGCATTGACAGCGTCTCAGACTACTTTCTTGTCGTCACCCTCAATGAATATCTTACCAATAGAGGATAATCCAACACCATGGGCTTTTCCTACGCAACCAACTTCTGTTAACGCTGTTGGTTCAATGCTTGTTCGGGCTTATGTGGCACAAGAGCAGAGAAAAGAAAAAAATTTCAATTGATTCATAATTTTAATAGACTAATGTGTTCAACTGATCCTTTTTAATCGTAGTTCTATTTTAACAATACTAACGCATTGACATATTTCTTTTGATTTATAGACACGAGTGGATTTTTGTGTGTTTACAATACATAACATTATTAATAAAAATAAAAAATAGCTTTTCAATGAAGTTCTGAAGAAAGGTTTTGCAAATGTTTATGTTCTATTTGACAAGTTTTATGGTCTTTGTCTTTTGAACAGATATAAACCAGCAAAAAAAAGATAAAAGAAAAGAGATACAAATATTTCATTCAAGAATTTTAAGGACTTTTCCTGCAACAACCATTTAGCTAGCGCCACCTAGTGTAAATTGTCGAAGTCGAGAAAAACGATCAAATAGTTCTAAACAAATCGCTGGCCCAGTCAGATTGTGATGATTCAAATCTTGTTTTAGCTGCTGGATATTTTTTAAAATAAATCTTGAATATTCTTCAGTTCTCTTATTTGCTTCAGGATCAATGATGACTAATCATTTGTTTGAATGAAATTTAGCAACCGCTCAATTACTATGAGGCATAGTCGAATAATCGAGATATATCATAGATTTATGTTCAAATATACCAACCTACGAACGAAGAAAAGTATCTATACTTATTACTTTGCAAATGAAAACAAGTAAATCATAGGTCGTTCAACGATAGATATTTAAAGTAGATCACTAATACCACAATAAAGTGCATGTGAATCATTGAAAAAACCAATCAGTAAGAAGTAATTATCTATATGAAACCACTTTTATGTGTCATTTTGAAATACTAGAAATAGTAAAAAATAAAAAGATTCATTTTTCCAACTCATATATGTTGTTCTTGGCGATGATTTACAATGTTAGCATGAGTTTATTTCATTAGCATATGGATATCAGCAGTATCAGTTATGTCTTCCAGAACAATGGAATGAACAGACTCGTTTTCCTTTTTTGGCATGCTAGCCAAGGTAGGTATTATACGAATAGATCAGATCAGACTGCAAATACTGCCATGCAGAGTTTATAACTTGATTATTTTTCAATATACAAAAAAACATATTTTCGCTACAAACTTATGGAAGAATCAGTTTTCATTATCTCAAAAAGAAACAGCGTTACCAACTGTACACGATAAAACTGAGTATTTCGTGTACACATTCGGTTTTTTTTTCAGTCTAACTGTTGTTGCCAATAGGTTTCATCATCAATAGCTTATTCTGCAGTGACTCTTTTCTTTTCATTTTCTCTTGCTTTGCTTATGTATTTTGTGACGCTTGGATTTTATCGTCCTATTTCTGGAATAAATTACTCTTAGTTTTTTACATGTACAATCAAATTTTCTACTTTACTTTTTCGAAAAAAATAATTTTTGATCGTATCGTACAGGTAAATAAAAAAGACAAAGCGCTGCAAAGAAAAAATGTTTTCAATTTTGTTTTAGAAAATTTCATGAGCTGATTTGGAGAAGTGCGTATTTTTGTGAAACACAATCCAAAACAAGATGAAAGTGTATAGAGTAGAACTTTGAAGCCACGTCATTCCACTAGATCTTGACACGTAAAAGGCATCAAGAGAATATCGCATCCGTCGATATGAATTTTCCACCACAGAATGGGTCATTGCGACCACGATAATTATTTTATTTGTTATAGCGAATTCACTGATTAAAATAGAAGCCAGTATTAGCGAAGTGATAATACAACTCGTATCGTGAAATCTATTATTTGTTGTAGGTAAACAAAACTTTTAGTTATATAGAATATCTTCATCTACTATAATACATATAACTGGTCTCGAATGAAACGTGGTTTGTCACAACAATAATAACAAACGATATTCATTCAGGACTATATTTTCCTATGCATACATCGGGTGTTCCCTGGACTCGTGACTTCAATAATTGTCGTGAAGGGAGGTACTCATCACTGAACTTCTATCCAATTCTTAACGCGATGAATGAAAAATGGCATTTTAATATCAGTGTGAAGCTAGCACGACGGAGCTAGCAGGATGAAACAGAGATTCAACTGTAAGTCTTCTCAGAAGTATTGCTGGCCCATAAAAACCAGACCATTCGATGCAAAATTTAATTCTGGATCGGACGGTCATACTTTTATTCCCCGGCAATACTTTGAGAAAATTCTATCCGGTTTTTCTTGTCCTATTTAGAAGAAAACAAAGGTGTAAGTAAACTTTTTTCCTAAGTATTGCCGGGGAATAAAAGTATCACCATCCGATCCAGAATTAAATTCTGCATCGAATGATCTGGTTTTTATGGGCCGGCAATACTCCTGAGAAGACTTATAGTTGAATCTCTGTTTCATCGTGCTAGCTTCACACTGATCATTTTAATCTTGCAAAAGAATCTAGAAATATCGTTTCTCTGATAAGTTCTTCAGGTTGTATACTTATTACGTATTGAATTATTTATCTTTTCAATAAGATCTGATGTAGAATGTTCGACTCGCAGGATACTTTGCTAAAAAAATCAAGTAGAATTTACTTCGTTTCCTTTTTGTCAATCTCCCGTCTCCTATGAGTTATCTTGAACAACATCATATATCAATCAATAGACTTCCTTATGATCTATTTGACGAAATGACATATATCCTTGGTAGAAAGAACAGTTTGTACTTATTTAGCCATAATTATCAATATAATTCTGATTGTCAATTCATCGACGAACAATAGAAGATTTTCCGTGTCAATTGTTTTGTAGCATTCCGTCCTAGTAACTTTGTATAATAGAAGAAACGTCCACTCTTTGCTTTTTTACAAGGTGGCAACTTTTTTCAAGTCCTATTCTCATGTTGTTGTTTCTCATGGTCATAATAACTCGGCAACGTATGGAAATATTGGTAAATATCCGCATTACTATTTTAATTAGTAAAACAGCTCTTAATGTACTCCGCATATTTGTACATGAGACTGATAGTTTGTTTCGAAGAAACGAGTAATATTAATAGATTAAGCATTGTACAGCAAAACAAAATAAATGAAAACACATCCATATTACTATCCACGTTACATTTCTCCCCTGCAAACTAGCAATAAAGATGGTTTACTCTTTTCATATCAATATTCATTCATCTTCTCTATTCATTTGGTTTAGTCGTTTGTAAAAATAAGAATTCTATCTCCAAAAAGAAAAAGAAATCTATTTTTATGTACTACAAGATGTTTTTGTTAGATAACGCTGCAATTATTTCTATTAATTTTATCTTTCTGCTCATGAACAATCCTTTGATGTAATCTATAATAATCAATCAAACTTCTAACTTTTCATCTAATATTTGACATTATTGTACGACTTAACAGCATCAAGCAGAAAGTCTACAGTTAATCGACATTATTCGCAGCACAGAAAACTACTGTTTTCCAATATCAGTTTAGTCATTTGCTGGATAGAAACATCAACTATCATTGATTTTATCTTTTGCGACCATCGAAATCATCGTCTTATTCTGCTCTTCGTCTATATAGTCCTCAGTTGTGTTTCAATTTTCATTCAATAGTTTTCTTTTATGGCGTGGAATTGATTTTCATGATTGATATAAAAACAACAATGTTGTATCTCAGAATAATGGAATTTATGTTTTTATTAATGAAGAAAAGAAAAATCAGAAAAGAATGAAATAATCTCTGGAATGTTTTTCAATTTCATTGATTTTTATATCTCTTTACCAATCTTCAATTGAAATTGATTTTCTTAAACCTTCATGACATTCAACTTCGTCAACAAATATTGTATTTGTTTTTGTTTCAATATCTTTTTCTAATATTAATTTATCACGATCCAAATTTCGAAGGCGAACATGTGATTCATTCAAACTAGAATATAAAGAAGGAAAAAAATCATAGCAAAAAACTATAATGAAGAGAAATCTTATATCCATATTCGAATTTTGCTTCAATTCTCACATTAACATTTCCACAATTGTATCTAATCGTAATCTTTTTTCTTCTTCTTTTCATATATTCATAAGATCAAGAAAATAGAGACAATGATGAGTGAAATTACTCTTATTACATACCGTTCTTGAAGTCGTTGTATTTCACATTCAATTTCTCGTATTTCTTCAATGAGACGTTTTTGTGGTGCATCATAAACAAGTTCAACATTTGGTCGTTTATGACGAATATCAAGACGCGTATGAGCCAATTTCAAATACTGTTCTTTATCACGTATAGCTTTTTCAGTATTTTTTATACTTTCTTCGAGTTGATCAATAAGTAAATGAACCTAAAAGTAAGCGAGGAAAAAAAAGAATTTAAAGCTTCTTTTGTTTGTTTGTTTGTTTTAGTTCAAATTTACATCGCGTAGTTGACTTTCTAATGTTTGTTTTGCTTGTTTTGATTCATAAATACGTCGATCAAATGATCGTCGTGTTTTTTCAACAGCTTGTTTAATATCAGCAACAAGCTTTTTCAATATACCATCAATTACATTGCGTAATTGTACAGCATTAAGTCGTTGTGCTTCAGCATGTTTAATATTTTCATCGGAGTATTCTTCCCAAAATGGTTCAGATACCGAACTGATTATTAATAATTAAAAATAGAGAGAAAAAAACAATGTTTTACTATTCTGATCATCGAATTGCTCTTTGATGTCGTGTTGCAAAGACAAGAAAGAAAAAGATTTTTTCATCATCAAAGCTATAATGACTGTCAGACAGTGATGTTTTACTTCCTTGCATACATATACCCACGGGCGTTTTTTCTCCTATCTACGTCAACTAAAAAGTTGTGAGTCGCTGGGGATAATGCTGTTTTTTAATAATAAATATACATGGAAATTAACATAAACATACCGAGGATTGACATGTGTAACACCTTCTTTAAGATAAAGTGATGGATTTGTCAAACTTAAATCAATGGCATGTTCGTCAATTGATTGAGCAGTAAATTTATCTTTGAGATCTCGATCAAGTAAATAGCGAGCTTTGCGCATCAATCTATAGAAAAAGAATAGAATACAATTATGTTCCTATTCAATTTCCCCGAAAAAAAAAGATGAAGAAAGGCGTAGCCGGAATCGATCAATATAGTTGAAGATATATACAAAGGAGATGGGAAGATGAATAAAAGACAGGAAGTCGTGCGAGTAATTTTCAACACATACGGGCATAATTCCAATCGACACTTAGATAGAAAAAGACTGTAAAGAAAATAAAGAAAAAGGAAAGACGACGCAAGAAAATCATGTGTCACCTGCACATCGTAACTTGTAGATGACATTTTCTTCTCGCTTTCTTGTCATGGTATATATACATTAAATAGTAACTGATTTTTAACCTTAAGCCAGCAAACACCAGAACCCATCATCATCATCATCATCATTTTATATTGTTACTCTGCTTGGCATCTTCTCGGATACTGTCGAACAAATTATTCTGTGTCACCAAAGGGACATAGATATTGTATGCAGTATGACGTGTGTGTGCGTCTGTGTGTATAAGGAAGCAGCACTGTATTGTCAATCTATTCTATTTGTGCGTGATATGAAGAAAAACAGCCAGTTAGAATTATAGTTAAGGTTGCTACTTAGAGTGTTGTATTTTCTCATTCCGATCTGTCTAACTGCTTATTCTATACTATAAAATAACAACACCAATAACAACAACAACAACTACTACTACTACTACGACGACGACGACGACGTCAGCATTGAGACAGAAAGAAAAGTAACGCACGCCAATATATATATATATATATAAAGAATATGGACAAATGATAGAGATTAATTATCTATTAGAATCGAATGACACAAAAGCTGAAATAAAACTTTATTGGCGAGATAGTCTCATGTTTCTCTCTCTCCTTCTCTCTCTTTCTCTCTCCCTTTCTCTCTCTCTTTCTCTCTCGCTCTCTATCTCTATCTCTATTTCTCTCAACATTACCATTATCTCATAACAAACATAGAAAACGACAGCGCGCGCTAAGCAGCTGCGCTTTCAATAACTTGATGAACAAAAGAAACTACATTTGCAAGCGCTACACAGTAGAAATGTCATCATCGTATAGGTTTGCATTGTAAGAGTGATAGTGGACGCGTAGAACAGTATGAGTAGAACCTCTCTAATCGACATGTTGCACCACACATACAGTTACTAATGATGTGATATTACGGGAATTGTTTGATTATATAGCTTGTGATAAAAGATGCGTTACATTTATATGGCAAGAAGCTGATATCATCATTAATGTTTTCCATACACACACACACACACACTCTCTCTCTCTCCGATTTTTTTTAACCACGCTGTTACCATTTATGCTCATCTTCTTTTTTTTTGTCTATTTGTCCTCTAAATGTACACAAAAATCCAATTCTTTTCTTTGCCTCCTATTGTGATTGTCATCAAACAAGCTTGTTGACAATTACATTCGCGCATGTATGGGTTTGTTTGTGATAAATGAAAAAAGCCCGACGACCAGCTCTTCGCAATCGTAGATCTCGATGATGCGAATAACAGCAGCATCAGCCTTGTGATCATTATCGCCCTACCATTAATATATATACAAATATATTAATACATATATATATATATATATAAAAGAGCTCCCTCTCATTTTTTTCACTCGACCAAATAACCTTGATATTATTTGTCGATTTGTAGATTAATCAACGAAACGCATTGGTAGAAGTGGTATATGATCACCGAACATCCAAAACACGTTTTAACGTGCTAGAAAAACGATGACGTTCCTTCGACTAATATCGATTACGTATGGCGTTTCTTTTATTGAAAGGCATTCCGAGTCTTGCTGGTCAAAATCAGGCGCCTCAAGCCGATCCAGATGATTTTGTTGATCGTCTAAATTATCGTTACACCGTTATATTACTAAATGTTTTCTCAGCTATCGTTACAAATAGACAATTCAGTTCCAAACAAATTCAATGTAAAGACAAATCAAAAAAAAAGATTAACTTCTTTTTTTTCTCTATGGTTCATTGAAAAATCTACTTTTTCATATTGTTTTAGGTTGGGTACCAGCAATGTTTACATCAGGTTACGAAGATTACACCAATCATATATGTTACATTACGAACACTTATTATGTAAATCAAACACAAAAAATTCCCTCAACACGTACTGAACGACAAAGTTTACAACTACTTTATTATCAATGGATCCCATTTATTCTTTGTTTCCTCAGGTAATAAAACAAATAAAACTAGCTGTTAATTATATTTTTCTTCTTCTTCTTCTTCTTCTTCTTGCTATTGCTATTTTCTCTTTGTATTTTTTCAAAGTATTTTATTCTACATTCCGAATCTTATTTGGCAATCATTGATGACACGTAGCGGTTTGGATTTAAAAGATATCATTGAAGCTGGTAAAAGTTATAAATCAATTGATAGAATGGATAAAAGACGTAAAATAATGGATTATATTATTGCTTCTATTGATGAATTTATCGACGACCCAAGACGTGGACGAGAAAATCGAAATTTAAGTATACTTCGACGAATACAAGCAGTTTTTTGTTGTATGTATGGAAAATTTCAAGGAAATTATTTTATGATGGTTTATTTATTAACAAAAGTTCTCTATGTTGTTAATTCAATTGGACAATTAACTTTATTCAATGAAATGTTAGGAATTAAATATTATCGTTATGGATTAGAATTAATACAAAAATTAATATTACTTATTCAAAACCAGCCCCTACAACAATCCTATCATCATCAAGGTGGCCTTTCGAAATATTTTCCCAAAGTAACTTTATGCGATTTTGAGTAAGTTATAAACAATTGCTTGTTTTGTTTTACTTCTTCTTTTGTTCATCTATTATTTTATAATCTATAGAGTACGTGAACCTAATCATCTCTTTAATTCTCATCGATATACCGTTGAATGTGTTTTACCAAATAATTTGTTATTTGAACAATTATTTACATTTCTATTTTTCTGGTATACGATGATAGTTATATTAAATTTAGTATCATTATTTACATGGTCATATTCATTTATTCGTCCTGTACGAATAAAGTATGTTACAACAAGATTAAAATTAATTTTAATACGACACTTAAGAAAAGGCTTACTAGCAAATGAAAATAATGCTGGTCCATCTCAACAAATCATTAGCAACGACTCACTTTTACATCGCGATGAGTCGCATGCAGATTTTGCAAGAAATTATTTAAAATGTGATGGAATATTTGTTTTACGTTTATTAGAAACGAATACATCAGATTTTGTTGTCACGCATGTTATTGAAGAATTATTTTATTCATATGAGAAAAAAGCATCACAACCAGTTGTACTTGATGGCCTTGCAAAAATGATGTCAACACTTGGTCCTGATCAAGGTCTATTAAGTTTAGGAAAATTACTTTTTTTACCGGTTATGTCTGATCCAAAAATTGCTGCTTCATTTGGTGGTGCATTTAATATAACAGATAATAATAATAAAATGCTTTTGCCTAGTTTAACAACAACTACGGATGATCCTCTTCGTAATGCACCGAAATTATTAGTACCACCAACGCCTACACGTCGACGTTCATCAACAGCTACTTCAAGTTCACAAAGATCCCTAACTGGTTCGATTACTGAACAAGCTGATGCCGCTAGGCGAACTTCATTCTTATCAGAGTCATCTGCTGCAGCAAAACCGAGTGTTGATGAAATAACTGAAATCTTAAGAGAACGTCGACAAAAGATCAAACGAAAGAAACGATAATTATAGTCATAGTCATTCTTTCTATACATGTGTGTGTGTGTGCGTGTGCGCGTGTTTGTTTGTTTTCATAGTGAATGAGAAAGATATTTTCTAGATGAAATGTCAACTATAAAAAAATAACATTCTTTTTAGTAATTATCACTATTCATTGAGCATTACTTGTGTATCAAGGAATATAGACAACCTTGATGATAGCAATCTATCTAATGAATCACACTAGAAGACAAAACATTACCTAAGTTGCTCTTTAGTTTGTTCGATTGTACGTGTTAATAAAGTAATGGCACCTTGTATAGCTGATATTTCCATAATTAAATCTTTTTGAACATCATCATGAACTAAATCAATATCGTAACGTTTTTCTCTTAAAAGCAAAAGCAAAAAGAATTTATAATATATGTGTTTTCTTTTTTGTTATGAACCTACCGATTGGCTAACGTTGTTTGAGTAATATGTAAATTATCTTGCAATGATTGAAGACGTTTTTCAATTCGTACTAGATAACTTTCTGTTGCATCAATTTCTTTTTCTAATTCACTGCGTTTTACTTCAAGTTCACCTTTCCAATTTTTAACATGATCCAAACGTTGATCTAATTTAAGAAACAATTTTATTTAACAATTTAACGATTCATAAAAATCCTTTATATCATCTGATGCAGTAAATCGATTTGAGAACAATAAAAAGAAACACAAGTTATTAAAAAAGAACATTAGGTCGACTAAACGATAGCATTTTATCTTCTAATGTCTTCTATAAATATGCCTGATGCCATTCTATAATTCAAATCGATATAACGATCATCTTTATGAGAAAGGATTTCAAATATTTCGTAGAAGCAATAATGAACTCTTGAATCGTCCCCAGGCTTTTCTTTTCTTTCTGATTAATATTTCATTTTTTTATTAATAATAAAAAAGCATATATATGTTTTAATAGCTCAAGGCATTTTTTTTAATTTATTTCCGATTCTGTTCAATGGAGCTGGGAATTTTGTTTTCTAATTAATTTAGTTTAAAATCAGAATATGCAGCATTATTGGAACTCTTGTATCTTTTACTTCATAACTTATACTTTATCATTTTATCTAGTTTTCGAGGCATCAATTATATCGTCTAATCCAATCGTTTGTAATAGCATTAGGAAAGAGATACTACCATTAGATTTCAGATAACTCGTAACTTATAAGTGAGAAGGATTATTTCTGTAAGCAAATTAAGTAGTACACAGTACAATTGATCGTATCTAACAGATAATATGAATAAAAACAAAAATTTGTATTAACAGCACTTAAGTCATTATTATTATTATTATGACATACCGTGTGATCCAAAAGTTTCGCAGCATTTTTGCTTTTACATGTATCCCAGTTCAGATAACAGAGAAAATTTCAACTTTAATTTTAAAAGAAGTGCGATTCAAACCTCTACAAATTTGTATCCACCTTAATTTGAAATAATAGAACTGAACGTTTTTATGGATAGAATAGTGCAACTACATAAATTGCATCTACTTCCCGTAGAGTATTTTCAATAAATGATTTGTTCTATCGAAACGGATATATCGTGTTAAAAAATAAGACATTGTTAGATAACTCTTGAAAGGATATGTGGATTTAACATTCATACGTTCGATTAGACACAATTTTTCGGAAAGCAATATTTTGAAATATGATGAAATTTTCTCTCTTGATTCTTGCTTTTCAGAAAAAGACTTTTAAAAATCATCTATGGTCAAACCGAGTTCATATTCCCAACATTTTATAGAAAAACGATTTATCATTCTGCTTAGAGCTTACACAACAGGTGTCAAAACGATTCAGTTCGAAGAAACGTCTGAACATTTCCAAGAATGCTGCTGTTGCGATAATATTTCAGATCGACAATTTTTATTAGACATAAGTGGATTTAAATCAAACGCAGATAAATAACTCTGAAAGAGCACTGATGTGTGATCATATTGCAAGTATTTTATTTTTAAGTGCCTGCTTATAGCCTGGGAAAATTAAAAAGAATATAGCTAAAAAATTGTGTGGGTAATGGATGCAATTTATGTAGTCACACTATTCGATCTCATAAAGACGTTCAGTTCTATTATTTTAAAGTAACGTGAATACAAGTTTATAGAGAATTGAATCGCGCTTCTTTTAAAACTAAAGTTGAAATTTTATCTGTTATCTGAACCGAGATACATGTAAAAGCAAAAATGTTGCAAAACTTTTGGATCATCCGGTATGAATTTATATATTAGATGATTAATAATACTAACAAATAAGTTGTCATCAGATGTAAAAATGATTCAGCAAACTAGCTTTATTCATTTTGAGTCAAATATTATTGAATATATATCGTTGCCATTGAATATTTTTGTTAATTAAATCAATCAAAATAAATGTTTGGAACAATGATCTCTATTTCTGATATCAATCCCTTGTGATACAAAATTCTTGGTTACTAATAACATCAAGAAAATATTTCTGCCCAATGTAGTTCTATTTTACAAAAATTGATTATTGAGCTAATTACAATAACTACTAGTGCCATGATTCAACACAGACGATCATAATTTCTATCTAAAATACTGAAATCTACGGTTTTCGCACATATTTTTTAACAATTATTTAACCCGCCTATATCTTTGGTTTCAAACTTATGCAGAATGAGGAATCGAGAAAAAGTTAATTAATATTATCGTATTCTCTTTTCTCATTAGATAAAATTTCTCGTATAGCTAGTAAAGCATAATGCTGACGTACTGAAAAGAAAAGATTAATACTAGCACACTAAATTAATAATCATTGCGCATATTTTACTTCATAACAAAAGTTTTTCTACTCTATATAGAATTCTTTGAAAGAATAAGTACAAATAATAGTTTCATAGTGTCGACGAAGGTCCGCTTAGATCAAAAATATATGAGACCGTTATATTGATTATATCTAAAAGAAAAAAAACAACTCCAAGTACGTACCAAGTTTTTTGTTAACATCGGCTAATGTACGATCAACAGTTCCTCGACCTTCTTGATCAAGACGATCACATTCTAAGATAAGTCGTTCTGCAGTAGCACGATCTCGTTCCGTATTTTTATGCTTAACTTTCGATGCTAATTTCCATTCTTCAGGTGTAAAACGTTGCGGACGTGTTACTACTTTAGCCATGATTGTTCAACCTATAAGTTTTTTGTGTAAAATTTCAATTGCTGAAAAAGGAAAAACTAACAACTAAAACAAAAAGCCATTGACACTTTGTGTTACTATAGCAAAGTCTCCAGAACCGTATTTCATAGATGTCGCCAAAAACGTTTTATCCAATATTTTTGTTTTAATTCAATAAGAAAGTAAAATCAAAAAATAATTGTCTTTTTCTTTTCTATTTAATAATTGTTCTTCTAATGAACTGACTTGTTTTATTCGACTTGTTGTTGTTATTATTAATATTGTTTATTTACTTAATCATTCAGCAACATCATGGCTCGAACACCAGATAATGAACAAGGATTAATGGCTGCTGGAATAATTCAAAATAATAATGGTAATATTGAAAGTGATCAAGATTCAATATCAACACATTCACGTACATCCTACGAATTAAATTATAATTCGGAAGAAGAAGAGGAAAAACAACGTTTAATAAATCAAGTGTTAACTTTACAAAAAACTCTTGATGATTTATCACATCGTGTTGATACAGTTAAAGAAGAGAATTTTAAATTACGCTCAGAAAATCAAGTTTTAGGACAATATATTGAAAATTTAATGGCGGCATCAAACGTCTTCCAAATGACAAATAAATAATTATGAAACGTTTTCTATTTCTATTTCTAGTCATTACATTAATTGTACTTTTTTGCTTTTGTTATGTGCTTTTCGATGTATTAATTATTAAACCATCTTAATCAACATTATTATATATATATTCATTTTATTTGTTTTAAGAAAATGAATGTTTAATATAACGCATAGAGCTAGAAAAATTGAAGAAACCTAATGCATTGCACGATGATATATATACTCTAGGAAAAAGCATAGGTGTAATCTTTTTATTCTTCAAGTTGCCTCAACACGAAAGCATATTTGATAACACAACAACTTCACCACACTCTTTCTCATTGTCAAAATTTCGTCAGTGTCACTTCAACCAATGATTTTTAAAATGTAGAGACAATATATTTAGAGATGAAATTTGATATTTTGAACGAACTTCTTTATTTCTTGAAATTTCGTTTTTTCTCTAATGTCATAAATCTGCTCTTAGATCTTTAAAGCTCATAGTTCTATGAGAAGCTATTTGTTTTCAAATATTGCCTCAAATGCAGGACATGGAGTTATCTTCAGCTTGATGATCGTGGGTTTTCTTTTTAAATTATAGCTATAATTTAATCAAAAATAAAGACTCATACATGTTCGCTTAAATACACATTTCTTCTCATGTGAGCTAAATTTACTTTTTATGGTGACTCGACGGCTTGATTGAGTAAATGTGTCAATTGTCAGCAAAAACTAAAGTTCACAATATGTTGTCTTTTTGTGAGTTACCTTTATAAAAGAAATAACTTTTTATGCGTCTAATTATACAACATGATGCCATCTGCAAATGTAACATAAACATGTTTAGGAATTTGTCAACTAGTGGTATGATAAAGATACAGTATCCGATTGAGAATCTCAAGTGTCATCAGGATATTGAACTACTACTTCAAAAAACAAATTCTATCTGTATTGATACTAAATTTGAAAAATAAACTTAGTGGCGAACGACAAAACGTTTACTTGTAGGACTGTGAAAATAAAGACTACCTTGATTGTCGTTGTTTTATTGTTCAATCAGCTGGCATAAATTTCAACAAATATATTGGACAGAAAAAAGAGCCAGAGCACTTTCAATAATTGTATTGTGAAAATTAATTTTTCAAAAGTCTATTGAAATTATTTTCTCTGCAGGAATGCATATGATGAAATCTAAAATTTTGTTTTTCACTAGTACTGCTACAGTCAATATGTGAAATTAATTAGTTTTCAGTCTCAAAGAAGTCAGCTAGCAGCTGGAATGTCGATGAATACTAATGGATGTATTGATTTGAGCTGCCAAGATATTCGTATCTCAAGTTCTCATAGTAACCTATTGAGTACTTACAAAGTGACGAAGAACAAGAATACGAAAACAGTCATACAAAAATTGATCAAGTAACTCGTATGTTGACCATTTAAGATTATTTTAATGATTCGAAAAGTTTTTTTTCTTTCATGAATGCATGTTTACTTTTCGCTCTTTAAATAAAATGGTCAATATTCGTAAAAAAAAAGCTTAATTCGAGATTTGATCATTCGTACATAAAATATCTAGTTTTTCTAACATCATTTTTGGTACTGTCTGTGCATTGAAGAAATACAGGATCTCCTCGTAAACATGTACTTGTTTACTACTACCAACATAAGACAATAAGGAAATCAATCAACTGTAAAACTATCATAGCCAATTTAACGTAAGTTAGAACGAGGAAAAAAAAGAATTTACGTGACACTCAACTGAAATAAGATATCTAGAAGAATTAGATACATGAAAATTTTCAAAAAAAAGTCCTACTTATTTCTTGCTGATTGCATTTTGTTGATCACGCATCGAGAAATTCCCAGAGGAGCTTCATTTTGGCCGCTGAACTATTTTTATTTCTAAGAATACATTAATATGCAAGACATGAGCATGACCTTTTTCTTTTATTAAATTTTTCTTTTATTATGTATAGAAGTACTTCCATAAATAGATTTCTACTTGTCGGGAGTTTTTCTTTCAAGGTATTTAACTTGCTACTCTTTAGCTCCAAGAAAAAAGTGGGAGTTTTTAAAAGATAATTCAGCCGTATCCTATAAATTAACTAGTTTTGTCCAATGCATACAAACCCGCAAATATAGAATAAAAGAAACGTTGAATATTAGCCTGTCAAATAATTTACTTTGATAGACCTCGTCTTTAAATCTGATGGCAAAAGAAAAATATGTATTTTCAACCAATTAAATAGAGAACAAGTGAATGACCATGGACGTTTATTGGAAAGATAACAACGTATATTCATAAATTAAACTGGATATTTATAGACCGATTAAAACTATTATATTTAACTACTTCATTTCCAATGCTAATCTTTCTTTTTTCTCCATTTGATTATACTGAATATTTTTGTGACATGCAACTGTACAAACATATTCTGGCTGGCAAAGTTGTCAGACGTTGCGCGTTACTAATTGAATCTCAAGTACAGCTGATCAATATTGAATATATGACTGAAATTTGTTGAGGCTAAAATTTTCGCATCGAATCTCGACTGAGACTAGAAATAACCAGTTAAACTCTATACACGTACGACCATCGAAGTAGTTCCAGATACCTCCCCAATCAAAAATTTTCATCACAACTAAAGGTACATATATGATTATCAGGGTGGATGTCTTCTTGCTTGTATGTTAATTATGACAGACGATGCTTCACATCATTTTAATTCGCTAGTGCCGCAAGAACTTTATGGTTCTACTATATTTTCATATAAAACAAGACCTAACATTAGTCATTTTGGTTTATTTTGCAAGTAAATCGAGTCAGATCCATACGAAATAACTGAGTTATTAATTAGTCTTCTTTTTTTTAATTTTATATAGATATTAACTAAATTCATTTTTCTTCATTAATTAACGAAATATGAAACAATAAGTAATGGTAAATATATATATATATATATATATATATTCGGTTTAATAATAAGTAGAAAACAAAGCAGAAAAAGAAAATGCTCTCAATCCCATTTCGTTTTTTTTATGTCTTTACAGATAATCATTCTCGAACATATCAATAGTAGCCTGAGAAGAAAAGTCAATGAAACTAAAAGAAACAAAACAAAAAAGCAACGAATAGAGTAATAGACACACACGGACACACATATACATTCATATTTGTCATAATAATATTTAAATAGAAGAAAATTGAACTCACACCGGAGCATGAAAATATATGATGTGAATAAGTTCATGGCAAATCACAGCAAATAATAAGAGAAGAAAGAAAACAAACAAACAAATGGAATGTTGAATGAGAAATAAACAAGTTAAACTAACGTAGAAACAGAGTGTTGTTGCACATTTTCATTCAAAGTATCAATTGATAATGAATTTGTCTCTAAATCTTCATCTTCTTCATCGATTTCTTCTTGTTGTTCTTCGTCATCTTCTTCTTCATCTGTCGATTCATTGGAATCTTCATCATCATCAGTTGAGTTTTGCGGTAGATTTTCATTCAAATTTGAATGGAAAATAAATGATGTCGACGGTATCAACGAGAGATTCGACGATGAATGTGTTAGCGATAGAATCGATGATAATTGTGATATGTGTTTTTTCATATGTCGATCTAGATTTGTTTGTTGACCAAAACATTTATCACAATGTGTACAACGGAATGGTCGTTCACGTTTATGAATATTTCGAATATGCCGTTGTAAATTTGATGAAATTGAAAAACTTCGATTACAGAATTTGCAGACATATGGTTGCTCTCGTAGAAAAAAGAAAGAGAAGAAAAATAAAAACATTAGAATCTCCATAGAATTATGTTAAAATTAAATTTCGAACAAATTGGAATAGCTTTTTTCTGGAGGATAACACTGAGAAAATCTTCTAGTGTACTGCTCTTATTTATTCTATATTTGATAGTTTTCTAATTCTCCTGTAATGAAGTATTGAATGATATAGGTTTACGCCTATGAATTTCGAAAAGAAGCAACTGTTTTATTTTATCAATAACATATATCTCGGGTATCTCGAGATTTAATTTACAATAAGAAATTCAGTTAGTCTCAACTATTTCTTTCCGAACGTTTTGATAGACTAATTTTACCATCAATACATGGCATACAAATTGATTTTAAGCCGTTGTCAATTAGCCGAGGAAGTATTGTTAGAAGTGTAAAAAATTTCAGCTAATATATCCGAACGGTTCATCTATTATTAGTTTCATACAGTAGAATGCACATATTTATCGTAGAAATATGTTCAAGAGACCCATGCGAGTCTATCAAATCACGGAGTAAAGAGACGTTATAGTCTATATTATACCTACAATAAATTTGGTATTGCTTTGTAGAATAGAACGACATAGATTTAAACCTACTTAAGATATTTTTACCCTTATATTACTCATAGAAATACAAAATTTGCCTAACAAAAGAAGAATGTGTACTGCACATCAAGCCCACTGAGCAAATGCAAGTCAAACTAAAGGTCACACAAACAAAGTCATAGATTTGAAGACAACAGCTGCTCGTGTATTGCATCAATGGAGCTCTGACAAATCTAACGCATTTATGGTCTATGTCATTTTGTTAATGACTAAAATCTATCGTAGAGTAAGATTTTTTTCATTCCATTACAATTGTATAGAGCTTGTCGCGGTAAATTTGAAATAAACAGTATATTTCGCATATAAAAAAAGGAAACTATAAGAAAATTAACATTTTTATGAGTTTTATCCTCATATTTGATAGTAGTTGTCTCTTAGATGTTTCTCTTGAGATTCAAAATTTTTTTTAAGAAAGATGAATCTTCGTATATTACTCGACAAACTCAATTTCACTATGAGAAAAAATCCTAGCTGAACTGACCCAAGTATATTCCATGTCGTGGAGTTATACTGCATATCCTTCACTTATAAATGTTTCACCCAAGAACAAAATTCCATTATATGATAAAGGATTTCTGAACTAATCTCGAAAAACGTTTTCAAAGATTTGAAGATATTTGAGAATTTCAAACTAAAAATACTTGTTTTCAACTTAAAGAAAATCCTAGACAAACTTATGGAATTAGCCTAGAAAACCATCAGATATCAAAATATTCGGAAGCTCTACTCTCAAATTTCGACTAATATGGCATTATTTGAATATGTTTAACTTTCACATTTTCTGAATGTAAATCCTCATCAATCGTACTTAGCAGTGAAGTGACAACAAACAAACCTTTAGGAGAAACTCAAGGTTCCATTTAAACTGACGTGAGAAGCAGTATACTATCCACTTATCATAAGGAAGCATCTCTCTAAGAGTAATACAATGCCGTGTTTAATCGATATATCATTGAAATAGAAAAGTTCATTGCATTCTCCTCGGAAATCGATCTACAAGAAGATTTTTCAAGGATTCTAAATTTGTTAGTGAAACATATCAATAATTATACTTATCTGTGTGAGTTCTTAGATGTCGGGTAAGATTGGCACTACGCGGAAATGTTTTTGAACAATAGGAACAACAATATCGATCATGACTACGAATTGTCATTGCTGGTGTTGGTGGAATATCATTTGAAATCATTTTTTTATCTAATGATGACATATTCGGTGGACTCGATGATGATGATATTGGTGTTAACGGTCGATGTTCATCATATTCTTTTATATGTTTTCTTGTCAATGTTGACAATTGATAATCATCTTCAGTTTCATATTTTTCATCATTATCGTCGTGATTAGTTGTTTTTAGTTTTTTTTCTTGATTATTTCCAAATACATGTGAAAGATGCTGGAAATTCGCATCAATTTGTTTATTTATCAATGAATAATCAATAGGTTGATCACTTGCTGACTCTCGTGATCGTTTTAAGGATTTCGATAGATCGATTGGTTCTTCGAATTTTTTATTTGGTATGCATTCTTTCAATGATGTTGTATCAATAAATGGAAGTAAAGCAGTTAAATTTGGTGTCACCATTGATGTTGGGACGTTTCGTTCTTTACATGAACTTCTATAAAAATTGATGCCAAAAAAAAATGTCAAGTAGACAATAAAATAATTTATTTTCATACCGATGTTTATTTAAAGCAATATGACTTTGAAATCCTTGTCGACAATCCTTACATTCAATTTGTGTTTTAGCATTGGTATGTGAACGTTTATGGCGACATAAGTTGGAAAATTGTGTATAAGATTTTGTACAAAACTAAAAAGAAACAGTTTCATTGGGTTTTTTTATATAACAGTACTAGATTGGTCATAGGAAACGGATTAAAATGTTTCTCGCTTTTCGTACAATACTGAAAATTCAGCATCAATCGAAGATGATGCTGTTAAGATCAAAAAGTTGCGAAACTAAGGATCTTAATTGAAACGTGTATGTTCAAAAATTTAAATCGCTTATGATTCTAGGATTGAATGCAGAATTTAATTCGAAGAAGCGATGTCTGTAGATTGTCTTCAATTAAACATGACCATTCGGATAGGTTTGCGTAAAAAATGTTCTTTGATATTTTTTCCTTGCGAAATTCTTCGCTCAGATGTTTTATTTTTGTTTTTAAGTGAAGAACAAACTCAAGATAGAAAATGTCAGCAAAACATTTACGCGGAAACAATTTAAATAACCCTTTTGCATCAAGTGGGTTTCAGTGCGACGGTTGAGTGATTATTGATATTTTATGTGTTTTGTGAACAGGGAAAACTTATTTACAGACAAAACTCATTAGTTTTCTAGGGCGAAAATTTCCCAGTTGCAAGACTGTAAACATAAACTGTTTCATTTTTTTGAAAGTGCTTCGAAAGGAGAGAAACATTTTTTGACTTATTTATCATTGGTTATGCATTCATTTATTTGATTTTTCTTACCTCACATTTCCATGGTTTAATACTTGAATGAATATTTCGATGTTGTTTTAAACCCGATGATGTTTGAAAACCTTTTCCACAATCATTACATGTATATAAACGATTTTCACATTCGCTTGTTTCACTTGAATTTGAAGTAGTTTGATGATTATTTATACGTTCGTACATTCTAAAATAGATACTCAAATATATTTCTTTTATTCTTCGCTCGTCCGGAAGTTGTCTTATGACGACATACATTCTTTTTAATTAAACTTTGACTGATTAAATATGAATTAGAAAGAGCAGAAGCATACATTTTCTTCCATTTGAGTATATTAAAATTCAAGAAAATAACATTCTTATTGTCATCTATGCTTCAAGGCATCATTTTTCTCGTTATACAATAATAATAATAATAATAACAACAAATCAATATACATTCTCATTGTCTAATTAACAGTTTTTGTTTTTTCTTTCTTTCTCTCTCTAACAATAAGAATAACAATTTACACCCAGCGGCGATTATGAATCTCGATCTAATGAATGAATTTTTGTGCGTTGAAATCATTTTCAGATAGTTTTAGTAAATATTACAAACCTGACCAAAAAAAAGAAGTTTCTCTTCCATAAATCAATTGAAAAAATAATGCATGGATCAAGTCTTATGATTATTTTAGATGTTGCATCAAAAAAAAGTTGAATAAATTAATATTAATGTTTTCGAGTGAGCTCTGACAAAGATGTATACATTTGTTTGTTTGTTTTTCGTCATCTCATTTATTAAATTTATAGAATATGGAATGATAGCATCTCTGAGAAACTTGTCGTGTGTATGCTTTTACCTGTCCTCTTGTTGATTTTCATCGGCTCCATTGAATAAATGATTAGTAACCATAGATTCTTCCATAGCTATAATATTTAGAAGAATAAAAAGAGACCAATTTAAAGATAAGTATTCTATATAGTAGATAGGTCTCTTGCTTACTTTCTTCATTTTCTTCTATTTCGAGATTCGTACATTTCATAGTGATTCGTTTATTAGTTTCTTCGTCCTCTGAATTTTCATTCGTCAATAGGAGATTATTTGATTTATTAATAATTGCTGTCGGTTTTTGTTCTTTATCAATATGTGTAATAGCTTCTAAATGGATAAAACGAAAAATGAATAAAATAAAATTTCACACATCGAAAATGAAATCATTATCCAATAATTCGTTCAATATATCTTCAATATAATATATGCATGATTTGAAGAAATAAAAATGATAATGAGTGTCTCATCTATTTAGTGCCCCAGTTGGCTACCTCAATCTGTCAAATGTGAAAATGACTTACTCGACATGCTTGTCTTGTTCTTATTCAAATGAGAAGAGATGAAATTGTCGTTGAATGAATTTTATCTTTCCCTGTCTCGCTCCTTCTACCTCTCTTTTTTTTCTTTCTCTATGTCTCTCACCTGAATATGACATGAGAACAGAGATGCCAATATATTTCTTTCGTTCTCTTTAATATAACGATTCCACTCGAACGAATTCGCTACTGAATCTATTTTCTTTTTTCTTGATCGAAAGAATCGAACAAAATTTCAAGATTAATTACATATTTCGCGTTTCTACTCACTTTTCAGACGATGATTATCCATGCCGTGAGCTTGTCACCTCATTCATAAGAGGGAGAATATAGATAGATATCGTAAATATGACACTGGTGTCTCTCTCTTACTCGTTTTTTTCTTTTTTTATGATCGTGTGTAATCCTCAACTGAATCAACATATATATATATAGAATGAAGATAATATTCAGACAACAAACGCGAAATAAAGAGAAAGGAAGAGATAAGTTTTCGATGTGCACATCTCGAATTTTTTTTTGTTAAATGCACACACCTACACGGGTCAATATTTGGCCATTTTTTCCCTTCATCATCATCATCATTATCCCAGACAGATAATAGGCTCTGTTGAGTGAAGTATATATATGTGGGATAAAAAAGAACGACTGACAAAGAGTCATATTACATGTTTTTATGTACAAGATAATTTAGGGATTTTTTTTCCTCATGTCTTAAGTAATGCCATTGCAGCATGGTATCATTCAATCGATCGCGCATTGTCTTTTAAAATTCACCAATAAATAAAAGTGCTCAGAAAAGAGAGAGGGAGAGAGGGAGAGAGAGAGAAAGAAAGAACAAATTTGTTCATAAAATAAAAAGAAACAACGACTAAGTTGATATGTATCACACATCATCATAATAGAAGATTTTTTATGATGTTTGTTAAGAATGAATTTACATGTTTAGCAAATGAGAGGATTAATAGAGGATATGTACTTACTTTATTATCAAACAAGATTTGTTCTTGTCAATTAACACATATGACTTACCATGATCAATAGGAGATGATGAAGTTAAAAGACGTTTAGCTGCTTTCGTTTTTAGTCGCATCGATGTCTTTTACTTCAGCTATTCTTTATATGTATGTGTGTGTGTGGATGTATGTTTCGTTTAAGTTGTCATCATATAATGTAGTGATGTTGGTGACATTTTCTCTTCGTTTCTTCTGTTTACAGGTTGCTGCTGATCAATCTTGCTTTAGACTGCCACTGCCATCTCCTTTCCTTCTCTTTATGTTCTGTTCTTCTTCGTTGGTGATGCGAAAACGAAAATCCCCACCGCTTCGTCGTGACCGAGGATGATTGTATGCTCTCTCCCTCTCTCTCTCTCTCTCTCTCTCTCTCGTTCCCAAGTATACCTGCCCGCCGTGCATATATGTATGTGTGCACACGAATTTGAATGAATAGAAAAGAAGAAGGTAGTTCGTTTGCGTTACTCTCGCAAATACACATTGATGATGGAAGCACTTGACAAACTTCTTTACTCAATTTTCTTCTTCGACGTCGTCGTCGGCCTCGTCGTCGTCTTCTTTCACATGCTGTGTGCGCTCGAATGCATCATATGATGCATTTGTATTCGAAGAAAAAAAATAGAGTTTGATTTGAATCTTATGTTTGTACAATATTTTTTTTTGTTTTCAATCAGAAAATAAGAAATCTTTATTTTTGCAGATGGCTATTTTAGTAATAGATTCGAAGAATGAAAGAAAATCATAGCAAGTGTTTTAACAATAAGAAGATTTCATGTAAAATGAAAATGGAATATCAATTCGCTTGATTACTTTTATGCTCTGCCTCAGAAATGAATAGAATGCTTGTGGGCATGTTGTATGCTATGAAATCAAAATAAAAAGAAGAAAAATGAAAGAAATTGAAATTGTTTCTTCTGAAAAAAGTATGATAATCCCATTGATCGTTTATAACATGTTGAAATTGGTGAGATATCAACTAAAAAAAATTTTATGTACGATATTCCGTTGTCTGATACGACTACATTTGATTTATGATATTTTTTATCTAAATAGATTTTCAATGTTAACGTTGACTTGAAACATACAAGAAGATGTCTAGTTGATCGAATTTTCAATGTATTAGTTGACTCTCAAAAATGTATATTCAATTAGATAATATAGTCTTAATTATTCAATTGTAGATTTTTCTAATAACAAACCATTTTCATATGATGTAATATGATCACAAATTTAAGTGAAAAATTAATTTTGCTAATGAACATATCATTAGACATAGATGAGCTACATAATATTCGAAAAAACAGACATATTAATTACATATTATTAAGCACTCGTTGAATAATTCAAATGATCAAGGACATTATTCGTTAATAATATAAAATATTTTTTGGATTATTTATTCAAATGTATGCAGAATTGACAACAATAATTTTTTTATTGTACTGGAATATAAGAAATTTTTTTATTCAGATTGAAACATGGATATTTTCATAATAGATCATAAAAATATATATTTTTCAAAATTATACATAATGCAAGCATACGTATTAAATTTAGTACCGAGAAGAATTGAACATATTATAAATATTGTATTTTTTTTCATTCACTAAAGATACAGATGAAAATAAAATTTATTGATTTCTTAAATATAAAACTGAAATACAATATAAAAATCTTCTTAATATTGTTTTTTTCTATATCTGAAGTGTTATTAGTTGATGTAAAAAAAACTGTTTATCTTCTTCAATAATAACTTTTCTCATCAGTATATCTCTGAGATACGAAAATGCAAAAAAAGACAACATTATTAAATTTGATCGTCTGTAAATCGAAATCATATCAATGCAGCTTAGTATGTTCGTATTTTCCCCTATTTATCTAAAAGAAACAACTATCAGAATAATCATCAACGCAAGTAAATTTAAAATATAAAACGGATTAAATACTCGATGAAAACTGATATGTATTAGACTATGATAAAAGCGAAGGAAATAAATAATGCTTAGGTTTTTTGTTATGTAAAATATAATTCTTTTTTATTCATAGCTTTGTAATTATGTGATGATAAATTGAAAGAGGTAAAATATTCTAATTCTAATTGCAATTCATATCTATCTTTTAAATCAAGTCAAAGAATGAATACAACATGATCAAAATCGATTTGAAATTATTGACAGAGTCGATGCTTGAAAGGAACAAAAAAAATCACGAGAATCTGCCGGTGTACGTGTTGCAATAGCTAAAATATAAATTCATCAAAATGATCTTTATCGAATGATATGAGAAAAATATTGTCTTTTTTTTGCTTTTTTTATAAACTTGAATGAAAATAGTTGAAGGTGTCTTGCAGCCCTCTATTTGCAAGAAAAGAAAAAGAAAAAAAAAGTTTTCATGTCGACATGTGAAATACACATATTTGATAGTTTAAAGTACGGTCTTTTTTTATTCCATTTCTTCAGTTCTACTATACATACATATGCAATATCATCGTTAGTCGTATAAAATACTAAAACGAAGCCAAACACTAGGCAGGGGGTACGCTCACTCCATCACATTACCTGTTGACTATTCCTTCGCTCTGCCAGTCTTTTTCAATAGTAGAAAGAAAAATAAAGCATATGTAAAATCATTTTTTTTCTACTAGAATACACTTCGAGAGAAGAAGAAAAACGATATCCTAGGTTGATTATATGAATTTAATGAATAGAATAACTTAGATATGTTAAAATCTTCTATATCTCAATCATCGGAATTATCAACATTAAACGATGATGAAGTTAAACGTATTATGTCAGTTATTGAACGTGATTTTAAACTGCGAGAAAAAGAATATAAACGTATTGAGTAAGTTTTCATTGGTGATCTTAACAGAAATTAATGAACTTTATATATATACATATAGAGAACTAAAAGATATCATACGACAAGAACATGAACATGCAGAATGTTTAGCAAGTTCAAAACAACTGAATTATGAACGATGCATAAGATGCTCTAGACTGTTTAAAATATTTTTTAATCCACGAGAAGAATGTTCCATATGTAAATTATATATTTGTCAGCAGTGTGCGACACATGATAAACAAACTCAAGCATGGATATGTAAAATTTGTTTAGAATTAAAGTAAGATTTTTCAGCATATTTTTGTATTTATGGTTTTTTTCTATTTTCTAATATTTTAATGATAAGTAAATAAAATTTCTTCTCTAGAGCATTAGAATGTTTAACAACTGATTGGTTTTATCATAAAATTGCCAAGAAATATAAACGATGTGGCAGTGCGAAGGTTGTTCGTGAATTACACAAACGAGAAAAAGAACTCAGTAAGTTTAATATATACTCGACACTGCCAACTATCGATCGTTCACACATGGGAGGAGCCAACTCGAATTCAAAAGTAAAGAGAGCTGACTATAGAGTACACCATGAAATAAGTATAGGATTGGCATCGATTTGTCCTATACATATGAAACTATTCTCAGATTGGACAATTGATGTAAAACAAGATTTTTCTTCGTAGCAGGCAGCGTTTATCTTGTATGTTGAGAATCGATGCGTCCAATGTCATATGATTGCTTGCAATGAATTCCTTAATGAAAAATTTTAATCTAATCTGGTATATTTGGACTTGATCATGCCTAGTTTTAAGTTGAAAATTTCAGGGAGAATTGTGATCTTCACTATTTATCAACATTCAAAGTACTCAATATTCTCTTTGTAAATGTTTAAACTTATGTCAGTTCTTTTGTTTTTCAAAATCTTTCAACTAAAACATTTGCATATATACACATGATAGAAACCTCGTGATCATCCATCAATAGAATAGATCTTGAAACAAACTAATAGCGAGAAACTCAGTCGTATGAATATCATCAGTATAATAGAAGCGAAAATGGTCAGATATTATTTTTAGAAAAGTCTAAGTAGAATTTTCTGCTTGGGATGTTATTGAGTCCTCGAAAAAGAAAATCAATACGACATATAAATAGCTCCTATGTGTGAAAAAAACGTGAAGAAATATTGGTGTCACAATGAGAAGAAGAAAAAAAAATGTCATTCTACAATGTTTGTCCAGTACAGCTGATGATCGGAGAAAAAAGAAGCTCATAGTTGAGTAGGTCATCAATTTTTATTATAGCTGAGATCAATGCATCCTGTGAAGATCTTGGATATGGAACATTACGAGGAAGTACTAAGACTGATTCGAAAGATTCTGGTTAGTAGAAGATTTTAGCGCCGACATTTTTCTAATGACATGCGCATTTTATTTAGGTTTTCTTAGTTCATATATTGTTCATGATGAAAATATAAAAAGTGAATTAAATGAATATTCAGAACGATTGAATTCAATTCTCGATAGTTTACAATCGGATTTAGTCAAACTTCATGCTGATAATATTCATCGTTCAATACTCAATAAATGTAAGAAAATAAGAACGATCTATGCTTGTTTTTTTTTTGGTTAGAAATTGTTCTTTATTATCTGTAGTTCAAGAGAATCTCAAAGATCATCAACAACAAATTGCATCTGAAATATATCGTGCTCGCATTGCACTAATGGGTCCACTTCGACGTAAGTGTAGTATAGATGAAAAGAAAGAGGCGTTTTCGTTCTTTTTCGGCCATCATCTCAACTGTTGAGTATGACTACTGTTTTACAGACAATATAACGAGCTGAATAGAGAGTGTCTAAGAATTGGTGCTTAGAGATTGTTACGAAAATTCTATCAACTGTATTTATATTATGTATATCTCAGGTGATCGATTCGTATTTTTCAAGTTCTCTGTTTCTTAAACAACAACAAAATGCACATGAATAAACGAGACAATTAGTGTCATATAGAACATAAACAATCCTATAATATTGATTGTAGATCATAATAGCGGCATCATAAATGCATTAGTTGAATCTGTTCTTCTTAATGTTAGATCATTTTAAAATCGTTAAGAGGACCAAATAATCGTTAGAATATCGATTAAACTTGAGCTAAATGCAATGCAAATTATCGCTGACCTAGAACATGTTTAAAAATATCGAATTCATTCGAGAGGCCTATTTTGAGGATAGAATATTTTGTTTTGGCTAAACGTTCCAGAATATTCTGAGAATCATCCGATTTTTCGTTGGATAAAGGTCGTATACACAGATAACTGATAATCAGTCTGAAATGCGTCAGACTTATTTCTAATACGAATACAATCTATCGAACAAGATATGAAAAGATCAAAACACAGGTGAGGGTCATGACTTTTCACTGATGAAGTGTTCTAGCAGCTTTTTTCTCGCGAGATATAGCAGAAGGTCCGGCAGAATTTCATTGTTTTAATTATTCGATCGAAAAATCGACGTAAAATTTGCTATTCAATACACTAGATATTTCTTTAGGTTCAAATATAAAAATAAATGAAGTATACGTAAATGATTTGCAAAATTTATTGATACATAAAACCGAACAAGTTCTTCATACAAATTTACAACAATTTAAAAACGTATGTTGGTTAATAGATATTTGATTTTAATTTGATTTTGTTCTCCATATAAAAATAGACCTTAGCAACGCCAAATTCATCGATAAATTCTAGCAATTTCGACGAAAAACTAGCACAACTTATTTTTGATAATTATATCACCGAAGAAATCTATGATAGTTTATCTCAGGTTATTGAATTGGTGAGTTTTTATTTTTCATATTACTAATGTTAAAAAAATGAAGTTTTCTAAACATTTGCATATCTCATATTATCTTTGTATTGCGTTCTTAGCGACATGAAGACAAAAAAACCTGAACTTTTGAGTGGATGCATATTCCCTGATAAAGAGTTGATTCTAATAGTAAAAATTTATTCTTTTTTAGAAGTATTTTGAAAAGTATTCATAACTGAAACATACATAGATGATCAAATCAAATTAGGAAAACTTACGTAACATAATCGAACTCAATTCATATTAAGATAGGCTCTCTAAAATCTTTGACACCGAATTCTTTTAATTAGAATATAATGAAGATACCAATTTATAATATGAAGTTGATTCAACAAAGTACCATAAAGACACATCTCTACACTATGACTAGGGGTGATGCTTTAACTTTACTTTAACCGTAAAGTTGAAAGTTGTTTGAAGTCGCCTTTAAACGCTTCTTTTCAATACTTTTTACTGTAATGGCGTATTTACTCATGCTTATGAGACTCCCTGCAACAGATAAAACGCCAAAAACAAGCATTTAAGTGTGACTTTAATCAACTTTAAGGGGGCCCGCCTCCTTAAAAAAGTCGATTTTTCCAAAAAGATTTAAGTTTGAGTTTTTATCATGGGTAGATGCCTCAAAGTCTCCTCTTTCAGAACATATATAGGTTTTTTAAAAAAGGTTCGATTTTAAGGGACTTATCGAAAAAATACTAAAACGTACTGCATTGTTTTTCGAGAAAAGACGAGTCATTTTTTTATCGAACTATTTTCTGGAAAAAATAGTTACATGGTTGGAATCAGTATAAAATTCTGAACAAAATACTGTACTTTGTTTGGGAAAAAAATTATTTTTTTTTTGTAAAATCATTGTGCCTTGGTCACCCACCCGAAAACGAAAATTTTTTTTTCTTTTGTTTTCCCGGACTTTGATCTGGACATAGCTTATTTAGTACGCTGATCACGAATAAGAGGTTTTTTTCCCATCAAAATGTTCTCTGAATAAAAAAAGTAGAAGTTCTCGACCAGACGACGATTTGTTTTTACCTTGCTTTACAGATCGCTGTCATGTAATTAAAGAAATCAGTTTAGGAAAGAATAAATACAACGCATATGTGCAGAAATGATAGTTCTATCGATTTCATTCAGTTGAAAGGGTTAAAAGCAATGTTAGTTATGTTTAATAGGTTAAAAACTCTCATTTTTCATAAGTATAGGCGCGCCAGTTGAAAGAATAGAGCTAATAACCAAGATCGTTTATAGATGGAGTGAATTGATATCATTCATAACATCACCGAAAAGGTTCAGTGTAACAATATAACAAATATATCCTCTTTCGAATTTTCTTCATGTTTAAACAATAAAAAATCATTCTTAAATTTATTTATCGTTTTTCTCAAAACAAGATTTTTTCTCAGAAAAAATGGAACTAGTTTCAAGCGTTTTAAGATATTAAGGTCATTTTTATTTTATTTTGAAGCTTGAAGTGTAAGTAAAATCTTGTCCGAACAGATATTTTATATTTGATTCTTGAACTGAGAAAAGTCGGATTTTATACCATCAGGTGGCCATTTTTAGCCAAATTTTGACCCCTATCCGAGTAAAATGCTTGTAAAACACGAACGAAAGCAAATTTTAAAATTCTGTTCTGACAAAAGTTACATATTGGTGTTGGCTTTAATTTAAAACAAGCGCGACTTTTATAGCTCTCCTACTGGCAGAGCCTTAGGGATTCTCCTGGTAGCCATAATTCGTATGTAAATAAGCCATATTTTCAGTTCACTTCAATATATCGAGCTGAAATTTTTATCGCGACTGTTTCTAATGAAGATCAGTCACCCCTGAAAATTTCAGCTCAAACGGACCTTTCTAAGTGACAGCTCAGAGCTGAGGGGGGGGGCCCTTAAACTCCGTACTTTACGGCCAATTTAAAGTTAAAGTGCCATCCGTAACTATGACTTGATTTTGTTAGAATTAAATTTATAGTTTAAATCAGTATGTACAAGTCTGATCAACGATTCTTACTCTAGTATACAAAAGAAGCCTAGACAATTTAGCGGCGAAATAGTTTCTTATTATTCTATCAAATTTTTATAGAGCAACCGAATCACTATTCCATCTAGTTAGAATAAAACGTCAATGAATTTCTTGGTCTGATTGTAAACTTTTGTCAGTGCTACAAAATAACTGGCCATTTTGAATATTTAGCGATTCTGAATTATTTTTTAATATTTACCACATAATCTCGAACGAGTCTTTTTTTTAGCCATCAACATTTTCTCAAGTTCCTCCGAAACCTCAACGACAATCATCGACTCCATTTTCCATTGATTCATCATCTTGTCAATTGAACCAGAATATCAGTTCACCTCAAACATCAAACGCATCTTTGGAGGTACGCTTTAATTTAAAAACAGTATCTATTGATTTTGATTAACTGTTTTCTTTTTTTTTATCAAAAGAACAAAAAGACACAAATGAACGGCTCTACAAATACGTTTCAAAAAATGAGTTCACTAGCAACATCAGTTGTCGATGAAGAAGGTAAGATTGGTTGTATTTAAAATACGAATCATTTAACATTTTTCTTGTCTTTCAAGAAGACGAACCAGATGCGAAAGCTCCAATTACAAGTTCAATTGAAGATGAAAATTCAGATTATCAACACGAAAAAAAACGTTTTATTGATACAGATCTTGAAACTATCCAAAGATCTAATGAACGTGTAGATGATTGGAAAGCAAGTTTTGATTTAATCGAATCTGACCTAACATTATTAGATGACGATAACGAAGAGGAAGAATTATCAACTTGGTTGTGAATATTCATATTTTAAATAATATATTTATGCATACGTTTATGAAAGGGTACATGATTATTTAAAACTTCTACATAATCTTAGACAATACACACTGAGGTATTGTCTTGGATGTGTGCTTGCAACAATAATTCATAATCACAAGCACGAATCAATTGGTTGACATGAGTCATATATACGAATAAAAGATCATCATCATCATCGTCGGCTTGCAAAAGCTTATACTTGAAAATAATCTAAAAATCAAAAGATTTTCTGTTAGTCGTTAAGTTAGTTGAAAAGCGACAAGTATTATCATTAACAGTACATAAGGTTTCAGATGTTCATAACTTTGATTGCTAGATCCCATGGTCTTTCATATTGTAGTATTGACTTGATTTCAATCAGTATTGCGGCTACTTACATTTCAACATACATAGTAAACTATTTTATTTTAACACTTGTAGCTAGTGATTTCATGATTTTAATTCAAAATTAATACTTGCAACATCAAACTTAGAGAAGAAAAGAACAATGAAATTATTATTTTGAAAAGAGACTGATTTAAAATAGGAGTAGAAACGAAATTGATTTGTTTATTTTTGTAGCAGGAACTGTTTTTGATTTCTAATTGAGATTTTAACATTTGAGTTCAACTGCAGGAAAGATATTCTTAGGAAATTCTTTTTAATGTGGAGATGAAATTCTTGATCTAGGATTAATTATTCGACGCAGCCTTCATACTGGAAAAATAAAGTTCAATCAAGATGACAGAAACTGCTAAAACCAAATTTCAAGATTTTCAGCTCACATTCATTTCACATTGAAAAGATAGATGAGATTACTCAACATCAAGCTTTTATAATATTTTTAATAGCTTGCCGAATCAAAATACAAATTAGTTATTCATTCAATATTGTTAATTTTTTAACAAGAAGATGATAGTGTGATTCTGTTTTTGTTGCATTAATATTCGTTAAATAGAGCAGATCAATGAACTTCAAAGACATTTCTCTGAAAACATGGATGATGAACGTTTGTATGGCATCATTTTTGACTTTTTTTTTCGAAATTCTCAAATTATAATTTTTCTCAATGTCTATATCTCCACCACAATACGAAGAGATTTTTTCATAAAACACAATATGTACATTGTGAAGGAGATCTTTCGCCAAAAGACATGGTGTAAGAATGAATCTAAACTTAATATATTTTACTCATAGTTAACACAAGAAGATTGATGAAGTTATACAGTATAGTAGATTAACTAATTTAGTTTAAATTAATTAATCAAAATGACTTTTCTCACAAACCGAAAGAGTACAATAGATTGTTTGGATGTATGCTGCGATTAAGTATAATAACTATGTGAAACAAGCACATCACCTAACATTTCAAGTTGATCATCAGTAAACTTGGCTCGATGTTCATGCCAAGAATCATAATGTGTACGACGAAATTCAGAGAAACATTCCTTGATCGATTTCTAAAGCAAGCAAAAGTTCAAATACACTTTTTTTTGTAACAGAACATAGAAATTAACTAACTTGAATTAATTCAGGATCATGCGAATGTTTACAGAGAACCATTAATACTTCTGGAACATGACTGGAAATATCGTAGGGACTTGCAAGCGCAATGGCACAAAGACCCAAAATACCTGCAATGAACTTCTTATAGAACCCCAACACTAACGAGCTAGTCAAAATCAATTTTCTTTCCAGTATTTTGAATGTGTTCTATTTACTAGTCGAAATTCGATCGAGCGTATTTGCTTTTTCATTAAAAGATTCGTCATTTGATTGTCTGCCAAAGTTTATACTAGATATTGTTAAAAACTGTAAACTCAATCATTGCGCACTAAAAGGCTGAGACACTATTTATATTTGAGGGGAAAAGGGTTCTGATGATTGGTTTAATTTGAGAACGATTTCTATTTTTTATCATTAACCAATAGCATTCACTGGCTTTCTACGCTATAGATTCTGTGCTTCGAGAGTGGGCTTATCAGCGACAGGAAAACTTACATCGATATGTCAAGCTACAGAAACATTCTTTCAATAGAAGGACAAGTTCAATCGAAGTTCAAAGAGAAAATATTGAGAACATGAAATAATCAATTATTTGTTCCATTACAAAATACATACCACTATGTCGTCTGACAATATCTTTCGTCGATATCACTTTTTTGCCGTCGATTTCTGTAAAATAATTGGTATTGCTCATCTCGAGAAAATGTTTCTTTAACAATGAAATCAGTTAAAGTGAATTTAAACAAGAAATATAAATAAGTCGATCCTACCAAATCATCTTCAGTTACTGTTAAGTATCCACATTGATAGAAACCAGATAGAGTCTTTGACACAATTAGTCGTACTTCTAGTTGTTCATCGCATAAACATTTGTACACAAGTTGATGCAATCGTTTTGCATAACAACGTACATTGAATAAATTACAGAAGACTAAATTTTGAACGAACTCAATAGCCGATCGACGTGCATGCCATTTTCTAGTTGTGCAAACCTATGTATTGAGAAAGAAAAGCAACTTAAAACAATAGATGTATGCTGACGATGTATACGTATTCTAATTGTTGAATAAGTGTTTCCAATAGGTTTACATCTAAATAGGCCATTCCGATACGTGTACGAGCGAATGTAAGACGTTTTCTAAACGTATCATCATTGGTACCAATACTTTCAATTTCGCAGAGCTGAATAAAGTAAAAATGTTGTGTGTGTGTCCATTTCTGAAATGAACTTACATAGGGAAAGAGTTGAACAATGATCTCCTTAATTGGTTCGTTACATCGATCGAACAAATTTAAATGAAATTCGACCACTAGATTGTATTAGAAAACATTAGCAGAAATACATGCTACATAATGGATCTGTAACCGCGATTGTATTACCTGTTTCAATCAAATTCAACGCTTGACGAGCTTCAAAATCAAGTTCAACATTTGAGCCAGAATGATTGACTGAATTCAATGAAAATGATATTTAAAAAATGAAAAGTCAACAAAACTACTTATATCTTACACAAGGGTTTTGTTTCATAGATTTCAATAGCTTGGCGTAATTTTTCACGCATCATATTCATAAATTGATGAATATTCGGATGACGTACTGATTTCCCATTGAAAAATGTACGATCAAATCCGAATGATATTGACAATATACTGGCAAATAATATTCATTTAATTTTGAATGTAAATTTAAAAATAGTCTTACGTAGCAATGCGTTCTCGCATCAACTTCGATGGATGATCGAGTAGTTCTTCAGCTCGTTCATAAATTAAATACCAAATTGATGGAATACGCCACTGCAAAACTCCAAGGCTTTGAACAAGATACCAACGAGATGCTTCATTGAACGTATTACCAACTGTTTCACAATTGATCAATGTACTAATGAAATTAATTGGTTGAAACATTCGGCGAGGATCTGTATCGTTCTTTGAGACAACAAAAGAGCATTTGTTCAAAATTTCCTTTTTGTCTCAAACGCTAATGAAGAAAAACTCACCAAACAGTATCGAAAACAAGAACCCCAGTGAAAGTATGTTTCATTGTTAAGATTGTTGGTTACTTCAGTGAGTAGGGGTGTAAGTTTCTGCCAAAGTTCTTCTAACTAAATTAAATAGATTGTTCATTAATAATAGAAATAAATTCAGTCATAATATATCCAATATCAATTTCACTGACCATTGTCAATGTCCAATATTTCGAACCACGTATCATACCAGCTACTATTTCGGCTGCTGCTCGATGACTACCTTCATATTTTTCTCGTGTCTGTTCGCGTACGAGTATGTAAACTTGTTCGATAAAATTGTCAACGAATGCTAGACCAAAATTTCGAAAGAGACCCTAAGTAATGAATAATTTAAAAGAAAAATGACTAAGTGAAAAAGTGAACTTGATGGATTTACCTTGTACATCAAAAATCGAATTTTATCGAAGTTAATATTGCCCTCATCAAATATAATACATTTACTTAATTTCGTAACGAAATCTTTGTCAAGAAAACGATCCAAAATAATCGATACATGTGCCGGAATTTTACCGCTAGTGTAACGCTCGCGTTTATTTAGCGCATATTTGATTGTCTTCGGCCATTGATAATAACCATGGAAAATTTTATCTAAGAAACAAATTTGTTCCCATTCAGTTTGCGTTTCAGGTGCTTTATAATCATTATATGTTAGCCATAAATTATCATCGCGATTGCCTGGTTGAGATCGACTTTGAATGCTTGTTGTCGTCGATCGATCAGTACCATGAAAAATTTCGTCAAGCGATTTTTCAACATAAGTAAGAGGCAGCTTTTGTAAACGACAAAATGCTGCAATAGCCTTGACAGCATGCTAAATAAATCAAATTAAAGAATTGTATGCAATACTGGAAAGGTATGCTTCAACAAACTTTTCGTAATTCGATATTATCATGTATGAGAAAACCAAGGCAAGTATCAATACATGCAGATGGTATCGGCACATCCTTTTGAAGGATTAGACATAACCAAGACATGCCGATCTTTTTTTGCCCCCATGATCTGAAAAGTGTTCGAGAAAAATAATGAACATAAATAAAATCCAATGAAATAATGCTTGCAAAGTTTGATCATTGAGTAGTAAACAGAGATCATCGATTAAATGATTGTATGATTGAATATTTATTTGATGTCGTTTCTCACGTATCTCTACTCCAATTTGTATTTCATTTGATTCCAATGGACGCCATAGAGTACTTGCTGCTTGTACCGCTGCCTGATTGATTTCATCAACGAGTGCTATTGTAACGAATTGCGTTTCGATTTTTTTCTTGATATCTTGAATCAATCGTTGTACGCTGAGTTTTTTCATAGGACTTCGTCGAACAATCGATGGCCATAATTTTTTCATAATTGTCCATGAATTCTTTGTTAATAAGAAGAAACTACTATCGCCATTTAGTATATGCAAACAACCCTAATAGTATATGATTGAAAGAATAATATGAGAATAAAACGAAGTAAAGAACTTTGATTTCATTATCATCGGTATCTTTCGATGAATTGAGTAGGTCAGCAACACGATCGACAATGATTTCCCATGAATAATAATAAAGAAAGAAAAAATAGAAGAGTTCTGATTGAGCATAGCGACGCACCTACGATCGAAAAGTAAACGATTGATATTTAAAAGGTGCTTTTATTTACTTCACTATAACGATTAATTGATAAATCGAATAATTTTAGTTCGATTTGTTTATCGATTTCTGTTAGTGTTCGATAATTATTCGATTCAAATGCCTAGGAATCAACAATCAAAATAGTTATTCACTGTTCTAATATTGATATCTGTGATTATACTTCGATTTGTATTTCAATTTGATTCATCACTAAACAACTTGGATTATCTCGTTCGCCGATGATTTCGTTTCGAAATAATTTTCTCGTTGATTGAACATTTGTACGCATTTGAGAAATATCGTACGAAGATGTACCGTAGTACCGGGATGATAATGCGTAGATCTATAAATTCATATTGATTATTGATATTTGCTCGACACAATCAATACTCACGTTAAGAGCATATTTTATTGATACGACATCACCCGATTGATTTTCAATTAACATATCTATAGAAATTCGTCAATGATTGATCAATCGAAAGAATATTTACCGAGTAATTCGCCCATGTCGAGAAGAAGACGCATTCGAATATTCTCTCGGAACTCTATGAGAGACAGAAAACAAGTATTCTTAAATAGTGAATATTTATTACAGATAAAAAGAAAGTACTTGAATTTGATTGTTTGCAATAGGCTGAATATAAACTGTGAGATTCTAGTTTATACGGAACCAGTGTCAATGTGCTTAAAGAATCACAAAGCTTGATATCAGTCGATACAAATGATTTCTTTTTCATCATGTTCTTTATTTTACTTACAGATCTTGTATTTCTTTGCTTTCCATACGTGGTACGATACGAAAACATCCAGAAACTATACTATGAATGATTACGAGCGATCTTCGTCGCTCATCTATTGATATGTTTTCAAAGTTCTCTTTCAACAATGTCAATTCCGGATAGATAAATGTATTGACAAAATCACAAGCGAAATCAATTTCTTCATCGCTAGGAATATGATATTGAACTTGAATTCGATCGAAATCAACATTCTGTCCCCATGCCTGAACAAGTTTGTAGATAGTTAGGATATGAAAAGATGAACAACAAGCTTACTCGAATAGGCAGGAAATTAGCGAATGAATCATCTTCATTTTCTCTTGTTAGCCAACGACCGATTGAATAAATATTCAAAAGTGATAGAAGCAAACTTTTGATTGCAGAAGCAGTGGCTTGATAAGAATCTTTGTGAAGAATACGAATACATCGATGAAATACAGATTTGATATTTTCTTGGTAAATAAGTAGAGTATCACCACGTGCTTGAACTAGTTCAGCGAAAAGAATTAAATACCAATTTAGTTCTAGATCACCATTTAGATTATTGATTTGAGATATATCGGTTTTATTCAAGATGTTTTTGATTGATTCACATGTTTGTGGCAGCAGACATTTCAATATGTCAACTGGATACCACTTGACAATCGGTCGAATGAGCCTACCGACGACAAGTCTTACTGACGGCAAGAATATTGAACCGCTAATAAAATTTGTTACTTTCTTCATAACCATCTAAATATTAGACACCCATACACGTATACATAGAAATACAGAAATAGTCTAAGACGCTAGTGGAATATATAACAAGAAAAAGAAAAGTTTTCAGTCATCTATATTTTTCAATGAGCAAACTATCCAAAAAGTATTCAGTCTAGTCTGAAAACATACTTGAGAAATGTTGTAGCTACACTGTCGAATGATACTGGTCATGATTGATGCCAGTTTCAAACCCAAATTACCATGATCTGCACGATCTTCGTTATTCATCAGAGTATCCGACAAATCTGTTGATAATATATTTATCATTTGAAATATTCGATCAAGAAATTTCTCTATAAATTCTTCAAATTTTGCTGTTGATAGACAAACTTCTTTTTCAATCTATATAGATGATGAATGTATATTATTAATGTTCGTTCGACATAAGTATTGTCATTGTTACCTCAGTAAGATCATTTCGAATGTTTACTGCCGACGAACAATCGACACATGAGATTAACATGAAAATTGCATCAAAAACTTCCAATGTCACATTTGTCTTTTCAAAATCATTCAAATCAATACCAGGTAATATGACTGTGAGTAATGGCAAAATATATATTTGCCCTTGAGAATAGGACGATGTTTGCCGTACTAATGAACGAGTTATACGTTTGAGACAGTGCATAAGTGATGTAAAACGATGTGCTTCTGTCAAATTGTCAATGGATAAGAAGAGCCTATGCAAAACAAACAAAATTTAATGGATGCAAATTAAAATTACTCGAATGTCAGACTTATCAACAATAGGTTTCACAATTGATTCTGGTCGAAGCATGGCTAAATATTGACAAGCTTCAGCAGCTTCGCTTGCATAATCCTTATTAAATATAGACATGAATGCATATTCTTTGACACAATCAACGAAATTTGTGACATCCTGTTCGGTAAGTTGATAAGATTCATGCAACGCAAAGAACCAAACGGGAGATTGTTTCTTTTCTCTAACAACAAAAAAGCATATTTAACTATTGAAATGCAGATTATGAAAATCATTTTGCGATATTTACAGATGAATTCGTTCAACAAAATATCGAGCAAGATTTAAAACAAAGTCGACCAGTCGCTTTTGGAATACTCCTGTATTTGACGGATAATAGAAACTTTTTATAGCAATGAATAAGTCTCGTAAATATTGAAGACAGGAACTGCCATTGCCAATCATGGCTATTACCCATCGGGAGACATCCGGTACACAATGACTATTTTTGGTCGTCAGCAATGCCATTGTACCAATTGGAAGTGAAAAACCTCGGAGAAAACGTGTAAAAATCTAGTTGACAAGAATTTTGAATGAGGCACAACGAAAAGAGAAGATAGTAATAATTGACATACCTTTGCTAGCCATGGTTCCCAGTCAATATAACCAATATTATGCCAAGCAACACGTGCAAACAGTTGAATTAAACGCTTCATGGAAAATATTCAAAAATTATGAATAAATTTATTAATCGGACTTACTATTTCCCAGGGTGTATTATTATAGACACTTTGCCAAATATCGAAAAGCTCAGATAACCATAATCTATTATGAAAAAATGACGAATAACAAGATAAAAAAGAATCCGAGCAAAATACACCTACTGAAATCCTTGACTATGTAAAGATGGCGGTAAGTTGACTGGTAGAAAACTTTCAAGTATTTTTACGGCATCATGCATCGATGAACTATCGATATGACATATTTGTGGGCGAATTTCATCGAGAATTTCTTGAGTAGCTTTCTCAGAAAAGTAAGGAGAACAATTACGTACGCATAGAAACATTTGCAGTTCGAAATTTCTTAACAAGCATTAGAAAAAGAAACATATTTATTTGAAAATTTTCTATACATTATTTGCTAACTTTGGCAAAGTAACAAGTGCATAAGTACTATCGTGACAGGAAATAATGAATTCAGCCCATCGACATAATGTACGCCAGTTAATAGTTAGATCATTGCGATCGATCAGTCGAGTCTTTCTGAAAAGTATTATAAATAGGATTTTGTTAAAATTTACCGAGTTTAGTTGTACAAAATATAAATGCGCAAACAGTTACATACTGCAACAGATCGTTGAGCACTTCGAAACAGACCATTGCATCGGCACAATTCAAGTTGGTGATGGAAATAATAGATACATAGAATTGAACTAACTTGATATGATCGATTTTCGTAAACGAGTGCCCATATAGCGAAAGGAATTCTCTCAATTTAGACGACCATAATTTGAAGCCCGGTTGAAATTCGCCTAATTGAATGGTTCGCGATAGATTTTCTCGAATTTGTTCGAACGATCGACTTGCTTGTTGTTTAATCGTTGTCTGACATGGTAAGTACTCATTGTAGATATTTGGTCTCTGTAAATTTTCGTTGCACATCTCTGTGAACTGTTCATCTGTGTTCAACTGACTATTCATCATTGTATCTGATAGGAAAATCAAATCTAAAACAGAAAAAAACTGTATACTTGATGAGACACTCGAAAAAAATTGACTGTCATCAAATTGCACAAAGTGTTCGTGTTCGACACAATTTAGGATTGTCGATCGGTAGTTTTCGTTCATCTATATGCTCGCTTCGTCTATTATGTTACTCGTACTTATTACGTTAGTTAATTTAATAATTAAAAAAAGCAACAATCGTGCTGGTATCCATCAATACGAAAGAGCCACACGTTGGTGTCTTTTCGAGACAAAACCATATTCGGAAGAATCGTGTTATATTTTTTTTTATTCAAACAAAAGTATAATATTCGCCTGAAATAATAAACTCGTGTCTTCTACTAGGGTTCGAGTTTCATTCCACATAATTATTATGTGCATGACATTCTCACTTTTGTTTTCGTCATTGTGTCTGCGTTTTTTTCGTTTTCTTTCTGCTTAATTTTATTTCTTGGCCATGAGAAAATTTACATCGCCTGATAGATAAGTGCTGTAAAGCAACTGCATTTTATCACAAATGCAATATCTACTGACATTATGAAGTACGTCATGAATACTGATGAAGTTTCCATATGACGAACTACCAAGTTTAACAAGAAACCGAGGAAACTTAAAAAGATCCCATCACAACAACGAGCGCGGCAACCAGATCGTTATTTAGATGAAGCCCATGTATTTGCATGTAGCATCACAATCTACCCTGTGCAATAAAATGAACTATGTACTTCGATTTTAAGAAGAAAAAAATACGAAATCTTCTTATAGTAGATAGAGAACACTCCCGCTAGTGTTGATCTCTGATCACATGCCGATTGCAGTTTTTCTTATCTTTGAAAAATTTCAAATGCCCTTGTACAAAATATAGATTCTAATTATATATATGCATATTGTACTTATCTCAAGATCTGAAAGCAAAATTTGATTCATTTTTTGCCTTCTTTTGATAATCAATTGCTTCGCTGCTTGCTCTTTGTGTCAACAATAAAACACTCGAAAAGCTTCGTTACAATAAAAGGACTCATTTGCTTTCTCTCTCTCTCTCACAAATCAGATGCACCTGTTTAAATATTTACTATGCATCAGATACAATCTACTCGTTTTATTTAATGATGTCATTTTATTTTTGACTCACATTGGTTCGATGAAAGAACCAGAAATCTTTCCTAGAAATATCTTCATTTACACTCAAAGTTGCTTCGAAAAATTGTCATATAGTCTCGTATTTCGAAGAAAAAATATTTATCATGCTTGAAGATACGTCGATTTTTCTTTGATGATTTCCATCAAAACATAAACTTACTATTGAATCAAGCATCCAATTTGTTGATCAAAAATAATCATACCATTGATAATAAAGTCATTCTGATTGATCATTCGTATGATTTTAGTAGAACACTAGCTATTGAATTTAAAGTAAAACGAAAGAACTGTTTATGAAAAAATGAAAATGAATGCTGAAATAATAAAAAAGCCAACAAGTGCACTATGTAAAATATCTAAAAAAGAGTTGAACGGTTGGAAAATACCAAACAAAAAGCGAAAATAACTTGGCTGTCTAAATTCATTTTTCTGGTATGAATGACGAAATTCTTCAACTTCTCACGTAGTGCAAAACTGCCACTAGGTAGAAAAAACTTTTTGTCCCCTTTCCATCTAAAAAAATCATAATAAGACAAAAAAGTAAAACAAAACACGCAAAATTTTCCTTGGTTTTTTCATTGTGTCAATAGTTGTTTTGTTTTTAATTTTAGAGTGAGCAAATAATCAAGGATCTCTATTGAAATGCAGTCAAAATAAAGAAACTATAACACTTTTTTGAAAATAAAACAAACATTCTGTGTAAAGAAACGATACTCGAAAACAAAAAAAAAATTATGGAGCTGTAGAATTTGATAATTCGGTTTCAACAAGAGTAGGATAATGTTACACGTGTTGTCTCGGCGCTATGTATCTTTTTTTATCTTACTCGAGTCGTATCCTTCCATCTCGCGCATAATAGAACACCGGGTTCAGAATTTTATATGACAAACATGATAGATGACCCGGATCTAATCAAAAAAATATTTCTTGCATGCTTAATCTTTTGGTTTAATTTCTTTGAATACTGTTGAATAATCCTCATTGGAGAGCAAAACTTTCGAAAGAATAACAAAAAAACGTGATAACTTATTTACACATACCGAAATATAGTTTCTTTGTAGATAGCGAAACTATTTTTGACTGGCACCAAAATAAGAAAAAAGAGAGAAAGTTACAAATGATTGGACGAGTAGCTAAAGATTTATATTAAAGGTGATTTTGATAATTGGGACTCATCACGGAGCATCCATCTAAAGACCTCGTAATCTGACATTTAATACAAGACTCCGGAGTCTTTTCTTAAGGAGGATACCCTAAATATACATCTCTAATTTTTTCGCACGAGTATAATGACTTTTTCACAGGTCACACACTCACCCCCATTTTCAATCGCTGGCTTCCCATAAACTCATTGGTTTAACGTTACAATGTACTAGAGCTTAGGCTACAGTAAAATTTCTAATTTTTCTTAAAGTTTCATTCATTTTTCTGAAGTGTGATGATAGACGGAAGCTAGAGCGTCATAGTTTCGCACTCATTCAAAATAATCCCATTCATCAGTGCGTCAGACAAAAGCTCACTTTCGCGGAAATTTTCTCGGTCGGAACAAAATATTTTAAATTGCATTTATGACTAAGAGAACTTACTTTAAGTTGGTAAGAATCTTCCTTTTTGAAGTTTTTTCTACCTATAAAGAGTCATCGTCAAAACACTACAACAACGCATTGCTCAGTTTCTTTTTGACACTCACGGAAAGAGCATAACTTTTAAAACTATGATATGATTACAAGTGTAGGAGATCCACTGATGTGAAACTGTAGATCAACCTTCGATGATAGTTCGATTATTTCCTTCTTTTTAAATGATGAAGTAATTTTCAAAATATGATAATAGAAAACAAGAGCCTTCTTCCGTCATTTGAGTTCACAAACAGCTTGACTTAAGCTTTTCATAGCCATTTATTTCTGTCATTATCGAAAAAAATGATACCGCACATCTATTTAAAAAAAAAACTTTCACACGAATAATTTTCGTCGTCGTATGCTCGAAAAATCTTCTGCGCAACTTTGCCTAAGCGTGGCACATTTTCGTTGATCAGATCGTATAGATATTCATGGGATATTTTCCTATATAATCTACACTAGTTGGAGTCATAGATCGAAGTTTCTTCTCTGGTTAATGCTGAGACTATCTAAAAACAAAATGAATCCTATGCAATAACCATTTCCATTGAATCTATCGATCGATAATTGTCTTTTCCTGTACATAAAAAACGAAGTGAATAAATTTATATAAGCTGGCCATAGGATGTTATAGTGAAACGTTCCTTTAAATATTTAAAATGAATGAAACATGTAATAAGTATATTGCGCAATGAAATTCAACATTGTCATATGAGAAGTTCAAAGTCAAACGAAAAAGAAAGAGGGCACTTATTTGTTGAAATTGATTTTTTCCTCTGAAGTCCTATCACGTATTTTCGTTTGTTTTGTTCAAAAATAAAATATGCAAAACAGAAGAACGACCAGAAATATTAATTATAAAACAAGGCTAAACAGGTCACCTTAAAAAAATAAGAAAAAACACCAATCTATCAGCTTGACATTAATCTAAGAATCGAGACATCATCAAAAGCTTTCTTTTAAAATAGAAAAATTCTAATTGAAAAATAATATCCTCTCGAAACATATTTAATAATGTAAAAAAGAGCACCTTTTTACGTAGATACAAAATTCATTTGAATGATTTTCTGAAATTTTCAAATTCCTATGATTAATTATATTTAACTTTCCGTAGTATAGATTTCCAATCTTTTTCTACACAAGTTGTGGGACCATTGGTAATCATTTAATGAAATTAGTGAATGTACTCAATTTATCAGTTACACTTAGCAAATAGTTTCCTGATCCATGATCACAATTTGTTGTTGACTTTAGAAGATTTCTTTCGCATGTCTTTCATTTTAATTCATGCATTTTATTTCTTGCACAAATCCAGAAAAGAACACAAGGAGGAAAAAAATACTATATGGATGTGAAACATCGTTAGAGAAGCTGGCGACTGCTTCTTTTTTCTTTTTCCACACTGTTTGACACCAGTGAAATTTCATCGTTGCTTCATTTAGATGATGCCTAGGATTTTCATTGGATGTGCCCATCAAAATATTTCTTTCCTTTTCTTTTAAATTGTAACGTACCGGAACATAAATTACTAATATTGTCCTTATTTGATGTTTGCTTAGTTACATTTCATGTTTTGCTTCTTCAAGTGCATTTGCATCATAAATAATTTGTTCTGTTTCTTTTTTACTGTAAAATCCTTGTCTTAGTGTCTTCAAACCACAATAAGATAGATACCTGTTGAAACTAATGCCCATGAAAATCTTGTTGTTAGCAGGTAGTAGAGTTGTTAGTGCTAAAGAATTTTGTTCATTACAATGACTGTATATCAAATTGACCTAGTTTGACGTTTACGCGTCGTATATTTTAAGTTTTTGTTTCTAGGATGAACTCTTTAAGAGTGGGAATTTCTTTAAAATTCTAATGCTAGAGCTTTTGTAGATCATCTTGATATAGCACTTTCTTTATCAATTCGGTCACATAGGAGTTGGATCATTACAACTACAATACATCCTTAAAAATCTTAAACTTGTTAAATAAATTTGCTTAGCATTTATGGGAATGGTTCTGTCAAAGGATGACATATAATATATAGGTGACTCTTGTTCTAGATTGTTTACGTTTTTATCTGTTACAATCGCTACATAATCTATGGCAAATAGTAGAAGTATTGAAGCACTCAAAGGCACTTGGGATCATGTGTGTTTATATATATATATTGTTTCTTTGCATTAAATCGACTTTTCTCATTAAGGTTGCCGATGAAAACATGGACGAATTCATGAAAGAGTTGGGCGTCGGAATGGCAATGCGTGTGCTGGCCAAAGGTATAAAACCTCGTATAATGATCAGCGAAAATAATGGCAAATGGACATTACGATCAGAAAGTACTCTCAAAAAGAAGTCGGTCGAGTTTATACCCGATGTTGAATTCGATGACACAACACCTGATGGACGCGAAGTCAAGGTCTACATATTAATTTTACTGTTTTACCTTCTACTCTTTTTATTACTATTTTACTTTATGCTGAAATTTTTAGACCATTATTCGTTTTAAGAACGGTGCGTGGGAACATACAACACATGAAAAAAGTGGAAAAGAATGGACTGCAACTCGTTATGTAAATGATGAAGGCCAACAACAAGTCGTACGTAATCTTTCGTTTCGTATTACTGCTTAGACATGATTTTTGTAGGATATGAAATATGAATCAGTGACAGCTCATCGTCGGTTCAAACGAGTTGATTAGTGATGAACTATTACAACGAAAATATAATTCCATACTATTTTAAATTTTACGTGTAGTCCTATATGTAGCTTTTTTTTTTTAGTTTGAATGATGATCTGATCAATCAAGTTACTCGTTCAGTAGAATTGATGATATTAATATTTAAACAGTTTGAGGTAATATCGAGGAAAGGAAACGTTTTGAAACATGTGAAACTAATAACATTGTTACTAAATTCAAGAAAATTGTTGATATGACAGATTTTATTTTATTCTATTTTGTATTTGTCTATGGTTTAATTCTAATTGATTCCAATAGCGTCCATTCATTTTAGGTTCTGTATTAAATTTTCTCATTACTTCAGCATTTTGTCTCTACTTTTATTTTAACTGTGATGTTCGTCATTTATTGTAATCATTCAACAGAATTTAACAATATAACAATCTTTTTCCACAATACTATTTATTGTTTAGTCTCAATTATTGGGACGAAGACATTTCGTACCAGTGTCCCGGGCATCCGGTAATCCGTCAGGGTGTTCGGAATTGATTTTTGTCTTTAAAAACATTTACTGGGAGTACATAACACATGTTGGTGAGGATATCGTAATTAAAAAAATACAGGGAAATCGGAATGAAATGGTCGACGATATGTAAAATACTCTCAGGAAATTGGTCTATTGAACAACTTTCATTCCGAACACCCAGGTTGTTTTTATATGTCGGGAAATCGTAATGAAAAGTCAGTGCGAAATGTCTCTTTCCGCAATCTTTTTAATAGCGATTTAATTCCTTTTCATTTAGTTGAAAATTACAAAGGATCAGGATTTACATCAAGAATGATATGAATTGACGAATAGAGATAATTATAAATTATATTTGTAGTACATAAACCAGTAGTTTATTGAAGGATTTATTATTTAGTTAATAAAAAATGATCATACGTTTTCGCTTCACATTCTGAATTTTATGTGAAGAAAATTAGTCCGTTATTCTATCTTGTGTATTCATGGACAATTGTAAAAACCCTGAAGAAAAAAGCTGATTTCAATCATGGAAATCGCCGATATGTCTTGAAATTATGAAATCAGTTTCTTCTTCCCTTGGAGTTTCTTGTGTGCTAAGAAACTAAAAATACCAATGATGTTGAGATCGTTTCCACTCAGCTTTCATATGCCAGTATGATTTTTTTAATCTACAATTTTATGTAGGAATATTTACCGAGATCATTTTCTATACTTGTAAACCAGGCTGCTTGAATTTTTTACATAATTTAAAAGGATTAAATTGAATACAGAAATAATGAGAATTGTTTCGATCACAGGTAATTATTATTTATAACTATTCATTTATTTTAGATAGAATCTATTGAATTGCCTCACTTTCTCTTAAACCAAATCAAGTGCCGAATAGTTTTACACGAGGTGTACTACCCAGGTCGAGAAAACCCACAACGAATCCGATAGGAACTTGATAGTATCCTACCATCGGCCAGAATCTTATAGGATTACGGGTCGAGAAATTGACGTCTGAACCACTGATCGGAACCCATTGAACTTCCAATGATATCCAACGGTGTTTCTTTGGAATTCATAGGAATCCAACACTGAGGATCCAACTTCGAATCCGGAACCCGGAATCTGACGATAGGTCTGTAGGGTCCGACAAAATTCGATAAGATCCTTCTGGATGCGAGTCGGATCGGATGGATTCCGATTGGTGCCTACTGTTGGGATGGCTCGACCTGGGTAATAGAAAACGATTACTATAGTTAAATTTGATTGAGAATCAAATTCAGAATACAATGTTGGTAGGATCTATTTTTCTCAAACACGTTTCAAACAGTTCAAAATGTACTAAGCAAATGCTTTATATATATAATCAAACAAAATTGTTCGATAGAGGGCAGTACCATATAGTTTCGTTTTTAAACTTACATCCAGATTTCTAGAATTTTTTCTAGTATGGATTTCTTTTGTACTCACTCTATTCTTTACATCGATTTTAAGAATATTCAATTTTGTTCTATATTGCAATAATTGCAATGTTACTATGGAAACATTGAAAAAGCATATTGTCCGATGTCTAACTGATTAGATACATATAAATATTTTAATTCTTGCGTTTAGCTTTAACATAATGGATCAATCGATTCAATATGCTCAAGTGATGTCAAATTTCGATTCAGTTTACAATGTTGCCCCTAATCTTGTGCAGCGTTCGACAATTTTTGTACCTAAGCCCTCATTCACAACATATCAAAATCGATCCGTATCTCCCTCTCTAACATCATCAAGTACAAAATTCAATTTCGACTCCTATAATCCAAACGACTATCATACTAGATCTAGTGACTATGTATCACCTTCAACTTCTATAATAATTCATCATCGTCCTGTATATTCCCCTCCTCCTTCACCTCCTTCACAAGCGATTTCAAAATTACGTCAAATTAATGATGAACTATCTCATACTCTCGCGACATGTGAAGTAACCACCCATCGATCACAACTATTACCACCACCACCCCTATCACCACACTACCATGTTCATCATCATCCAATACCATATGAGACTTTTCGTTCCCATTCTTCAAGTGAACGTGATTTATCCTCATCGTCATCGACGGAATCTCTACCAATAAAAACAAAACATAATGCTCGAATAAAATACAAAGCTCATATTCCGCGTCGACAAACTGCTTTATCAAATGTAGATCGAATTCTTATGTCAACCTCCGATGCTTATGCGTCACATGATCCAATGACAATTGACCTCTATCCAACACGTAATCAAGGCTTTGTTAGAAAAATTCGAGATCGTCCCGATAATCAAATTCCATGGCCTGCTGATAATTCTCCAATACGACGAAATTCCTTTTCAGCAGAAAATACTCATCGAACTCCCAGAAGATCATACAACGCTGACAAACCAATACAACCAAGAAGTCGATTAGCTAATAGCAAAGGTTTGCAATAGGAAAAACAAATTAACCATTTTCAGATAAATTTTATTCCAGAGCATCCACGATCGTCGTCTGTAAATCCTCGCCGACGTCTTGATAGTGCCCCGAGTCCATTGCGTCGATCAACTACTTCTTTCTCCAATACGGCACCTGCATGGCGACCAAGTGGTTCAATTAAACGTCCTAAATTTGTTGGTTCTCATGCACCACCTTCGCTACCACGAGCAAGAGTTAAGGAGCCTCTCTGGAATCCTAGTGGTACTGCAACTAAAACAAAATATATTCGTGCTTTTGATCCTGCTAGCAAACCACCATCAACTAACGTCAGTGAGCCTACAGGTGTGTGGCGTCCAGCATCAAAACCACTTTCTGTCAAACATCCAAAATACTTTGAACCAACTGTCAAACCTGAATTGGTTACAGCCATAAAAAAAGAAAAAGAACCTGTATTACAACGGAAAAAAATAAAAACAGATGAAGTAAAAATACCTAATGGTAATCCAGTATTAAAAAGTCGTATTGCCAAGGCAGAGAGCAAAGTTAAGTCTGCATGGGAGGGCACTACAACGACTACTAAAGAGCCGAAACCGCCTATTCCACGCCCTTCTAAAACAGTAACAATAGCTAAACCGTCAAAAATAAAAGTTAAACCTGCTCCATCTAAACCGGTTGTATCGTCAAAAAATATTGTCCCTCCACTTGAAACCAATGTAGATACCGGCAGAAGTTCACTAAATAATATTCCAACAAAACCGCTGTTTCAATCTACGCCAAAGAATCAAAGTATAACTGATGATGGTTTTGCTGATGTATTCGATAATGAATCACAAGTATTGGAAACTCCACGAAAACCAGACATACCTCATCAACCTCCTCAAGTTGAAAAAACACCTCCTAATCCTCGTATGTATTATGTTGCTTTTTGTCAGTTCTTTCGATTACTTTGTTTAATAGCACTAACAACTACATCAGGATCAGGTACGGGAACAAAACCAATGATGAAAACTACTGAAATATCACATATGGATGATGCGGATAATAGTCGAATTGATGATCACAGTGCGTCTTTCTTTCTTCAAATAAATTTTTGAGTTAATTTTTATATTGCTTAGCGCCCTCGCCTGATTCTTCTCAAATAAATAATAATGTTGGTCATAACGGTGATGATAGCGACAATGATGCATTGAGTAATCATAGTGTGCAACCATCATCAATTCCTCCTAAACCAGCAGGTAACATTATGAATTAATTTATATCTATTATAGAAAAATATTAAAACAAATTTCAATTTCAGCATCTTTGCCAAAGCCAAACAACAATGATGATGTATCAATTGTCGACGACGAAGATGTTATTCAACATAATGAAAGTGATCAAAGTCTCTTAACGAATCAATCTGCGAATAATGCAACTAAACCCACAACAGATCATTCGAAGATAGATGAAACTAATGCACCTGTGACAACATCTCAAATACCTCCAAAAGCTAAAACTGAAACATCATCGCCTAAAAATGCTGATCAAAATTCAAAGGAATCCCCAAATACTTCGAAGAATAATGATCACGATTTGCCAAGTAATCCTTCGTCACCTCCAGAAGCAGATAACATTGATGACTATTTTGGTTAAAACTTAGTTCTTTTATTCATCTGCTCATTCTTATAAGGGGAGTTTATTTTTAATAAAATAGTACATAAGACATAAATATCGTTTCTATCAATCATAATGAAAATACATAATTAGCTAAAACTTTATTGTATTCTCAAAAAATACTATCTATGTCTTGTCGATACCATAAAAGGAAAATCTGGAAACAATGATGAAAGATCAGAGAGTGTGCTTCGAATATAGTTGCAGCGTACAAATGAAACGCAACATTCCAACAAGAATATTATAATTCTCTATCTTTCCTTTTATATTTAGATGTGTTTTTAAAATTTTCAAGATTTATTTCGTGTGTATATGTTCAGAAGCATTGCATCGTTCTTTGTTAGTATTAGCGATACCGATTTGATTGATACACGAAAGTTCATTCATCTATGGCGAATACAATGAAATGGGAATATTATTTTTTAATATTGTTGCTATATTCGAAAACATTGCTTTTCTAATTAGTCGATGGATTCGACAACTAAATCGATTGGAAAGTAACAGTAGACACGCTTGTGTAGCGGTAATACTTCTTGTACAGTAGCGAAATCAAAGCCAGATCTTGAACTATCGAATTCAATTCATCAGGATGTGTTAAAACGAAATCCTGTAATTTCATGAGACAAAAGTTCAAGAATATATATTTCACCGAGTATTGAATATTGTGCTCCTCCATCTTATGCGTTTTCATGGAAGAAAATGATGAAACTTGTTGACATCAATTAGCCTTTCAATGTCGTGTCTATCTAGTATCTATTCAAATGATTCACTTCGAAACACTCCTTCATGGTAACTATTCAAAAACAGTACTTGTCGTCTCTAATTTTGATAATAATGAGCGTACGTGGATCGTATGAACTAAATAAGGTGTTTATTATATGAATAGAGGCATTCTTTCTGACAGTCTGATGATGCGCATGTTTACTGTTAACCGAAAGGTATTGTTTTAATCTGCATGGTGACATTATACTATGAAAGTTAACTATGATACGTGTATGAAATAACATAAATAGTCCCGTTGGAAGACATGATATTGTAATTTTTGTATTTGTCACGTCATGCTCAAAGGAATACAGTTACAGAGGCAAAACAGCAAACGAATTAGGATGATTACATCGTAGGTAATGAGATATTCAAATTTCTTCTACACGACATAGCCGAAAGCTATGTAATAAAAGGGCATAAAGGACATTATTTGTATAATCAATAATCATATTGAATCATTCAAGGAATCAATGCATAAGATTTTTCCACTACGAAGTGTAGCTGAAAATACGTCATATTCCAACGATTATACTATCTTTAGATGATAGTGTGAAACACCTAATAGGGACGTTGAAATCAGTAAATAAATTCATGATGACTTTTCTTATGGTTATGTCCAAGGGGGAAACGGCAGAGTTTTGGGGATTTTAAATCCGAAAAAATCGCCAATTTGAAAAGCATTTTCTCCCCTGTGAATGGCGTAGTTTCGACCTGAAATTCTTCCCATATATAGGTTTCATGGTCCATAGAAGATCTTGAAAGTTTCAACTCGATCAAATGTTTTCTTCTTAGAATATTGAATTTTCAAGAAAACTGGATTTTCTGACCGTGCCGTGAAATGAGCATTTCTTGTGCATTCATTATCTTGAGTAGGAAACATCCATTTGCGCTGAAACGTTTAGAATATTCTAAGGACCATGAAGCTTACATATGGAAAAAAATTCAGATGGAAATTCTATCATTCACGATTTGGATTTTGAAAATCCTAGATCCGCCTTTCTCCCTTGGTTATGTCAAACAGAGTTACGACGTTTATGATTATGATAGTATAGGCGGCATTTAAGTCATTTTGCAATTCCGCCTAAATTATATCAATAGTATCAGCAATACAAGCATACGAACGATAATTCGATGGCAGGTGTCTTTTCTTTTCTCCTCATCTGATTATTATAAACCAATAGCTATTTAGAAAGAAAACCCGAGCATCTTATCAGAAACCATTCATACGGATAGCTACCATACTAAGATAAATACTTGCTAAAGATTGTTACTATTGTCGAACATGATTTTATTTTATTTTTTCATATTCGATTTGGTTTTCCTGCAGGTCAACATAAACGACCTTTTATTTGATAAAAGAGAACAATATTTAAAGAAAAAGATAAGATTCCAAATATATTTTTAAACAGTAGTCAATTTAATCAGATAGCGAGTTGTTTCATCTGATTGTTGTTCATTTTCTATCATACAAATATCATCTGTATGTTGTCCAGGTACTCCTATTAGGGAGTCTAAGGATGGATCATGAATAATATCAGATTTTCTATTCAGTTTACTTTGTGTTGATCTAGATTTTATTACAATACGCAGAGGTATTGCTAGACTTGATTTTTTACGACTACCGTTTCGTTCGTCATTCGTTTGTTTTTGTTTCCTTTTCGAAAATAATTTTTTAAGATGTAGAATTTCAATAAGCTCATTACGAAATTGTGCTCCACAAATCATAAGAATAAGAATGTTGGATGTCGATGTAAATAATTCAAGTATACTACCGAGAAACATTGGTAGGATATTATGATTTGATTCTCCATAACAATTATCTGATTGCATACGAAAAAGTAAACGATGGCATGTAAAAAAATTGATTACATACGATTGTAATGCACTCATTAAACTTAATAAAATTTCGACTAAAATAAGCGATAACGAACGAAGTTCAGCACGTGAATGACTATGTTTACGTATTAACGGTTGATTAGATATATAATAAAGACACATAAATGATGATATTATACATATAGATGAGGGTATGAATGTACCAATGATAAAACCAATTGTATAACGATTTTTTAATGATAAACGACGATCATATAGAAATTGATAAAACTTTTTGAAAGTGTTAGCTGATATAGGAAATGAACAATTAGCGTACGTATCAATAAAATGCAATGTTTGAGTACAAAATTGATGTTCGAGGAAATAATCTTTACCCGGACGTGATTGTAATAATGGTCGTGTTATATTATCTATAGCTGAAAGAAGATATTTTGGTAAAATTTCTTCCAAAGCACAGTCAGAACGATTAGCATATTCATCAGGCCAATCAATCGACATGTAGGGTTGAAGATAAACATATGCAACAGTCCGATGTCGTATACGGTGCCAATCTTTGTCCGAATGACACATTGAATCGGTACTATTATTCAATGATTCATTTCCTATTGGATATATTAGGTAAGGTTGATGAGAAACAGTATTAAATGGGAACATGGCTGCTGTTAAATTGAATACTAAAATATATTTCATAAATTTCAAATTACATCGGACGATACCAGAATATAACAAAAATCAATACAGAAATATCCGAGGATTTTGTTTTTAATGCTAGGTCTCAAGAATATACTATGTATAGTTTTTACTTTGAAACACTTCCAATTTTCTCTCAAGTTCATTACATTTTCTATTACCTGTATTATTCATAGTTATCATTGAACATTGCTCATCAATCACATCTTTTGTATCATTAATTAATAAATTAACTTGTAAATTTTGATTTTGATTTAATTCTAATTCTTTTACACAAAATCCATCATAAAGTTGCATATAAGACACAGTGATTCCATATATAAATGCAATTAATGTTAGCATAAATGCACACATACGACTTTCACGATAAGATATTGATGAAAATGTTCGAACACGTTGTATCGACATAAACATAAAAATAAGCATAGATATTTGCGTATATGTTGTATTATAAGTAAGTACTGATAAACCTCCGTGGTCAATTAAGTCATAGTAGTGCATAATATCAATAAATTTTGATAAATAAATATTAAACCAACAAGATTTTGACGCATCAAATATGAGCATCTTCGCAACATGAGATATAAATAAAAGTATACAATCATTAAAAAATAGCGCAATAAAATATACACTTATTGAACGTGTACGAAAACGTTGCCGGAGAAAAACTATTATACATATAATATTACTGAAAAATCCACATATAAAGATCGGAGCAAGAACATTACACAATATACATGGATCAATACTTTCTCTAGTTAAAATCATTGTATTCGATTGATCTAGAACGAAGAAGAAAAATAGGAAATAGAATTTTGATCTAGTTGTCATTAATTAGATATCATTTATTTTCTTGATTTCTCGAGTCAGATAGAGACATTTTTTCATCTTTGCTTAAGACATAAAACGATTAAGAAGAAAACTACGTAGTATTAGCAAAACTTCCATGAATTTTTTTCTTTTTCTGTCCATCGTTGCATATTAGTGTTGAATGAATGATAAATGAGAAAGATATATATATATATATAAATACTAACTGATTGAAAGTAATGAAAAGCTAATTTGATTTGTATAAACCGAAAAAATCAAGTACTCTTCAAATGGTACTTGTCTTTTTTAAATATAGAATAGATCGTCATGTATTAAATATAAAAAACGTAAAAGAAAAATGAATTTATTTATGAATATATATCTCAAGAAACAATCTACAGAAACTAGGTGAAAAAGACGAAAAGAAAAGAAAATATTCATAATTGAAAGTAGGAGTTCATGCAGCACTTCTGAATTAACAAATACATCACGCCAAGAGTTCAAACTCACTTCAGCGAAGCTATTAGAAAATATTCATATGGGAAATCTAAGATAAAAAAGCATTTTTCTTTATTTTTCTTGCCTTTGGTTTATCAACATAAGTAGTGTCAGAGTAGCAGGCCAGCATAGCGATATGATTGGTATTTTCTGGGTGTAGATTGCTTTTCTCTGATTCATAAGCATGATAATTGCTTCAAGCAAGTTGCGATAATGTGTCAACTTTGAAAGCAAAATAAATAGAAAGCAAGCACGAATCAGTGTCAACCGTCTCGCCTCTGTATCTTCTATATAACAGAAGAAAAAAAACCTAGCATGTTGACTACATGTAGATATATATGTGTGTTTGCGTATCTGTATATATGAATGTAACTGAAATAAAACCTTCTGACGCCTCTGTACTCATCAAATGAATGATGCTTCGTATTTTAATATACTTATTTGTGCATATTAAACAGTCATTTGTATTAGCATGTCAGTACTTCCACTTATGCATAAAAGGATTTGAATTTTACAAAAGACAACAGAAAAAAAACTATAGAAATTCATTATCTTTCGTTTTAGTAATATAAACAAAAAACAATAATAATACTAAGTTGCATCGACTGTTGCTGTTGTTATTCAAATTATTGTATCCAGCCTATTTGTGACAACACATGAAGAAAAATGATTGATGAGTATGGCTTGTAGGCTATATTCTCTTTACCTATTATCTGCCTATTTCCAAATATATTGTTAGATATATAAAGTCAAAAGAATTTAAATGATACAAAAAATTTGTTGTAAAATCGATGTGGGAAATCGAATAGCAAAACTAAAACACATACTAGAATAAGAATTAGCTTACGCGAAGCATCGAATTAATGCGAATTCATTGTGAATTCTATTCATGTTTATCATAAAGGATATTATTTAATTTTTAGTAATTCGATGAAACTGATCAAATGTTTAAGAGAACTCATATGAAAACCTAGTTCGTTCTTTTCCCTAGTACTTATATAGTTTGCTTTTGTCTTGTTCTTTTCTATAGTCTACTCTTTTTCTTTTCTTTTTATCGTACTAACAATTTTATGATGAGAGCGAGAAGAAAATTTTCAGATGATGATTATTTTCGTTCTGTTTCCATTCTTTTGCAATTCAATAAATGGTATTGAGGTGATTAAATTGTTGACACAGATAATTTTCCGTAACATTAGAAAGAATAAAAATCAATACACTAGGAAAAATGTTCCTATAATCAGACATTGCAACAACAAAAAATCAGCATTTATCCTTTCGTTTTCTTATATTTTTTATTATAAAATCTACAACTATCTATCTAGCATAATAGTTATTTAATTATGTAGAAGCAACAAAATCAGACGTTTCGTATGTAAGTAGCACGATAGTTGATAAGTTGCTTCCATAAACAAATAATCACAAAAAGATTTTTTGTATGATTTGTTTGTTATATCTATATAGTTTTCCTATGAAGTCAACATCTAATTGAAGTGGTCGTCTGTAAAGTTAGATATCAGAATATAATGTTTGACTATTTGATTAGAAATATGTGCACTTTGCTTTATTGATTTTATGTTTTAACACACTCGGTTGATATTTCGACATGGACTAGTTGTTCTCTTGACAATCTAGAGTGCACACTATTAAAGATTGATGTTAACAAAATTATATGTTAAAAATGGCAAAATTGATTAGATTTTCATAATTATTCTAGCAGTTAGACCACGAAATATGATATTTTTGTTTTTTTAGAGAAAGAATGTTATATCTTTCTAGTTTATTGGTTGAATTCCTAGTCTGTTGTTTTGTTGTTATCTATCTAAAAACATTCGAAGATTGTATTTCAGAACTTTGACCGAAATCAAAGGCATATTTGAATTTTGTTTTTGATTATGATAATTTGTTGCTATTGTGTTATATCTAGTCTCTTATTTACTTTACAAATATATGTTCGAACCTTCTTCTGTCTATGAACTGAAAATTTTCTACTAGGGATATAAATAAATATATTTCATACTTTCATATAGAAATCGAAATCAAACTTTGTTTTTTTTCCCGAGTAATAAGCATTCTTGATGAATGAATAAATTTATCTAGGCTGTTATTCCGAATTTATTCGCTTAATTTGTACTCGATAAGTTTGATACTAATGATAGAAAACAAAATTCATTTCAATATTAAAACTATATACTGACACATATTTGTTTTTATGACAAAGAACTCCCCTTTCAATAAAACTTGAATTTTCATCATCAGTAAACATACTCAAAAGAGACATTCGTAGCACCGAAACGAGATCTCTACTACTAAAATCTAACAATATAGAACCAACTTAAATAAAATGCATTGCGAATCTACTGTAAAATTTTGCAGAAGTTTTGTTTTGTATTTAAAAAATGCTTCAATACAAAGTGCAAACGTCTTTATAATTTAGCCAGCAGCTGATGAACTTTCAAAATGACTCAGATTATGAAGTCTACTCACTGACATATTTTGTGATAATTATCTGTGAAAATGAATTAAGAATAAAAGTAGATACCTTACCTTGAAGAAATCGTATTTAGAATTTATTAGAGAGCGCGTCAAATCAGAATAACGACTCAGTTACAGTTGAAAACAAGAGAACTTATTGAAGATTACTAGAACAAACAATTGAGTTTACCTTTTCCTACTACATGAAATTACCATAATATATTGAAATATTGAAGTAAGACAATAAACGTATCTTTAAGCCATATAACAATTGTTTCATAAACTATCTAGCAACAATTTAATGATGCTGAAAAGACTCACGTTTACACAAAGGAAAAATGGAAACAATCACGCAAGATAAAGAGGCTATTAGTACGATGATGGCATCAAATATCGTCTCATTTTGTTGGCATGTTCTTTTGTTTTTATTTTATCGAAAACAACTCCTCATTCCATCATAAACAGTCAAAAAAAACATTTTTTTTTTCTGTAAAAATCCAATAGTGGATGATAAGAATAACTATAATTCTGTTGCTCATAGGGATCCTAAATTTATAAATTATACTCTTACTTTTTGCATAGCTTAACTTGTTTTTGTTCGATTGCTACGTGATGTCTACAAGGCATTTATTACTGATGTTTCATTCATTCCGTATGTTTCCTTATCATCATCTGCTTTATTATATGCATCATGTTAAAAGAATACTCAGAAAAAAATAGCACGACACTAAATTATGGTAATTCAGTTTCCTACTGTTTTTGTTTCTTTATTTCCATTATAGTATTTATGTTTCCTCGGGATTAGTATGTTAACAAAAAATTAACGCTCAGAAAAACAATCTAGCCTTTTGTCACGCAAGAAACAGCTTAATTTTTTTTAAATAAAATTTGATTTCGAGACCTTTCATTGTAGTAAAATACAATCAAGAAAGAATCAAATAACACGTAAGACATAATAATGTATATGACACATTGAGATGATTTCTCACTGAACCATTAGGTTTGCCATTAGTATTCGATCTTAATTAGATCATTTTTATCGAATCCCATAATTCATTTCTATCTTTAATATTCTCCACCAACAGTATTTACGTATGATTTGATGATGATTAATCATCCACGGTTACATTTTTACTTTCGTTTAGTTATGACTATCATCAACACGCGATTTAGCCTCATTCCAATCTAAAATCATTTGATTGCATCATTGATCTTCAGTACTTGGTTACTAATAAAAAAAAGATTGACGGAAAATAATAAAGATCATTAATACGCAAAAGCGAATCTCGCAAAATAATGCGTCAAATATAAAAGTAAACAAACTAACCTTGAAAGAAACACAAGCGTCAGTAATGCTTTCAACGATTTTTAAAGGGCAATATCTGACTCGATCATATGTCAGACAATAATGGGGTTTTCTTTTAATTGTATCCTATGAACCGTGAAATTATTGTTTTTGACTCGCATATCACTGTAAAATAAGTTCGATTGAAATGCGTCCTATACAAGAAAAAATAAAAAGCATCACTTATGTTACTTTCATAGAATGAATGTTCAATATATATCAATCACGAATACAGTAAACTAATTTAGAGGATTCTATTGAATACTCCAGTGTATTGTCAATCACGTCGCACTGAAAATTCTCCTATTCTGTTCAATGACATTTTCCTAGCTAATCATTATTGACGTTTAATATGTTTCTACTTGTCTCTTCGTGATTTCCTGGATGAAATAGTCAAGTGGAACAGTATTTAGATTCCAAAATAAATACTCATCAAGTACAATGACGGGAAGGCAGCATTCTTTCATAAAAAATAATAAAATATTTTTTCTCAAATTGATCTAATAAGTTGTCTTAGTGAGAAATAACTTTCCACTCTATAAACAGATCGTCAAAAACAAAAATCGGAAAACATAATATATTATTTAGAATAAATAGTTTTCTATATCATGCTATCTGCAGATAAAGGTTGATTTATGCTTGGTAGAATCTATAATTGGATTTTTGTCATTCGTTCCAATCCAAATCAGTAAAGTAACAAGATCTGATCTATAATTATAGTAGATATGTTTTTCCAAGCTTTCCGGTAATTTACTACTTGTAACACAATATGCAAATCTACTATCTTAACGTTGATCAGAGTACAACCATGATTTGCCGGTGTTAGTTAATGAGTAGATGTTCTAATCGTCAATTGCATAGTCAACAATAAATATGACAACTTCTTGATCATCTTTTTTTTTCTAATTCCATCAGCAAATAATGGATATAGTGATCTTTCGTTTAGCTTAGGGACATTTTCTTACTCAATACTATGACGTATGACATCAGGACTTTCCTGCAAGCAAAAAAATCGATTTCACAGCCATTAGAAAAAAGCTGAAAGGTTTTGTTTATTTATATATAATGATATAAAATAGCGAACTGTAGCAGTTGTTGATAGATGACATTTAAGATAAATGTTTGGTTTTGATCATTCGATAAACATAATTTGTATATTTTTTCCAACGTTATTAGCTTCAGAACAACTGCAGATTTTCGGTACATTTAAATCTATTTTATATATAATTCTTATTGGATCATAAAATGCAAAAGATTTATTCTTCAATATGATCAAGTAGTGTATCATCGACTTTTTAATTTTTCAACGATATGAGCATCACGACAAGATCAACACTATTAGGAAAATCAAATCATGAGACTATTATCACATTAATGTATATTACGAACAAAGGAGAAACTCAATGCAAATCATTACACAAAAACTTTCTAGTACTCAATAACAGTTGCTCTGTGTTTTTGGACATGAAACAGCAGCACTTCACAAAAACTGGATGAGACAATATCGTTTCTTACTATTGAAATACTTCGATATAATTCTATAAAGAATTGCTGGTACCATAAACATGTCGACTTTAACATTCAAATAAGTTTTGTTTTCATGTCGAACCTAAATGCAAAAGACTTAGATCTATTCAGTTGTTCAACTATCACAATCAAAAAAATAAGTAAAGACATGATGTCAAGATCTTATAGCAGCTTCATCTAAAACTGCCAATAATATTTGTGACAAACTTATTTGAGGTTACTTAAAAAATCAAGATTTTCTAATAGGATACTCCGGTTGGCTCTTTTTTCATTTCAACAGAATCAAATTGTTTTGAATTCTCAAGTCAATTCTTACATTATTTTTTTCTGAATGAAGTTGTTCATCTTACAGAATAACAATGAACGTGCCTAGAGGAAACTACATTCCATTGTTTTCAGAAACAAATACTGTTAGGCACGAGTGCTTGAACTTATTTTTTTTTATTGAAAGACAATAACAATGGGTTTCGGCAACATCGTGGAAACACAAAAGAGAAACTTTTCTATTCATAAATACTTGCCACAAATTGTACTGGAACTACCCAGGGTATGATAGTCTTTTGTAATTTTTCACAAAGAAGAACTGTTTTGACAATAAAAGTTCACAGTTTTATCGAGAATAAGATTGTCTATCGAATTACTACAGAAACAAATTCTCAAAAAGCAACCAAAAAAACGTCTTTCAATGGAGAAGCGTATAGAACATCATTGCTGATATTAAATAAACAACAATCCCATGCGGTGAAGCATCTATAGTGTACTTCAAAGCTCAATCATCGATCATTGTATTCTAAATACTAATCAATCTATAACTAATCATATAAACTCGCACTCATAAGTATGAGATGTTCAATCAACTATGTATCTGCTTATGTATGCATCGAATGTCTATGATGTAACACTTAATAGTAAATGACATGGGTCAAAGGTAGATATGATCTAGTTCGATTTTCTCGACGTCTACATATTAAGTTTTGATGATAGTCTTTTAAACATTTTCCTAACTGTTAAAAACAGAATTTTCTTGTTTATTTTATCTAACATATCGTTTTAACTAAAAAAGAAACACCAATCTTATATATAAATACAAGAAAATTCTTATCTAATAAAAATGCAATGCATTTCATTTTATCAATCAAATGTTTGTCTGTTTTATCATCATTTTCTTTCCTACGAAAGAATATCTCCAGCTTGTTGTTCAACTAATGAAGACATTTGTTTGACATCATTTGTCCATTGATCTAATCGTGTTTTTAATGTTGCAACTTGTCTTAAATCTAAAACACGTGGTTTAACCCAGTGCATATTTAATTTTTGATCAATTTGATCAATACTTCCACGTATTAAATCTAATGATAGAGCTTTCATAGCTAATAATTCAACTTGTTCAATAGGTATTTTCGTTCGTGTAGCAACATCATTGAAACTTAATGAACGTGAACCACCTGCAGCAAATATCATATCCATAAGACAAAGTAATGTAGCCTTTTTCTTTAAGACAAATTCTGCCATACGTAAATCCGGTTGACTTTGCCAAAGAGATTTTAATGCATCAAATTTTTCTACATCACCTATATTAAATGCTTGTAATAAATCGATTAGCCATTGTTCACGTGTATTTTTAAGTGCATCAAGTACAGGATGTTGAAGTATTTCACCAAAATTATAAACATTTTCAGCTAATAATGCAGCTAAACCAAGATTGAATGCACGTTCAGCTTTCTCTTTCAATGGAATTATTGATAGATCAATACAACCTAAATAAATCAAAATTATGTTTTTGTGCTTTCGCTCTCTCACTCGGTTAGTTCTTTAATTAGTTTACCAAGATATTTAAGTGCATTTTGATAATATTCATTATGATTTCCCATAAAACGATAATAATTTGACGCTAAATCATAGAATCTTGAATGAACTGTCGTTAAATGATCGAGTTCATCGAATTTTGGACTTAAATTTTCAATAATTTTTTTAGTTTCAATTAAATTTTTGGTTACTAAATATGCTTTACCAATCGTTATATCACAGAGGAGAACAGCTACGGAATTATTTTTAACTTTTTCACGTATTTGTTGAATAAATTCTATAGCTTGATCAACTTGTTTAAATGTTCGTGTTATAGGTATAATAATTTCTACTAATGCTAACTGATTGATACGATGTTCGAAATCAGATAGAAAATTTTCATAGAAAGTTTTTAATTGGTCACCTTGCTTTAATTCATCACGATGAACAAACGATGTTACACGTAGTGTTAATTCATGCCACAGACGACTTTGATAGAGAGATTCGAATTCAAGCCATTCATTAGCGAATGGGCCACCGACAGATTTTTGTTCAGATAAATATTTTTCAACACGAGATGACATTGTCAAATATGTGAAGAAAAAAGAAGGATAAGTGAAAAAAATATCACACTTCTTTAGCTCAAAGTAAAAGAATTATGCATATCAAAAGAAAAGAGAGAGAGAGAGAAAAATGATTGGATTATTGGACTTGTTCAATGAACATAGAACGAAAAGGTGGCGCAATACGGTTGTTGTACATAGAAATGCTTGATAAAATAGATGAGAATAGAGAATGTATTCGAAATTTGAATATGTTTTTCGAAGTATTTCCATAGTATTTTGCAGATTCATAAATATTATCACTTTTGTATTCCATTAGCTAAATTTATTTTTATTCTTCACAATAGTTATTCGAAATAATTAGATTTGATGATAGTTATACATTAGGTATTCTTTGTTGGCTTGAATCCAATTTGAATCATCTGTCCAATAAATTAGATAAAAGGGTCCTTGAACGTCTTTTTTCCTTAATAGTAAATGTAAATGTCATACTTTCCTATCAATTATTATAAAGTCTGATCTATCCTAGTAATTCGTAGATATCTCTCAAGCTTGTAACTTTGACTCTAGGATAAGATGGATTTAATACACATCACGAGTCTTTTTTTTTTATAGTGGTGAGTTTTGTATCAATTTATACACGACAAAATCCCCAATCGATTGAATGAAACTAATACTTTCTTAAACTTGGTAAACAACACCCACACAATATTAATCAAAATAACTATTTATTATTCCTAATCTTAGTGATTTATCAATAGAATCATTCGAGAGAAGAATAAGAGCATTTGCTCTTGAGGTTTCAATTGAATCCTTTTTCATCATCAAAATTTTACTCGCCAAAAATTTCGTGTTCAAGTGACACCTATGCTTATGTTTTGATTCGACCATCCTGACAAGTATTGTGAAATTTTTTCTGTTTGACTTTTCTACATCGACATCGACATAGTTTAGAAGAAAATCTTTCGCGACAAGCTTTACTTGCTGATTTAATAATAACGAAAAATTGTTTTTCTTTATTCAAACGAATAATCCATATTTGTGATTGAGTATATTACGCAGAAAGTCAAATTAATCTTTGATGTTATTTTCAGATAAAAAAATTTTATTTTAATTTCTTTTTAAAAACATTTTTATTATTGAAAATGAGTGGTAAGTGTGCATTCAAATAGTACTTTTTTAAAATTTAATGAATTATTAATTTTAGGCAAAGCTAATCCACCTGAATTAAAAAAATTTATGGATAAACGATGTCAATTAAAATTAAATGGAAATCGAACTGTCATTGGTGTGTTACGTGGCTTTGATCCATTTATGAATTTAGTTATCGATGAAGCTGTCGAAGTTGTTAAACCTGGTGAGAAACGTCCAATCGGCATGGTTGTCGCACGAGGAAATAGCGTGTCAATGATTGAAGCTCTTGAACGACTTGCTTGATATTATTCCATGGTCGCTTTTTTATTCACATTGTTGATGTTTTACTTCTTCTTTTACATAGGCAAGGCCACGAATTTGTTTGTTTTTGTACTTCTTACATCTTGTACTTAAAAGACGGATTAAATCGAACAACAACTGATTGTGGCTATTATTTCTGGAAATTCTGCATAGCATAAAATTGACTTTAGAATGATAAATTGAAAAAGCACTAAGGGTGGCAATGTAAGCGTTAGCTTGAACCAGCTACAAATACACTCGAGTTTTGTCAATGTTCTCAAGAGAAGCTAGGAAATGAGTGTTAAAAGATGCTGCAATTTGAAAATTTCGTATAGTAATTAAAATGTTTAATATGAATCGATTTCATAGAAAGTACGCTGAAAAACAGTTACCATTGCGAATCTTTGATTATCGAGCATTATTGATTCGGTATAGAGTTACGGTGATGTTTGAAACTATATTGAATTTAAACTTCCGAAAACTCGATCTTTCATTCTCGTAGTTATATATAATTGGAGGCTACAGAGGAGAAATTCTATGAACAGAAATTAAAAGAATTTTTTTTCTAATATTGACGAAAAGGAAAAATATGCATATTGAATTTTATTTTAAATAAAACTAATAATTATTAGTAGCGTAACAAAATTGAAATCGATTAAAATGTATGCTAAATATGTTTAATTCAAAATTGTCAAAGAAGAATATTTTCCTCATTATTTTCATGTTCTGTCACGCTTATGTAGTGATTGTCATTCGTTACTGAGTGTTGATTTCGTTGACGGATCGCAATATATTCTTCTTCTGTTACTTTCCATGCTTTTCTTTCTTCACGAGTAAATGATACTATACAATTTTTCACAAAATTTGCTCCATTGAGCTCATTAATTATATCAACAAAATGTGGTCGCTTATGCCTATCGCCATTCCAGCAACGAGCCATTAAATCGTACACACTCTGTGAACATTGTTGTGGTCGTGATAATCGACGGTTTTGTTCGACTAAAAATCGTTTTAACAAATGAATCAATGGTTGAGAATTATTATTAGTCTCGATTTCATAGGGTAAAGCACCAAATGAATAGATTTCCCAAATTACGATACCAAATGACCAAACATCTGACAATGATGAAACTTCATTGGTACGATCAAAACATTCCGGTGCAGACCAACGTGCTGGTACAATATTATCATTTTTGTCAATTTTTTCATCCTCAAAACGTGCTAAACCAAAATCACTCAATTTTATATGCTTTTCATTCTGAAGTAAAATATTTCGTGCTGCTAAATCGCGATGAACTATTTTATTGTTTGATAAAAATGCCATAGCTTGTGCTAATTGATATATCCAATGAAATGCATTTATCAATGGATCCAATGATCCTTGTTCTAAGCGTTTTAAATATGAATGTAGATTTCCCATTGGAAGATATTCCATAAATATACGTAGATCTCTTTTCAAATTATGATCACAAATAAATGCATGAATGATGAAAGGATCATTTTTGAGCTTTTCTAGTAAAATTTCTGATTCATGTTTATATTCGAGACGTCTACGAGAATTGTATCCATAAGGAAATTCATCATTAACATTAGCGGTTTCGTGATGTGAAGAATTATTCAATTCATTCAATCGATATTGTTTGTATGAATCAATATTTGTTTCAGGAAGATAATCTTTGATAATAACAGGAATAGATATTGTGTTATCTACGCGACATTTCGTTAGCCATATAAGTCGATTGTCCTTTTCATCGAGAATTTTTGCTGAATATATTTGGAATAAATCAATATGATTAATAGAACTAATATCTCTATCATCTTCAATTTCAGGATCTTCAGGAATAATTCCATAACTAAAGACAAGATAATTTGCACATGTATAGTAGTCATTGAATGATAAAAACCCGCGAACTTATTTTTTTCAGTTGTTTCAATCGTTCAAAGAATTTTATAGCTACAATATTCTACTTGGAAAAAATTCTGATAGGCACTGCTGAACAATATTATCCACGTAGAAATATACTCAGTATTAGAATGGCACACATTTTTGCCTCGACTCAATACTTCTCTCTTATCATATGCATATTTTTACCGGATGAATCATAAAGGAAGCTCATGGTATAATTTTAAACAAAATACATGAACACAAATATAGTATACAGTATATCTAACTGAAATAAACTGATTGACATTCGATTATATTTTTGAATAGTTTCATATGTCATGAATAGTTCATACTGCTACTTACCTAGGATGCGGTGGGTATTTCACTGGTAGTAATAATGTTTTAGCTTTCATTGTTTCTGTTTCATCTTTATTTTTTCGAACAAATTCTTCCAATAAAGTTGGTAAGGTACCCTTGCGTTTAGTATGATTGTAGACTAATTCTTCGCATGACTGAAAGACTACTGTCTGTGCTTGATCATCTTTTATCGTGTCGGTTATCAATGAGTATTTATAAAAAATGTTGTCTGATAGATTTGTTGAATCTTTAATGATACAGCTATGTTTTTGTGTGATAATATAAACAAACACTTGTCCATTATGATGAACACATAAACCAAGTTCTCCAGTAGGTTTGCTTTTAGTTTGTTTTGTTTTATATAATAAGAAAAGACCTTCATTTTTAAAGCAATCTCTATTATCAGCTTTTTTAATATGTAATCGAATCTTTCCAATCCAATTGGGACATGCTAAATCGTTCAAAATAGTTTTAGCCTCGTTTCGAGATGATACTTCTATAGGATTTAAATAATTGAATTGATATCTATTGCAGAGCATCTTTATACATTCATATGCATTATTTTGGTACATTTGAGCAATATCAAACGGAGTTTTCCCTTCACGCGTTAAAGGTATCAGAGGACAACCATGTTCGACTAGCAACATTGCACATTGCCTAATATTTTTCTGTGTTACCCCATTTGACATTCTAAACATTAAAAATAGATAAGTTAACATGACGAGAAAATTATCAATGAAATTTACGCCAAATTATGAAATGCTGCTAGATTCGATTGATGACTACCATCTGGATTTTCTCTATATACACATATTTAAAGAAAATATCGAAAAACAAAATCATTACCTTGGATTAAAATAATGTGGATCGGCATGTCGATCAATTAATTTTTTCAATATTCTAGGATGACCTTGTCGGCATGCATGGTGTAATGGTGAAAAACCATCGGAATCATTTATATTCACATCAGCTTTGTGATCAAGAAGAAGTTCCACAAATTCATATTTTTTAGCATTAATAGCTAATATTAATGGTGTGTGACCTTGTTTATTTTTTCCATTGATCTTATTTACTATGCACAAAGCTTTCTTTTGCAGAGGATGAAGATCATTTCTTGATATTCGAATAAGTTCATTGAAATAGGATGACAGGCCTTTGACAGCTAATTCATGAAGAATGGTACTTTGAGAACCCATTCCACGAACTTCATCGGGTAGTGGGATACATTCTGAAATCGATGGATCTATAGGTTTATACAAGGATATTCGAAATGGATACTGTAATTCGTGAAAAATATTTTCTTTTTTATGTTGAACAAGTACATCGATTCCGGTATATTCACGTTTTACTTCAGATCCATGACCATATCCTATGGAGAGATAATAATAAACAAGAGCTAATAATGAGCTGTAATTGAAGCGTACTGTTTTCCAAGATTTAAGGAAATTTGTGATAGTTTTAAAAAAATCGAGATATTATCCAAAAGAATTTCATGTAGGCTGATTAATTTTCTTTGACGAAAATGAAATATTTGATCATCTGCCATTTTCAGATATATAAAATTCAATAATTAGTTTTGTATGCAATTTCATGTTTCAAATTATGTAGAGATTTGACTCTCAAGTCTATTTAGTTGACAATGTGATAATTTCGCAGCACTCGTCAATTTGAGTAATGGTATCAAATTTTGAACGATTAGTTATTTTTAATGACGCAATGTTATATATAGTTATATCTCCAAAGATGTCTACTTGCATTCAATATTCTACGTTAATTTTACTTCGTAGTAAACAATTACTATACTAATGATTTTTCGTGTCCAATTTTTCCTGTAAGGAAATTTCTATACTCTAAGAAATTCACGTCTAACGATCTATATCTATACTCACCGGAGAGAAACCAGAATGCTCTACGTGCTTTATCGCAACATATGGGCACTTCGACAACTTGTTTGTGACAAACAAAATTAAGAAAATATTCAACATTTGAAGTTCGTTTACTCTCTTCAGCTGCTCGAATGAAGAATGTTCCTATGTACACACATAAAAACAATTTTTAAAAATTAATTTGATAATTCAATTTACCATCAGTGGCATCTTGAAGTTTTTCACGTGCACGTAAACTAGCAGATCGATCGTATATATAATAACAATAAACTGCTTCACTTCTTTGTAATATATCATATTGGATTTCGATACGCTTACGAAAATCTTCAGCTTGTGCAATCGTTAGTGTTAAGGAATGTGCTTTTGATTCACTATTACTACCGGTAGATCCTAGGGAAGTATGACTTTCATAAGATGATGTTGATCCATTTTTATGAGATCTTTCATGTGGTTTTGACTCACAACTTGTTTTGACTTGTCTTCGTTCATTCTTTAGTACTCTAGATTGTTTTTCACCACCAGGAACATCAATAAAACAATCGTATGTGTCTGAAATTATTGAAGATCCAAAATTAGAACTTGAATCATCATTGATTGATGTCATCTTCATTGCTAAAATAATTTTGATACGCAATATATTTCGAAAGCAAAATATTTACTGGTACATATGCAGGCGACATGGTTGTATGATTAATTAGTTAAGAAAAAAAAAGGTAATAGAAGATACGAATATAGATTAATTTAGAGATTTTATACCGTGATTCCTTTACCTGTAATAAAATAAGGCGCATCTATGAGATGATTACGTTGATATTATGAAGAAAGATAAGAAAAATATTGTTTTTAAGCATGACATTCTAATTTCGGTAGTCATGAGATCAAATCAATTTAGGTTGCTGTAATTATATGTTTTAATAACTTGTTTTTCGTAGGTTTTAAAATAAACCAGAAATTAAAATTTTTTCATGATGCACAGATGAATCTTTGAAAACAATTAAATATATGTTATGGTGAAATAATCATTTTTTTTATCAAATAAATCCAAGCCTCTTTTAAAATAACTAGCGAATACCGATGATATTTAACTTTGCGTCTTTTTTCCATCCATTTTTTCGATTTCACTCTCTCGAGAGGTATAATATGTTGTTGACAGTTGATTATTACTTGTATTTCATAAAATACTTGCATTATTTTTGCTTTCTGACTGAATTTTTTCAATGAGTTAACATCATAATAATTTCAGTATGAACAGTTGTATTTTCAGAAAAGAATAATTAATATTTATGGCATTCTTCAATAGAAAAAATTAGTATTTCGATTAATTTTTTGCCAGCAACAAAATCAATAGATCGAAAGAATTACGTAGCTGTAACCATATATATATATATATACTATGGCCGAAGCTAGAATACAGCCTGATTCAGAATTCGTCTAGTCAAAGTTGGAATTCTAATTGCGTCCAGACTAAAGCGGAGTTCTGAGTTCGACTAACATGAGCTTGGATGAAATTCGAATTTTTTTTAATGAATAGAAAACAAAGATTTCAAGAACAAATCTTTTTAAATTTTATTCAAGTTAACAAAAAAAGCTGTTCACGAAATCCCTTCGGGACTAAAATGTGAAACACGATGTAAATGTTAATTTTGACCAGAACAACAAATTATTCTATATATTTCTGAACTTTTTCTTTCATTATACTTTAATGCACCACCTACAAGTGAAAAATGCAAGTAGGTCATAAGTTTGCTGATATTGTAGCATTATGTGTTCCTTGACCGTACGAAGACGTCCACTACTATTCATCAAACTATATCATTAGTGCTCCACTCTATCCACCCTGAATTTGCTAACCCGTTTGTGATGGTTCCAACGCCTATCTGTTAGGGTCTGTTATAGATAATTAACTAATTATGCCGTATTTAGCTAATTCATCAATTAAAATATATGTGGAAGGAATCCAACTGCGTATCCTAAACACGTCAACATTGTTTTCCGTTCGACTTCGACCAAGCACCTCTGTAACGCTCTGTGATGGATAAATCACCTCATTGTAATGATCTGCGATGGACAACATTTACCCAACACAGACCGTTACCGACAGATGATTACCTGCCGGTAACAGTCTGTGTGGGAGGGGGGATGGGTGTAAAATTTCTACCCTAAATACTTCAACACTCCTTTCAGGTCGTGTTTCACAATAAAATATTTCAACGGAGAAATATTACTGACTGAAAATCATTGATCTACTCTATGAAAGAAAGATATTAAAAGAGCTCCCCGATTTCTCAATCATTGATGCCAAATAGCTCTATACGAATGGAAAAACAGCTTGTAAATAGCCTTTGTTGAATATTGAGAAAATTCAACGTTTGTAAATTTAATAGAGTAGTTTAATTAAGAATTCTTCTGAATATACATATCTTAGATACAAAATAATATCGAATGGAACCTATCCCGGTTGTCGATCTTCGATGATTACAAACAACGTACAGGTGTAAAAATTGATCAAACTGTAGAGTTAATTCGGCATCTTACACTTCAAATCTTTTGACATATGATAAACTGGTAACTATCCATTTGCACATGATGGCATCGTATCATGAGTCAACTGCCAGTCAAATACTGAACCTAACATTAAGAAATCCGAATAGGAATACTTTGAATATATGGCCACTCTATCGTAAATTATTATTTTCTCCAATCGAAAAAATGTCAATGGTTAAAGGAATCTATTGGTACGGTATAGCGACGACAATGACTGGCATATATACACCGAATAAAATGTATTTATGGTATAGAATTACATTGTGTACAGAATCGAATGATTTCTGATAGACTCATGATAAAAAATGACTGAAAAATTGATGAGAAAGATTTTGCTTTATTTTTAAATCAATCATCACTATTTAAGCGTCAAAGTAAATCGATGAAAGACTTCAGCAAAATACATGAGAAATGACTGAATATATAATATTTGATGATGATGGTACATCAATATATATTGAGAGGGTAGGAGAATGTCTATGAATAAACTATTAATACCCACGCATCAGATGGTTTCAGCATAGAGGATTACTGTGGTTGGTTTTTTTTAAATGTTTTATATAGTTTAGTAATTTTATTTATCTCAATATATCGATGTTAGTTGTGTCATAGAAAATAAGTCGGTAGAAGAGAATCTTTCTCTTCTTCCTACAAAAGCAAATAAATAAGGCACTCTTGTATGCAAAGAGATGAAAGAAAGCCGTTGTTTGCTTCAAACGGCCACGTGATTCTTGAATATGCTAAACAACTTTTACAAATGGGAATATTTTCTATTACTTTATCCTTCTGTGTATACCACCATTTGAAAGATAACAGTAAACTTTTTTAAATAATGTAAAACGCTCGTAAGAGATACTTAGATATTTCCCTTAAGTTTTTTTTCTAGATTTGATTATTTTTGTTGACTTACAATGGCTACAAACAATGCATATGATCGATTTATACAAGTGGAATGGCAAAATAAAAATGTTTTGCTTATCGATGAGTTAAAAACAACTGATAGGCTTCAGAGTGTAACACAAGCTCTTCAGCGAGCATTACACCATGTTCATAAGATAGAGATTTATTTGAAAGATGCCGAAGAGCATTTTAGTGGCAAAGCCCTTGGTGAACTAACCTACGACGAATGTGCTGCTTTGCAAATATTCACAAGAGAAATTGATCGAGAGAGTATATGCATGCTGTTAAATAGAGCTTTGTGCTCTGAAGACGAAAAAGCGCCCCGAATATGGTTGCCGTTTCTTCGTATACTTTACTCTGCAGCTCAAAAATTGCCTGATTTTAAAGGACAATGTTGGAGAATCGGTAAAGCTGATATATTAAATCAGATAGAAAAGGAAAAATACGTTACTTGGTCTGGAATAAGTTTCTGTTCAAAAGATCCCAACTTCATTATAAACAAGTGCACTAATCAAGGGGTAGTTATATTTGCGATCCATTCTATTCATGGCAAAGATATTTCTAAATATTCGGCTAATGAAAATCAGAAAGAAATACTTCTAATGCCAGGAACTCGTCTAGAAGTGACGAATATTGACCGAGATCAGAAAAATGGCAAGTTAATATTTGTAAGTTTACAAGAGCGAGGCACTGAACAAAGCAAAATCGCTGCATCGAATCAATTGAAATCAGAAAGTCAATTTGAATACAAACACTCTGGTAAGTATCGCTATTTTACTTCTAGATTAGATGCTGAAAAGGGATCGAACTGATTGAAACACAGCTGTTAAGTCTTTTTTTCTAACTATTGAATAAAATTTTTTATCCTAAGCGTTTAACTAAGTGCAAAATATAATAGCTTCCCTTTCAAGAGTAGTTTGTTTTTATGGAAACTTCATAAACAAAATAACTCACCAGAAGTAATAATGCTAAATATGACTAAGTCTTGGCATGAGAACACTTCATAGAATATCTAAAACATTTTCATCTGATATACGGACAGATAATACTTTTTTCAGGATAAGAGAGAAAATTCAGCACGATACTCGAACGCTTTTTGTAGGGTAAAATCAACAAGAGGGGATTTTTATTAAAATACTTCATTTAAAAATTGAAAGTTAAAACAGATACTTGCAATCATGAGGAATATTGGATGCAGTAATCTATGAAGGTAGCTAGTGATTGACTTTTTACCCATACACAGAACAAGGAAAATTTCCTCGTTCTTCTGTGCACTTTCAGCTGGTCGTATCCTGATTCGGTCCTAATTGAAAATATGTTCTCTCAATTGGGTCCTATCTCAATCAGGTCCTATCTCAGTTGGGTCCTACTCCAGTTCGGTCCTATCTCAATTTCGGTCCCTGTCAGTGTATTCGTGATTTATAAATATAAATATAATAAGCCTACCGTAATGTTCATACCCACCCTATTTAAATCTAAAAATTTCATTTTGAAATTATGATTGGTTGAAGCTGTTAAAGCAAAATTAGTCAAGAAGTAGTAAAACAACAATTTTTTAAAATTAATATTGATGTCTATAAGTTCTATATGTTACTAGATTTTTTAATTGTCTTGTTATTCTTTATGATATAAATTATTCTCTTCTCTTTGATATATAATCATGAATTATTTTCATTAATATTATTAAAATAGAAATGAGAAATAATTACGGGACCGAACTAGGGTAGGACCCAACTGAGATAGGGCCTGATTAAGATAGGACCCAATTGAGAGAACATTTTTCCAATTAGGACCGAATTGGGGACATCCCCTTTCAGCTTAGAGCTATCCGATAGTATTTGCACAAAATTGAATAAAAATAGAAGATATTCGAAATTTCATTACGGACGCATAGCCTTTGATCATACTGTTTTCAAAGTACAATATGCCGACTGAATACTGTATTTAAATAAGTGTAAACATCTAATGGTAGAATGGCTCTGTAATTTGATATTGAATCTAAATTGATTCGATTATTTCAAGTAACCTACAGAGCCTTCATAATAAATCAATATATGTACCTTTCATAGAAGTAACACCACTCATTTATTAGTTTACTTACGTAATGCAGGATCGATATTTTTTCCGAACTTCTACGATGAGGCTTATTGAAAGTATTATCGATATTTACATAAGCTCAACTACATCCGAAACGAAACTATTTAGAGCCTATTTACAAATGGAGTCGATTTCAAATGATTGATTATGAGACCAAAGAAATGAAACCAATTTACCAAAATCCAATATCTTCTAATCTAACACTGGGCACTGCAATTAGCTCCATACCAAAAAAAATTCAACACTTGGATATTCTCTTACAACAAGTAAACCAGATCCATGGTGACAGTTCCGAAGAGATGAATGCTTTAAGGATATACACTATGGAGTGGGGCAGCGAATCATTGTGTAAATTACTTAATGAAGCACTGAAATCTGACCGTCAAGATACGATAAAACATTGGCTTCCTTACCTGCAGCTATTTCGTGCTGGAGTACAACGCTTACCCTTATTTAAGGGAGAATGCTGGCGTGGTAAAAACACCAATATAGGAAGCAATTTCAAAAATGGTCAAACCATCATTTGGCAAGGTATCAGCTCGTGTTCAAAATCTGTTGATTTAATCCTTAAATGTTGCGTCGGCGAAAGTGGAACACTGGTCAAGATCAATGCTATCAATGGCAAAGATCTATCGAATTTCACACTAGATTCAATTACAGAGGAAGTTATTTTGATGCCTGGAACTACTCTGATTGTAAAGCGGATGGGAAAATATTTAAATCGAAATAATATAATTTTCGTGGAGTTAGACGAGATAGCTGTGAAAACACATGAAGAAGTCGCACAATCCGCTTCAAAACCACAGGTTTCATCAAATTCTGATCGGTCTAGTAAGTAATACTTATCATAATCTAAATAATTTTCATTTTTCTAATAAGACAAGCTCTTCACCTTCTACAATTACATGCTTATAATTGACAATCAAAAACACATTCTTATGTGCCACTAGGAAGGATAGCAACTCGTATAAGTTCTTTCAGCGCTTGAATCCAGAGAGTAGAGGTTGTTTAAATTCTAAATGAATTGAACTATTGAGGCAACTTTTTTTTCTATTTTGACAAATTCCTATTCATTACATCAAATATAATATTGCTAACGATATTCACTTCTTAATTTAGGTCCTTCCACGTCGAATTCAACACATGATGCTAATAAAAGCTCCGTTTCAACAAAATCGAATGAAGAGCATACGAAAAATGGATCAGCATCGAAATCAAAGTATACGAATGATCGAAATGTGACAGATATAAGATCTGGTACGCAGATTTTTATACCGATGTTTTCATAGGGTTAGATTTAAGTTCGAACAGATGCTACGAATGTTCCGTCCTTTTTTGTCTTGTAGAAAATTAAAATTAATTAACATCATCATATTTTTTGTCATAGGCCACCACTGTACTTTAGTTGATCGGCTCACCGATGTTGACTGCGAAAATAAGGTAATAAAACCTATCGAGAATTATCAAAAACGTGATAGTGTCACACTGGAAGAAGCCTTAGATCCAGCACGAAATATTGTTGCAAATTTGGATGAAAATATACGAAAAGCTAAACTCCGTGCCAATAAAAGCTCCCGAAGCATCCTAAACATTGATGAGTCAGCAGCTATATATTTATACACGATGCAGGTGAATGAAACAAGTTTCAGTCGTATTCTTAACCAAGCATTGAGATCTGACGATCAAAGTATTGTCAAGGAATATTGGCTAAAATATCTCCAATTACTTTGGCAAGCACTTAAAAAATTACCTTCTGTCAGAGGACACGTATTTCAATGCGCAACGGCAAAAATCAATGAAAAATATCCAAAAGAACAAATGATTACTTGGTGGGGTATTACTTCATGTACACAAACGCCAGACGAAATTGTTGGGTCGTTTTTAGGTAAAAAGTTGACCTTATTGAATATCAAAATTATCAATGGTAAAGATATATCAGAATATTCATGTAAAAGCTATGAAACCGAGATCATTCTATTACCGGGTACGCGTCTACGTGTGAAAGATCTATCAAAAAATTTTAATCTTAACATATATGAGATTGATTTGGAAGAAATAGATGATGCCATACTTCTATTTAATACCATGCGAAACCTAAAGACACAGCGTGTTTCAAAAGATGTATCTCTCGGTAAGTACAAGATTTTCAGTTAAAATTATTTATATACCCAGAATTTGAAGCTAACATTTAATTTAATCAGTAGAAATTATTTTGTAAAGTTTTTAAATGAAAAATTATCGTTACCTACCAATTATAAACTTCCATGTTACAGATGAACGTCTATCTTTCATATCTGAATATGGTTGTATTACTTATAGATATACTTCCAGTAGAGATTGAGTCTAACTTATCATGGTTCATATGATATCTCTTGAGTAAATTTCAATAGAATAATCTATGTAAAAGAAATAAGACATCATGTCCTCATGCTAAAGCATATGTTTGTCGTTTATGCTCTCAAGAAATGCATATAATTTTGTGGAACATGAACTAGTACATAGACATACTGGTGTGTACAAGATTGAATACATAATGCAATAAAAGTCACATTCGAATCCTATGTTTTTGACAGAAGTCTCAAGCAAGCTGAGTAGCTCTGACATAGAACTTCTTGACGAAATTTCTATATCATTAGACCTGCTGACTGAAGTTCCGTAAAACTATGGAAGCTTTTTCATACTAGTATGAAAAAGATGAATAAGCTTAATTAAACGTAATTATATATTCTTATAATTTTGTTTTTATTTTCAAAATTCTCGATAGGTTTTGGTTTGGCACGGCAATCACATCAATTGTGTACATTCGAAACGAGTAAGATCTCATTTTAAATGTTTGCAAAATTTCATATGTTGAAAACAAAATAAGTTTAAAAACGAAGTGAGCCCACCTAAGTGAATATAGAGAACGATTTTCAACACTTGCTCTGCACCTTGTAAATTGCTTTTCTTCGAGTCGTATTATCACTACACTGTTGCTTATGTCGAAAAACGTCGTAAACATTACTCTTCGTCTTGTTTAGAACGTTAAAAAAAATATGCTTTACTAATTCAATTACTTCTTCTCATTGGGGACACTGGACTTGCATTTGAAGTATGTTTTATGAGTGATTCATATTGTAATACAACCATTGAAACGATCAGTATTAACTTTAGGTACCAAAAACCCCAACAGAAGCATATAATCTGTTCTAAATTCTATGATAACTTTAAAAAAAATGAAACTTCTGTTAAGTAGATACATATAAGAATAGCTAGAATCTTTAATTTTAGCACTCTGTATGAAGAATACATTATACGTCAAGATAACCTTCGTCTATAAGAGACATCATGACATGTACTACAATCATTCCATACATTTTACTATTTAGTATGGATTACTTTTATTCTCAATAAGTCAGACTTTGCAACGATATTTTTTTGAAAAACTATCAAAATTATTTTGATTTAATTGATGGAGGCTTTAAAACTGTGATAACAGTTATAAGGTCTTTTCTCAAACTAATTCATAAGCATAACTGCATGAGTCTAGCGAAAACAAAATTTTCATTTAAAAAGAAATAATAAGCTCGTTCTTTTACGTTTGTAAAAATTTGGAGCAAGTTTCTAGTTAATTACAATTGAATTAAAAAAAGACTTCAGCCAGAGAATATATGATACAAGAAGCAAAAAATACTGGAAATCATTTTAACCTAACAATTAATGAAGAATCAATAAAAAAATTATTTCAAATTTTGAATACCATTTTAGCGTCATGCTTTATTAATCATATGAGTGGTTGGATTGCTTAGGATTCAATAGCATTTATAGTCTTTCAAAAAGCATTTGATTAAGTTGTTTTTGTCACTATATAGACAAGATATGGTTAGAATGTCGATTTAAAGATCAAGAAGGTAGAACAATTATCAAGCCTAATGAATGCGAAGATCATCTTGTGGACCCTCGAGGCAACATCGATGAACATATTTTGAAACGCGTCAAAGGTTCAATGTTTGGCTTAGTTGTGGGCGATGCTTTAGGTGCTCACGTCGAGTTCAGACCTCACAGTTATCTGGTTGCTAATCCGGTTACTGATTTACAAGGCGGAGGAACATGGGGTCTAGAGAAAGGACAGGTAAATTAGTTCTACTTGTTATCACTTTTAGAATGTTAATGTACATGTAAGAGTCCATTAGATTACCCTAATTCAGATTGCTCTTTTGGTGTCTGCCTACTCTATTAGTGATGTACAGATTCAGCTCATAACTTTCTTCTATAAGATTCATTTTTCTTTATGCATTGTGCATTGTTCAAATATAGCTCGAAAATTTGTTGAGTTAAAGATGAAAAAAAAATGATTTATTAAAATTTCAATTCTGTGTAGAAGAAAGTCCTAGAGGACTATTTTTAGCTTCGATACATTATCGTGTCAAATGTTGCATCCTTACACAATCGAAATCGAAATCAAACAATGATTTGAGATTTGTCTTTTTAGTTCACTGATGATGGATCTATGGCTCTTTGCTTAGCTAATTCATTAGTAGCTCGTCGTGACTTTGTGCCTTATGATCAATTGGTTCGCTATAAATGGTGGTTTAGACATGGATACATGTCATCGACAGGAAACTGTTTTGATATTGGTGAAAGTACTAGGAAAGCAATTTGTCAATTTGAAGATCGACAAAAAATGTTCGCTGAAAAGAATCGTATTCCATTGGAAGAATTAGATTTTCTATCAGATGCAAAACTTTTAGAAGACTTCAATATCTATTGCAGTTCGGAAGGAGCCGCAGGTAATGGTGTATTGATGCGTTTGGCACCTGTACCTCTATTTTTCTATCGAAATCCGCAACTTGCTATTAAATACTCTGGAATCAGCGGTAAAATTACGCATGGAGACAAAAAAGCTGGTGATGCATGTCGCTATTATGGAGCTCTCATTGTTGCCATTATGAATAATATAGATAAAGATCAACTTCTCAGTGAAGAATATTATTTATCTAAACTTAAAAACTGGTTCAAAGACAGTCCGTTAGATGTGGAAATCGAAAACGTTGCTAAAGGATCATTCAAAAGAAAAAACGGTTATGACGATGGCATACGAGGCAAAGGTTACGTAGTTCAAGCTCTTGAAGCTGCATTATGGGCTTTTTGGATTACTGATTCGTTTGAAAAAGGTGCTCTAGAAGCAGTAAATCTTGGTGACGATACCGATACAACAGCAACTATTTATGGTCAATTGGCTGGTGCATACTATGGTTATGATAAAATACCATCGGAATGGATTCAGTGTATCTATGCCAAGCGTTTCATTGAATGTATTTGCAAATGGATAGCATACGAGGGAAGCCAACTTCACTCTGATAATTGATCAAAACACTGAACATTTTTAAATTGAGAGCAAGAAAAATCATTAGCCATTATGAATCATTTCATTCATTTTTACCTCAACGGAGTTCTATAATTAGTGAGATTTTATTTTTTAATTCAGAATGTTCATTATCATCATCGTATTAATACTTTCAACGTTGAAAAGTGTAAAGAATCAGGTTTGCTAAATGGAAAGGGTGAGTCCAACTGCATAAATGTGAATGATCACACTCGTTCACAATGTATGTTCTATTTTCTCAATTACTTAGTAAATTGTATAAAACATTGATTATTTTGCTTCCAAGTTCATGTCTACATATTTCCTCTCAAAATATAACTAACAAGAAATACTGACTAATCAATTCGATTTTTGTGGAGATTAGAAAGTATTGCAAAACTCATGTTCGATGATTCTAGTTTCAAAGTTGATGAGTATTTGATTGAATTTCATTTTTAGAGCTAACGTGTATGATCAATTATAAGTTGCATAAGAAATTCTTTTCAAAAAAAAAAAGGGTTTTCTTATTGTTTTAGTTGTTTAGTGAATTATTCGAAGATGCGTTAGTATGCCACACTCGAAAATTATGTTCAAATTTGAAGTTAGCCAAATGAAAATGATATTTATTTAGAAAAAGAAGACAATTTAATTAACACGACAAGCATCGGTTGAATGTTCATCATTAGGCGTTCTGGATTGTTTTTGTTTATTTGATAATTCGACTGGAATTTCTTTTATAAATTCTTGAGGAAATTTTTCTTTAACAAAACGTTGAATAGGTATTTTATTCTTTTCATAAAATTCAATAAAAACTTGATCTTTTTGTTTTGTATTCATTCTTGAATAGGAATCTGAATGCATCGTTCCCAAAAAAGCTTCTTCGTAAAATTGCAACGTTTTTTCAATTTCAACAGCCGTTGGTCGTCGTTTTGAGTCACTGTCTAAACATCTTAAAATAATTTCATCATAAAATATCGGACTTGTCTTAGTGAGTGTAACACGTGGTAACGGTGCAGCAAAACGAAAATCATGCATAGCTTCCGTAAATAGTTGATTTAATGTAAGGCCATATGTATATATATCTAATTTTTCGTCACATTTAACATGTCCGTCTGATGATGCACCAATAAAAAATTCCGGTGGCATAAACTCAACGCACCCAATTTGAGTTTGTTGACCACTTGGATCAAGAGAGCGCGCAATTCCCATATCACCAATTTTAGCTATATAATCATCGGTTATAAGAATGTTGTCAGGTCTAATATCACGGTGTATCATTCCATGTTGATGAATACGTCTCATACCTGATGCTATTTGTCGAGACATTGCTAATTTACGTCTCAGTGATAATTTATGTGGTTGCCTTTCAAGAAGATTTTGTAAACTACCACGTCCCATTAATTCCATTAGAATCAAAAATTGAGTTTTAGGTCCATGGCTATGAGTTGCTGGTAATTTACGATTGCCATAACCATAGGTTCGAAGAATATATGCACCTGATAATTCACGATAGGCAGCTAATTCAAGAAGAAAGCTTCGTTGAAGTAACTCTGATGATGATGATTCACTCGATATTTCAATTACTTTACAAGCTACTTGTCGATTTTTTGGTCGCCATATTGCTTTGCATACATAACCTATTGTAGACACAAGCAGTATTTAAATGTTTCTAATGTATTAATAGAATAGGATAGTTAAACATACCAAATCCTCCTCTACCTAAAATTTCGCCCATTTCAATTTCATCGGGATCAATTTTCGGCATAACTCTATTTGAAGTTAAAATTAATGGATGATCTTTTTCATGATTTTTTGTACAAACACGTTTAGTAATGGCACATGGCTCACATAAATCATACTTCGGACATGTATCACATTTAAATCGTAAACCAATAATACTCGTTTGATGACAAACTCCATCACATTTTATACCATTATGTTGTTCATTTCGAAGTGTATCTAATTGTTTTAATTTATTTAACGTAACTTCAGCGTCAATATTATTAAAATGTATTCCTAGAATTTCATTTGGTAATTTAAAATGAGCCATAGCATGGCCACTTAAATGTTTTCCTGTTTGACAACGTTTTTCAAAACAACGTCCACATAAATCATAAGTTGGCGATGAACATTCTAAACAATGATATCGATCAACTTGACAGATAGGGTTACGACCACATCCTGAACATTTTGTATCATGAGTATAATCCTCGTCAGTATCAACGGAATGGCTTCTATTGACTAATTTGGCTAGAACGCTTATTAAGAATAGATTATCGATGTGATTTAAAAGTTTTCCTGAAGAAGCCTCTACAAGAGATTTGAAAATAATAAATATAACTATTTAAAAGAGCATATTTATATTTACCTTCAGATTGATCACTTTGTTGATGAGGTGAAATTTTGTGCAGAACAGATTCACAATGTTGTCTTGTGCCTAATATAGGGATATAGTTAATTATATGAAAAAAATCCGAACGAATTGACTATATACTCTCAAATCTATAAATATATGCACTGAAAATGCGTACATTCGGTCAACTAATCATCTATATGGCTGATAAAATATTATAGTTATGTGTTCTTTTTCTACATGAAGTTTATGATCGTGCTAGTATCGTAAAACGAAATAAAGGAATAGTGAGATTATTTCTTTTGAGATTAATCATTATCCAAAAAAGGTATGAATAAGAGGACAACGACTTTATCAACTGCGTGGTCGATGAATGAATGAACGTCTGTAATTGTCGTTGAATTCATATTCCATCTTAGTTGTATCTACATTAATATTTCAGCATACGTCTAAAGACTGATCTATTCATATTTTCTATCTATTGTTAATTAACAACGTTGAGATCTCCTATTTTGTTTTTGTAAACATTTTCCCTTTACAGAAAAAGAGCTTCTCAGTAACAATATTCTATTTCTAAGATATCAAAATTGTCGGTTGTATTAAACAAAACAAAAAACGCCAGCCTGATTTATGTTACCTTGTGCGAGAACAATTCCATAACGCTTTTTACCATCAATAACAATCGCATAAGTTTTGTTAATTTCAGGACTTTGTGACGATGGTACACGAATATACTGTTGTTCGATAACTTCGACTCTGTTTGTATCTTGCCATCTAATTGTACAACTAGATTCTTCGGAACGTACTTCGTCTAAACAAATAGGAAACTTTAATTGGATTCGTTTTTTCTTTTTTCATACCAAGTTTATCGAGGAATGCGTCTCTTAAATTGTTAAACATGTGACGTAAAAATATGTGGTAAAAGTGAAGGAATTGTTATAAGTAAATGAAAACTACTAATTACAAGTCTAAAAAAGAAATATAAATATAAAAAAGAAATCATGAGAACAAATAAGAACCAAAAAATAACGGATGTTTTTTTCTTTTTATTCTGTCTTATCATGACATCATAAGAAATTAGTAATGTTGGTGCGTAAGCGTTTAATGATGACGGTTATATGTTGCCTGTCAAAAATATGAACTTAAAAACAAGTGGTTACATCACTCTAAGCCCACTCAAACAAGTAACAAGAAAAAGAATACTTTTGAGGAGGAGCCGAGTTGTTAGAAAAAAATTTCTCGAAATTTCTCTTCTTCAAAACACAGAAAAAAAGAAACTATTTTTAACACATTAAAATCTGCGTTTTTTGTTCGTCAAACTGCTGACTTTTTCGTTACTTGTTTGACTGAAAAGCGAGGAGACCGTTTTATTGATTCATAACTTCAATATGAGAGGAGTCGTATTTGCATTAACACTTGTATGCAAAGTTGCCGGCATGTTTTGTCACAAGAATGTGCGTAGCTATTACGGTTGTTTTCAAAATTTTTGAAGAGAATTCTAGGTTTTTGTTGCTAAAAAGACGTACAAAAAAAAGAAATAATTATTCATACTGATAGCATTCAAGATATCAGCAATAACTTTAGGTAGTCAAACTAGTTTTATCGCTCACCTGATTTACTTAATGTTAACTTTGACAAGAGTATAATATCTTGAATATAAAATGTTTTGTTCGATAGTTTTCGTATTGTGGTCGAAAATATAGTGAATCTGTTAACACAAGAGAACTTTTCAATGATGGCTACATATCAACGCAATGCATTTTTTATTTCATAACAGATAAGAACAGAATATTTATTTTCAACACATGTTTGTCCTGTTAGATGTGTTATTTCGAGTGATTTAATTAGGTTCTTCTCAAAAGCAACTGTTATAAAAAATTTACACATCTCAATCAACGAATATTACTGACATTTAAAACCAGGTGGAAACACTTCAGGAGAACCTGATGATTTTTCTAGAAATGAAAATACTCAGATCCGGTTAGTTTACTATCAAAAGACAAAAATCGAACTTAATCCAGCGCAAATAAAAGCGAGAATCGAAATTCTCTCATATTAACGTGATATAAAAACATGGATAGAAAGATCAACATTCGATATTACTTTCACAAGAAGTACGAATTATATGACTTCAATTCTGCCAATCAAATTTCTTTTGCAACCATTCATTTATAATAACAGAAATAAAAATTAAAAATTCTCGCCGAACTGCTGATATTCTTTTATTAATACAAGAGATATTCGTTGGCCATCAAAATGTCCCAACAATGCGTTACACTAAATTATTTAACATTGTTACCGGTATTACGATAGAATTGAAAAATATAAATCGGACATTCATCTGAATCAATTGAAAACTTTAGAAATTTTGCCAATCATCAACACTATTCATTCAATCTTAGATAATTACATTTGCTATGATGTTCTGACAAAACATCTGAGTAATCTATGATAAACATACAAATTCAAAGCCCGAAATTCTTTTTTTAGCAAATAAACTATTCGATGAGTAAGATGCATTCATCATTCTTGACAATCATTTTTTTTAGAGAAACCTTTTGAAATTGATGAAAAATTGGGTCTCAATGTTTGTAGAAAAAAAGCGAAAATTCAACTTTTCTCTAACATTCAAATATTGTTAGAGATTAGTTGAGACTAATTCTGTTTATTTTTTGTACTTAAACATATTTTTAAAAGTATGAAGTACAATAAAAATGCGTAGCATGAATAGGAAAATAAAGCAAATTTCTGATAAATGATCAATAATAAAATGATGCTATGAAAGAGGAAACTTTTATGTTGATTTCCATGGAAAATTTTTTCCTTCAGTATCTTGTGATTGAAGTTGACCTCTTGCATCAGCACAAATAATATCTCCCGAGTCACCGTCAAGCAAAATAAATGTTGGGATTCCAGCAACTTTAAACTGTTTTCCTAATTCTTCTTTTTTCTTACGTTCCTTAAAATCTAATGTTAACCAAGGCATATCTTTATAATACTCATTAAATGATGCTTCATCGCGATCAGAACTTATAAATATTATTTCAAAATTTTTCTCTTCTGCATGTGATTTATAAAAATTAATTAATACTGGAGTAAAGCCACGACACGGTGGACACCTAAGAAAGAAAAGAAAAAAAACGAACATCTTTACTAAAATACAAAAATTTGAAATATACCAATGAGCACTAAAATAAAGACCAATAATCTTGCCTTTATACTTTTGATCGGTAAGATCAATAGATTCATTTGATTTATTCAAAATATGACCATCGAATAATTTTGCTACACCAGCCATTATAGTAACTGTTTACGTCTGTCTGATCTTAAAACAAACCAATTTACTAATGATTTATCGCTCTCACATACTCTCTCGTTTACAATATTTGTATTTATTTTCTTTTCACGAGTTGCCTCGACATTGCGAGAAAGAGAACAAAAATAAAGCATGCTTGAAGTAGCTGCAGGATTGCTATTAATGAGCAGCGATTTCATTTATTTTCTTTTTTGTGTGCATTTTTTCGCAAGGTTTTTCTTTTGCCTGGATTGTAGTGAAATGTATGCCAATAAAAGTAATGACATGGAACAATATTGAAAATACCAGAAGATATTTATTTTTAGAATTAATGAGAAAAATCAAGTTTGAAACTAATTCAAACAATATGTTTTTCTGTTTCTTTACAGTTTTTAAATTGAAATAAACCAATAGAACAACGTGTTTTGAGTTTCTATTTTTATTACAGATTTGAAATTAAGTCAACACCATTTGACGTTGTTGTCATTATTCTGCTTGACTTCTTGAATTGTTCTTAATGAATTCATGAACTTTCTTTTTAATATTGAACGTAAGAGAAAGTTCTGTTAGTTTTAATCGAAAGATTGTTATCTGACTTACAAGAGGAATAGCAATCTATGTCAATGTACGCAAGCGAATATGTGTAATTACATATACAAACGTCTGAACATTACTTATCAATTTCTGCATGATGAAAGTTAATATTCACATAGTGCCATGTATTGGTCTTTTTATCTTTTTTATTATGTTGACGGGCGCTTAGAAATTTCTTTAATTTAATGAAAACTCCACAAAAAAGAATTGAATAGATAATAATTGAACATGCATTAATGTCAAATGATGATATGACGAAATTTAAACAGGTTACTCTGATTATTTGTTTTGAATTCGTTTTGTGCCAACGATAAGTTTATCTTTGATACCGCTTGATTAACAAAACACATTGCTTGTTGTACATAATTTGAAATGGTATGTATTATACTGAAAGCTTCTAGTCAACATAAAACAGTATTGACATAAGTAAATTATGTTAATATGTCAAGATACTATATTTAAAGGAAAAACAAAATCAGGCAAGATATTCAAGAAAGAAAAGGTTTACACCACAACATATTGTGTAATGCATGTAAAAAGAATTTCCACTGGTCAATAATGACCAATAAGAAACTGAAAAGAATGATGACAAGAATGTTCACTATAATCTACAGATATTTTATTCTAAAAAAACTTAACCGAGTACAGCAATTGATATGAATAGCAAATCAATATGAAATTTAAAAACATTTAATAATGGATTACATGAAAAATCAAATGAAATGTACGTGAAAACAAATAATTGCAAACAGATTCTGACAGTCAAAAAAATTAACTTTCAATGATCTAAAGTCTATCAACAAATAATACTTTCGGACTGCAGTGTCTCAGTTTCAGAACAATCGTGAAAAAAACTTATATAACTATAATTTTTTTATATAAAACACAAAATAGAATTATATGAATTCTTACAGTTCACTGAGCTATTTTCAATAGATAAATGTGAGAAAAAAAGCTCATCTGAAATACATCATATTCAACATATAAAAATTGATAATCGAGAGAAATGTGAGCGAGAGTTTTTAAAATTGTGTTACCAATAATGAATAAAAGATCTAATGATCTTAAAAGTCTTGACATTTTGAGTTGTCTCACATATGTACGAAGTCTGAGTGTATTTAAAAACTAAAATAATCATTTATAATTGTCTAATTTTATAACAGTATTGAAATCTTCGTACATATTTTTAGCCTGCTAGTTGGTTAACGTGAGAAAAATCATTATTTTTGAAAATAATCTCAGAATTTATGTTGAATCCAAGACAAAGAAAAACATTCGAATTGTATAAGAAGAAATACTTATGCAATCATTTTCAATTTAATTTAATGAATAATTAGACTTGATTTTTATTCTTCTTCGTCTCAATATTTAATAGCGTTATATGAATAAAAATCATTCAAAATAAGCAGAATTTATATAACACGGAGTCTTTGTTGGACTGAACATTTTTAGAATGAGTTTTTTAACAGAAAGACAAATGTAAAAGCCGTTCTCGTTTCTCAACAAGAATATCTTTGATCGAGTTAAAATTTCTTCTACTTCGTTAGTGTTAGATAGTATTTAAAATTTAAATGTTTTGTTTTTTATTACAGAAGCATTTTTGGTCGTCGACTCAGAATTTTGATATTTTTCAATCAAATAATAATTACATCATATATGATGATCAATAGATACTCTTGCTCTTAAATAGAAAAGTGACATTTGTGATTTCCGTACTGATGCGCAAAGATATGTTTTAATAGAACTCGTTTTTGTTGTCTTGAAGGGTGTGGGTGCCTGGATGTGGAGAAGAAAAGAGCGGCGGACGTTCACACCCATCCACGGCCTCAAATAGATCCCAATATTTTAATATTGGATTATCTGATAGTGATAAATTTGTTAAATCTTTAATTTGACTAACAAATAAATCAGATATAAAAGTTAAATGATTTGAATCTAAGTGATCATTTATTAAATTTGGAAAATATTTTCAAATAAATCACAATTATTTTTTGTATCAGTAAGGACACTTTCTATTATATTAATATATTTTTTTAATGGATTTTTATCAAAACTCATTCAAGATTTCATAATATTTGAAATTTATTTGATTCATTGAACTTTTTTGTTGTTTTTTTTTCAGACCAACAGATACTTGATTTATATTTAAAGGATGAAAATTCTAGCTTTTAATAAAAACTAAATTAAACACATAGATTAATAATAAAAACAATCAATTACGGCATCCAGTTGAATGTCTGTAGAGCGATGGAAGTAAGCAATAAAAATTCATTGTTCTAAGCTAAAGCCGTTTCATTCTCCATTATGTTGAAAAAAAAGAACATCAAATCAACTGGTTCATATTAGTTATATGTGAAAAATGCATTCCTGATATAGTCATATATCCATAAAAAAATAATGAATATATTTTCGAATATTTATTAAAAGAACTATTTTTTGTTGATTCGTGTTTATCTGAAAAATGCTAGGGTTTTTTTAATGATCTTGATACGCACACGGCGTAACATAAATGGCATGATTTCTCTAAACGAAAAATGAATAATATTTTCCTAGGTATTTTATAGTGCATATGCAGCTCGTCGCCGCTACATTATCAAAATGTATAGGCGCTACCGTCACGCTTTTTCACACGTTTTATTACATTGACAGGCACAAGTACCTTGCTCGCCGTTGTGTCGATGAATGGGCCATTGAATAGAAAGAATTTTTTTCATCTACTGTATCTTTGTTTGTTACGTATAAATAGATTGACTTCGGCTTAATCTATCGAATATAAGCAATATGTGTAATAACAAGGTAAACCATTAAGTTAAAAAGAATTATTTCTTCAAAAATCAAAAATTAAAGTTTTGTCACACGCAAATTTAAATCAATTTGTTCATTGACATGAATAGTAGTATACAAAGACCACCTAAACCAGGGAAAGAAGTAAATATATCTTTTAACATCATTCAAATTTGCTTGAATATTTTTTTTCTTTTAGAATAAGCTGCCACAAGAAGAATTACCGCACCAATGTATCGCACGACTAGAAGCCACCGTGCAATCACTAACAACAGCAAATAGTAATTTGACAAACGAAAACGTTGAATTACAACGTTTAAATGCACAACAAGCGATCAAAATTGAAGGTTTAGAAAAAAAATTAAAGGTGCTTGAAGATAAGCTTGATGGTTTAATGGCAGCCAATTCAGGCGGAAGTGATTCGTCGAATTCACCTCCATTAGTGAAGAAATAATGGAATTTTAAAGACATTAAAAGTCAATTGTATTTGTTTTCTGTATAATTGTGGTAAATCTATATATATATACAATTTTCATTTTGTATTGGTATAAAACAAATGTATTAAAAAATAAATGTGGAAACTTCGGATTTCATCCGAGAGTTATGTGTACTGCAAAAAGTGCATGCGACATATGAGTCATTCTAGAATGCCTGAACACGAAAATTATCATGAGAAACTAGACAA